TCTATTTTCTTTCTACTGCAGATCAGTTAGAATGTTGCTACTAAGGAAGTGGTAGACAAGCAGGGAGCTCAGGAGAAGGCCTCTGACTAAATGTAAGAGAAGTGTTTTGTTCAAGGAAAAGTGGTGGAGTATTTTTATTTATTTTTTAAGCTGGGAAAAAAATTGTATTACTTAGAGAGAGGTGTAGGTAGGTGAGAAAAAACAATGGTACAGATGGGGAAGATGATCTGTGCCTTGCGCTCCTGTGCTCTTCTGGCGGTGCTGTGTGCCTGCTGGCCTCCCTGGACTCTGGGACAAGAGCTACAGGTGCAAGATGCCCTCTGCACTGCAGATGGCTGCTACGCCATCTATTTCCAACGTAAGACCTTTCGGGAATCTGCATGGTTCTGCAAGGACAAACGTGGTTTCCTGGCAACCCTAAAGAGTTCTGAGGAGGCGGCTGTGGTGCATGAGCTCCTGTCTTCGGTGGAGCAGCGCGGCCCACGGGCCAGGGTCAGACTGTGGATTGGGCTCCATCGTCAGCCCAGGCAGTGCTCTGCCACACGCCCACTCAGAGGATTCCAATGGATCACAGGTGAACAGGACACACAGTACACCAACTGGCTGAGAGCGGACTCACCTAGTACCTGTGCCGCGCCCCGCTGTGTCGTCATGAGCGTCAACACTGCTGCTGACACCCGGGAGCAGCACGACAACTTCAAGTGGCTGGATGGCTCCTGCTCGCTGGCTGTGGATGGATTCATGTGTCACTACACCTACCAGGGGATGTGCCCTTCTCTGAAGAGTGAGGGAGGGGGACCTGCACTATATACCACCCCTTTCAGCCTGCTCAGCACCATCCTCACTCACATCCCCTTTGGCTCAGTAGCCACCTTGCCCTGCCCAGACCATGAGGACAGCGTAGGAGACCAGTCTGTTCTTTGCATGCTGAGGGAGGATGGGAGTGTGGGCTGGTCAAAGGATGCCCCCCTCTGCTCTGAGGGCCCCCAGGACTGGTGTGAAGAGGAAAATGGTGGCTGTGAGCATTTCTGTCAGAATGCAGACACACACTATTACTGCGAGTGTTCTGAAGGCTTCACACTGGCAGAGGACGGCCAGACCTGCCAGCCGAACCATTCCTGTGGCACGGCCAACTGTGAGTTTGACTGTGAAGAGACCACTAAGGGATTCCGCTGCAAATGTCCAAATGGTTACCTGCTGGCACCTGGTGGACGCAACTGCCTCGATGTTGATGAGTGTCTGCAGGTGCCCTGCCCTCATATCTGTGTAAATGCTCCTGGGACATTTGAGTGTCGCTGCAATGAGGGCTACGAGCCTGATGAAGATGGAGAATGTGTGGATGTTGATGAATGCAAAGATTCCAGCAGCTGTGAACACAGATGTGAGAACACCCCTAGTTCCTTTGCCTGCCACTGCCACCAAGGCTTCACTGAGCTGCCCGATGATTCAGGCCTATGCCAGGACATAAATGAGTGTGAGACCTCCACAAGCTGCCACCAGAAGTGTCTCAACTATGTGGGTGGGTTTGAGTGCTATTGTGAGGCAGGGTACGAGCTGCAGTCAGACCAGTATTCCTGTATGGCCATTCCAGAGGGTGAACATGAGTATTCATCCACAGCTACCTCGTCCTACCAAACCACCTCCTGGGTCCCCGAATTCCCAGACTGGGTTACCGACACCACAGCTTTGGAGTGGCTGACAGAGCGGACTAGCCTTGAGAGGCTTCCTACTGACCTGGGCTGGTTTACAGAGGCCCCACAGGAGAAGACAACCTCTACGCCGGTTCCTCACAGGCCGTCGGATGACCATAACTCACACTGGGATGTTGTCACACAGAGAAAGCCCGCTCAGAATACTGTCACACCCTCGCCCAGCCCCTCTTCCCAGAAAGATGATGACACTCAAAGGCAAGCAGGTGATCCCTCAGTGGTGTCCAGGGTTAGTGACAGCCACCACCAAGCAGTCCAGAACGACAGGGGGGCTGGGAGAGTGGTAGAAACCCCAGACAGTAACTCTGAGGTTAAGGCCACCACCACACTCAGAGTCCCACCTCCAGCCCAAACAACAGCATTTGCATCGGGGGCAGAGCGGCCTGAGAGTAAGGACAAAAGGAAGCAGGACAAGAGCTGGCTTCTAGTAGCACTCCTGGTGCCCCTGTGTGTTTTCATTGTGGTGATGCTGGCTCTGGGCATTGTGTACTGCACTAGCTGTGCTGTAGAACAGAACAAGAGCATCACTGACTGTTACCGCCGGATCATCACCTCCAAGTCAGAGGACAAGAACAAGGCAAAATCTCGTGCTTGACCAATAGAGGGAATACTGACTTTTGAAATGAACAGTTCTGAAGAGGGGGATGAATAAAGGGTTAAATACAGGATAGGATCCAGACTACCTATCAGATGGCCTCTGCTGCTATCACAGTGAAACTGGACCCCTGCATACTCCTGTGGAACATTCTAGTGTCTCTGTCTGAAGTCCATCTACAAATAATGCTTATTTTGGTGCTTCAAAAATTATGACAACATAAATGAAGTGCTGTTTTTTTTATGTTGTAAAGATCTGATAAATGCTTGTGAAGACAAGGGAGATTACTTTGTCGAGAGGAAGGGGTTCATATTTTAAAACTAGTGCTTATTTCACCACCATCAGAAAATGTCTTAAACAGTTAATTAATTTAGCAGGTGCTAAAGTTTACGATATTATGTATTGTAGACCTCGTTATTGAGGTTACTCATAATAAACAGAATAAACTTCAGAGTATTAATTTAAGAAACCTAGATGAGAATCAAGCCCATAACATGTATTGTATGGAGGTGAGAAGAAACACTGTGCAAGCAAAATGCTCCAATTGCCGAATATTTGGATATGTTGCCATTTGTAATGTGTACCCACTTTTGTTAGTTAGACCTAAATTGATTTATGTCCTTCTAGATACTTTGCACTGAATATGCATTGGATTTTAATAAAACAATACACCATTGCTGTTTTTTGACTGATATACCTCATGCGGTGAAAAGGATGATGAATAGAGCAAGCCAGCTTGTAGTCCTAAAAAACAGAAATGAGTTACCTCTGGTTCGTTCAGCCATTTCTATGGGGAAAATTAATGGGGAAAGAAGAGGGGAAAGAATAGGGTTTGGGGATAAACACCAAAAATAAGGTCTAAGCTTAGGAGATTTTATATGTTTTTGTTCTATGAGATAATATCAGTCAGTTAACATGTCCTTTATGAATTATGAAGCCTTTATGTGCTTTTTTTATAACATAAATGCTTCAACTTTCATAAAAAGTGACGTTGGCTGATGAAGATTATCCCATTGAACAAAATGTATAAGATCTCCTAAGTGTTTACCACCGACCTAATTTTCGGCGTTTATCCAAAAACCTTACAAAAACGCAATTTATTTCCCCATAGGCTTTGTCCAACGAACAATGGCCGAGTTGGTGGCTACAAAAAGACGCCATTATAATTTATCTATACCAACACCAAGATAAATTGTTTCATCTGCCTCTTTTTGTCTTTGATTGGGTAATAGCGCCCCCAAGCAGTTAGTGCCTAAGCCTACATTTGTAAAATATGAATATTTCCACGTTTTCTACTGTGACATACAGATGAAACACTATATCACTTCCACTAACACATTTTTTGGGGTGTCTCTTCTCCTAACCATTTAAGGTTACACATAAACACAATCATCAGGACTTTTACTCAGCCTATACATGATAGTGCTATAATAGGTTATCATATCCTTATACTTATTTTTCCTAATTTTGGTAAAACTTCATATGAATACCGTATTATACGGATATCTGCGCCATTATAATGGTTATATTATGCATTCATTTAGAGTACTATATGACCAGGTTGTATAAAGCCTTCACTTGTCTTGCTTTATAATTCAAATACTCTTTATTATGCATAATACAACGTTATTCTTGTAAAGACTAATCGATAAATCAGAACACTTGCGAAAGTAGGCCTAATGGTGAAAAATATATCTGTCGACGAGGATGGGATTCGAACCCACGCGTGCAGAGCACAATGGATTAGCAGTCCATCGCCTTAACCACTCGGCCACCTCGTCGGTTGGAGTCATTTCGGAAAATATTTCATTTTATTCGTTGAAAAATATTTCCTGTGCGTTAATAATTTCCTATTATACATAGCTTTCCGATGTATTTGCACCCGTTTACTACTGTAGTGAATATACCATTCCAAAACTACGTTTAGTTGCATTGGATTTATACAACATGCTGAGGTGGGATTAGTAGCCTCACTCGTCATCTCCCAGACAGGTGCGATCGTAGCGGACTAAACTTCACTCCATGGTGAAGAAAGTTTAATCATAAACTTCCTTCACCGAAACGTTCACCATGGAGTAGAGTTTAGTCCGCTAGCGCGAGCGAAAACCTTTGACGGAAAGGCTAGCTCACATTAGCTGATAGCTAGCTAGCCAAGGTTGTAAAGAAGTTCAAATAATAACTTGTTTTTAGATATTTTTGTTTTAACAAAAACATGTTAGCTCGTGACCTGAGATTCACTTAAAAATACCTCTCTTGAAGGTTGTGGTCGGTGGTAGCTGGTAGGTCAGGTAGGATGATGTGCAATAGGCCTAATACAGCAGAGACTCTTTGCATAACAGAGCTAGCTAGCTAGCTATCTATTGCAGTTTTTTCCTGCAGAATGCGAGTGGAAGGATGATGTGCAATAGGCCTGAAACAGCAGATCATCTTTGCATAACAGAGCTAGCTAGCTATCTATGGCAGTTTTTACCTGCAGAATGCGCGTGGATAAGAAAAACTCAAATGGATTGTAACTTGTATGGCAGGGTTCTTCAATTCCTGTCCTGGAGGGCCGAAACACTTCTGTTTTTTATTTCTACCTAGTAGTTAATTGCACTCACCTGGTGTCACAGGTCTGAATTAGCCCCTGATTAGAAGGAGAGGATGAAAAACAGAGGTGTTTCGGCCCTCCAGGACCGGAATTGAAGAACCCTGTTGTATGGGCACTGTACAGTAAAAAAAAAACAAGACAACAGTTTTAATCTGGATCATTGTAATCATTGTAATAAAGTGCAGTATTTAATAACTAGGCTATGCATCAACGTTTGTTAGTTACGTTGTCCAGTAAAAGTCACAATATAGACCTAGTTCAGGAGAGATTGGCACCATTCGTTGCAGAATAAAAAATGGTGTTGTGAGGATCAAGTTCATGTTATCCATTCACCGTACGATGTCGATGTGCCAGAGCTGACTTCAATAGCTGATCTGGGTGCGTACACAGGATGGGCATGTTGGGTGGAGAGCTGATTTGTGCCCGATGTGTGAGGTGTAAGAATCTGGAGGCGGTCTGGTCCAGGACTGAGGTGATCTCTGACCCCTGAAGCAGGCAGCTGGTTGGTCCCAGAGTGACCTCACAGTCCAGCCTGCTCAGGACTGGCAGGGTGAAAGGAACATGGCATGTTGACCTCTTGTCTAAATGATTGGTAGGTGTCTGAGGGCCTGTGCTTAGGGTTTTGGGCTGCTGTGTGTATTTCCACAACACTTGCCTTGATGGTGGTCCACACAAGCAAGTGGATCCATCTGGTGGGTGAATGGGGAAGTATTCCACGGTCCGGTAAGGCAGCCTAGCTGCAGCAGTCATGAATACCTGTGGATGTCTACAGGATGTGTGTTTCTCACTCCACTGTTCGTTCAGGACAAGACCCTCCCATTCGGCGTGGTCAGTGCCCTCCTTGAATACATCAATGCCTCCTCTATAGACTGACTTCATATGGTCCCTGGAGAAAGAGCAATGTTATATAGGACCAAGAAACATCCGAAATGGCAAACAATGAGACAAGCATATGATGGTATGATTCCCTATATCCAAAGAAAACAATCAGAAACAATTATGCCACTGCTAGAATGGTTAAAGATATAGTTCACCCAAATTACAAAATGACACATTGGTTTCCTTACCCTGTTAGCAGTCTATGGACAAGGTTTGACAGCAATCCATGATTTGGTTTAGTTTGCCTGGCACATATCCCATCCAAGTACTGGTATCGATATTAGCATTTTTCCCGTATTGTGTCCAAATCATACAAAAGTATCTCAAATTGATTGTGAAGCTCAACAAAGTCACTTATAGATGATTTGAACATGATGCGTGAAAAATGCTAATATCGATACCTGGACTTGGATGGGGTGAACTATCCCTTTAACATGCTTATTGACTGAGACTAGAAGCTGGTGCCCACACACACTGGTGCTTACCCAAACTCTGACTCTTTGACCGTATGTGACCCCCTTGAGTCACAAGGGGGCTCTATCTGCAAGGTTTTCATTTGATGTGTGGTGAAAGAACCAGCAGATATAGGGAACTTCCCCAAGGAACAATGGCCCTCCAAGCCAGGTGGAAGAACAGGGCCTTCTGTCATGGCCAAGATCCCATCTAAAACTGGAGTGAGGAGGAAGTCTTCTCCATCCATGGGTATGTATGGAGCCAACAAGTCCAGGTCCAGCTCACATAGTTCCTGCAGGGAGGAAATATGCTATTAAAAAAGGGATTGAAAAAGTGCACCGTTGATTCAACCAATTTCAGCTCATGTTTTACCCATGAGCAAAGAGATAGGCCTACTTACAGAGCGTGAGTTCATGTTCATTTGATCTTCTAGGTTGAGCTCTGCATATCCCTCATAGGTTTGGATCTCATCGTTGTATTCTAGATCAGATTGGGAGGAACATAACGATTCAATGCCACAAGTCTCTTAACACCTCTTTGGTTAAAAGCAAATATGTATCTTTCAATGGCTAATTGTCAGCTAAAGGGACAGACCTGGAGTTGGTATTGTTGAGTTGCGTAGATTAACAGGGGTCTCTGCTGTAAGACATGCCTCATTCTGCAGGGTGGGCCCCACCTCAAGTTCAGGGTAACAGGGCCTCAGTAACGGTTCTATTTGCTGCAGTGAGAACACCATCTCTGGTAGCACCACATCACTGTGGTGAGACAAGGAGACAGGGTGAACAGAAAAGGACAGGGAAAATAGCTTAACGCCAGATACGGTGCATACAATTTGGTAGCACAGGGAACAAGGGATTTTACTTGTAAACAGCTGAACAGATATCTAGTCTAACCAACTTATTATATTAAGAGTTGTCATTCATTAGATGCTTTCATTGGTCCTCGACCCCAACATCACTTCTCACCTTAGAATGTAGTTGATGCAGACGACACTTTGGGGCTGCCCAGTCTCGTTGTTGTACACCACCGATGCATCCGTCTCTGCCCACACATAACCACCACCTTTCAGCAGCAGACGGTACCTGCTCATGGTAGCCTGGCCCTTAGAGAGCACTGTCCCAGACACATGATCAGATATACATTTAACATGGTCAGAACATACTAGTGGTATTCACAATATTTATATACACCTCATGATTCGAGGTGACTCACAGCTCTGGTGTGCTTTGTGAATGTGCTGGCAGTCAGACGTGTGGTAATACTGATACACAGACTGGCCCAGAAGTTCTGTTTCTGTATATCCAGTCAGCTCCTTGACACTAGATACAAAATCATATGAAAAACAGGAAGAAAGGTATTATGTAATATACTTGTATTACTCGTCTCGTTTGATTAGCGTCACCAGATCATTGTTGAGTTAGTGAGTGTACCCTGAATGGCAGTAGGTGAACCTCATGTCCGGGCGGTGTCCGCTCAGGAAGGTCTTGTGATTCAAGCTGGCATCCCTGACGATGCATTGTGAGATGGGGAGGGGTCGGCACAATAGGACAAGACAGGCTGACTCTGGAAGGTGAGATTGTTTCTTAACCCCGACGCAGTGAATCACCTGTGTGTGTGTGAGGGAGAGAGAGAAAAGAGAAAGTGAAAAACAACAGAGAATAATAAAAACTCAACATGTTAACACTCTGCTTCAAACTAGCATGAATTACTGACCTTCCAAGGTGTGTGTCTTTGATTGACAGATCGACCCTGAGAGGTCAGAGTGCTCTTCACACGGAGAAGGAAGTCACACTGCTGTCGTCCCTCAGTAGCTGATAGAAAGACACGATACAGAAGATAAACAATATGCCTCTTTGCTAACTAATATCTTGTTTAAAATATGTGAAGTCCCCTTTACCTATAATTTTTGAGAGGATATCTCTGACCTCCCTCTGGTCACAGTGGTGCATGAAGTCAAACAGACTCCTACCAATCAGATCCATCTACACATGAAATAACAACATTTGTTGTTTAAAAAAATTGTTATTGTCATCCATTTTCCCTTCAGTTTCATTACAATATGAACACTCAACATATGTACATATACTGAACAAAAATATAAACGCAACATGTAAAGTGTTGGTCCCACGTTTCATGAGCTGAAATAAAACATACCAGACATTTTCCATATGCACAAAAAGCTTATTTCTCTCAAATTTTGTGCACAAATTTGTTTAAATCCATGTTAGTGAGAATTTCTCCTTTGCCAAGATAATCCATCCACCTGACAGGTGTGGCATATCAAGAAGCTGATTAAACAGCATGATCATTACACAGGTGCACCTTGTGATGGGGACAATAAAAGGCCACTCTAAAATGTGCAGTTTTGTCACACAACACAATGCCACAGATGTCTCAAGTTTTGATGGAGCGTGCAATTGGCATGCTGACTGCAGGAATGTCCACCAGAGCTGTTGCCAGAGAATTTAATGTTCATTTCTCTACCATACACCGCCTCTAATGTCATTTTAGAGAATTTGGCAGTACGTCCAACCGGCCTCACAATCGCAGACCACGTGTAACCACGCCAGCTCCACATCCGGCTTCTTCACCTGCGGGATCGTCTGAGACCAGCCACCCGGACAGCTGATGAAACTGAGGAGTATTTCTGTCTGTAATAAAGCCCTATTGTGGGGAAAAACTCATTCTGATTGGCTGGGCCTGGCTCCCCTGTGGGTGGGCCTGGCTCCCAAGTGGGTGGGCCTATGCCCTCCCAGGCCCACCCATGGCTACGCCCCTGCCCAGTCATGTGAAATCCATAGATTACAGCCGAATGAATTTATTTCAATTTACTGATTTCCTTACATGAATTGTAACTCAGTAAAATCGTTGTAATTGTTGCATGTTGCGTTTATATTTTTGTTCAGTATAATATGACTGTACCTGGTTGATGCCAGTGTGTGTGCTTATGTCCCCTGTAGTGAAGATAACCTGGCCGTTCTGGGACACCAAGATCATGAAACCCCCAACAGCTGACTCCAGCACTGTCTCCTCAGAGAAAAGCCCAGCCATTGGGTATCGGCCTAAATAACACAGAGGACAATGCCTTCTGTTATATTTCTAAACCCTTCAACACTCTAAAAGCCTCATCATTCCAAACACTCAACAGGATTTTGTTACCGTGCATGGTGAAGTGGACTGTGTCGGAGCAGACCCTGGTCTCTGTTGTAGCATTGTCTCTATGGTCTAGCAGTGCTCTCAGGCGCAGGTAGTCCAGTGTGAGTCTGACGATAGAAGCCTTGTCTATGTGGCCAGTCAGACCAGAGGGCAGAGGTAGCCATGCTGCCAGCTCCCCAAACAGACGGCTCTCTCTCTCCCTCCTGCTCTTAGCTGCAACACGGGACCGGGCCCGCAGACGCTCCGTACTCACCCTGTGGTACAAGCAGGGTCAAACCATTAAGAGGGAACATTTCTGAAAATATTATGCAGATGAGAGGAATAAAGAAAGAGAACTAAAGAGAGAGGGGAAGTGAAGGGGCCTAGGGAGCAGGGGTTGGAACGGGTTCAGGGAACAGGACCGAAAACCGGAAAATAAATACATTTTTCAAGGAACAGAAACGGAACCTGGAACGAAAGTGATCCATACTGTTCCAGTACAAAACCATTATTTTAAAATCATGGGAACCAGTTAATAACTTTCTTTTACGTTCCAGGCATTTTTTTCTAGTCCCACAACAAAACTCAACAAAGCCCATATCACTGGTATCTCTGCGCCAGAAGGAAGCTAAGAGTGGGAACCTCGTGAGGAGATAAAGGGCGACTGTAAACCAGGGGAGGCAACAACGTCACAGCTACGTCATGCTAGCTTATCACCACCAGTCTTGGTTGTCTGCTTCCAGAGATACAGCAACTAACTACTACGCTGTAGCAGATCTGGTATAGCTAACTCTTGCAAAATGTTGTTCTGGTAAATATTGTTGTGGTTTCTAGGTGACAAAACTAGTATTGTAGACTGTGTACAGTCAGGTCCAAAATTATTGGCACCCTTGATAAAGACGAGCAAAAAAGACTGTAAATAGCGGTCAAAGTTATTGGCACCCCTCCTTTCAATAACTTTCAATACCTTACCTTGCGAGGATAACGGCACTGAGCCTTTTTGGGAGGGATCTTAGACCATTCCTCCATACAGAATCTTTCCAGATCCTTGATATCCTTCATCTGCACTTATGGACTCCCCTTTTAATTTCAAACCACAGGTTTTCAATGGGGTTCAAGTCCGGAAAATGTTGATTTTATGGTCAATTAACAATTTCTTTGTGGATTTTGTTTGGTGCTTGGGGTTATTGTCTTGCTGGAAGATCCACTTGCAGCCAACTGTCAGCCTCCTGGCAGAGGCAACTAGGTTGTTGGCTAAAATATCCTGGTACTTTTTTAAGTTCATGATGCCGTTGACCTTAACAAGGGCCACTGGACCAGTGGAAGTAAAATAGCCCCATAGGTCCACCACCATATTTTACCGAATCTATGAGGTACTTTTTTTGCATATACTTCTGTTTTTCAACACCCACCACTGGTGTGCATGGCCAAAGAGCTTTATTTACATGTAATTTGACCAAAGCACCAGTTCCAATCCAAGTGCCAATGCCGTTTAGCAAAATCCAGGCGTTTACATTAGTTGGATGACATAAATAGAGGTCTTTGGCCATGCACACCAGTTGTGGGTTTGGCATCGAAGTAAAGATGCATATGCAGAAAGGAACCCCACACCTACTGTAAAATATGGTGGTGGAACTTTGATGTTACGGGGCTATTTTACTTCCACTGGTCCAGTGGCTCTTGTTAAGGTCAACGGCATCATGAACTTTAAAAAGTACCAGGATATTTTAGCCAACAACCTAGTTGCCTCTGCCAGGAGGCTGACAGTTGGCCGCAAGTGGATCTTCCAGCAAGACGATAACCCCAAGCACTAATCAAAATCCACAAAGAAATGGTTCATTGACCACAAAAATCAACATTTTGCAATGGCCATCTGTCTCCAGACTTGAACTCCATTGAAAACTTGTGGTTTTGGTTTTTTATTACTTGTTAAACAAAACCTCTTTCTCTGAGCAGCTGTATTAGTATAAAATAATATAAATCCATATTTTGTTTTGCATACAATATAGCTCAGTATTTGTATTATTTATTTTATACTTTACTTTTTTTTCCTCATCTTTATCAAGGATGCCAATAATTATGGACCTGACTGTATCTGATCAAAACAATCCTGTACATTTCTAATGCAAATAAACAATGGTTTGTCAGTTAGTGATCAATTAGTGCTAAATCCACTCCTGAGTTTCCCATGCCTAAAATAAAACCTTAGTCAGGCGGTGTGTTTGTTTGTTTATTAGAGTAATTAATTAGAGAAGTAACTCACCTGCTTCTCTTCTGTCCATTAATTCTGTCCTTCTGTCTCTCTGTCTTATGGAGCTTTCGATCACAAGCATCTTCCAGATCATTTCCTAAATGAGGAAACATTAGCAAAATCTCTGAATGGACACTTGCTAGTAATCACAGACAAATGCCAGTCATGCGGTCAACAAGCATTTCGCCCACTTGTACTTTTGGAGGTTGAACTGGAACATGTTCCTGAACCAATGTCCAGTGGCAAGTCATTAATCTTTCTCCTGAGTCTCCTCCTCTTTTGGACATGCCACCTCCCACCAGGGAGGGTCTCTCATCCGCTTTGTTTACAAACACTCTACTTTAGGCACCAAACTATCAGTTACTGACTATTTCACAAATGTGTTACAATAGAAGAAATGGGCACGGTAGCTTTCATCAATACCATAGTGGATTGTATCGTGAAGTTGATTTTCTCCTAACACTTTCAATACTTAAAGTGAAATCTAAAACTAAATATTGACTTGCTCAATGGTATTTTCTTTTAATTGTTGTCTTAACCATGGGGTGATGGAGTAAGGTAGAGTTGGCACAGACATTGACCAACCCTCATTTATGTGTTTTAAAAATGTTTCGCAAGACATCTGGCATGATTCCTGATCCTAAACGGTGGCGCCAGTTGCATGCCCTATGCTGTAAACACTTCCTCCACCCACCCCCACACACAAGGGCACATACATACACATTATCTGCCTAATGTTGTGCAAGTGAAGTAAACACATACTAAGTAAACAGTATACTATAAAAAAGACAAACTTATATAATGAAAATATAATTAACACTGACCACTAGATATCAAGGGCTGTTACATTGTCTTTCCTTTATATCTAATCAACTTGTTAAAACAGAATTTATTCCAAAGGGATAAACCACGGCCCTGTTAGTAGATACGCTGGCTCAAAAAGGGTTCATAAAAGTGGCCGATTTATACCAGGCTGTAAGTTGTTTAAACCAATACTCAATTTGACAGATGTAGTACATACACAAGCTGCTTTCCACTTTCTTTTTCTTTGGTTGTCCACAGTATGGAGTCTCTTCTCACACTGGATGTTTCATAATCAAAGAGGAGCACTTCAGTCTCATCCGGTACAACAGGTTTTGATAAAGGCAGCGATTAAAAAAGCCATCTCCATCTGTTAGTTTTTTCCCTTTCTTCTGCTTATGTCATCATGTCTTGAAACTGTGTTCATCATCCTTGGGATGTACAGTGAAGTACAATAAAGTAAAATGTAAGTCCAGATGAGTCCATTATGAGTGTACCTTGGTTATCCAGAAATCTGCAGGGACAAGTGAAGTAGTCATATATAGAACACAGAACATAGAATATAGAACATAGAATATAGAATAGAGATCATAGATGTCTCCATCCATCTCTATTCCGCATCCAGATCCAGAGAACTGCTGCATTTCTGTCGCTATCTTTCTCTGTCAGTCTGCGACAGTGCGCAGAGGCAATGGGAAGCTCGGCTTTCTACCATTCCAAAAAGATGTCAGGTAGTGGTGATTAATGGAGAGTGCCTTCCTGTGGTCAGCTTGGTTGGCATGCCTCAGTTTCAGTCCAACGCGGTGCACAATCCCATAAAGCCGGATCTCTTTTATTGAGACTGGACCCTTGATACCCGTAGGTGATTCCATACACTGAACGCAAGGGCATGAGTCTTAGACTAGAGTAAGAAATATATCAATAGCCTGGGGACAAGGGAAGCCAATCAAGCTGGTAGAACCACTTGAACCACTATGCCTTCTACTAATGAGAGCAGCAGAATAAATAATGAGGGGTAAAACAGCACTACAGCTCATAGGCCTGAGGGGCTAATGCTCTGTTACAACAGGTACTGACCCATTGTACTGGTCACAGACCATGCTCAGATCATCTACTGGTTGGCCATGTAAAGTTATTGGCATCTGGAGCTGATGCAGTTTGTAGGATGGGAGGACGTGATGCCCCACACTGCCAAAGCGCCTGGCACCATAACCGCCCAGGCCCGGAATAAACACTGAAACAGCATGACAGATGGGTATCGTGCCACCCTCGCTTCGATAACAAGTCACCTAGGGACCAGTCTGAGGGCCACCAGTCACGGTTCTCTCTTATCTGCATCCAACAACTAGCTAAGAGAAAGCAAAACGTCCTGGAATGTTCCTAGGCAGAAAGTAACCCATGGAAAAGGCAGTCATCTATGACAATAAGACCCACTGTCATCATGAGAGAGAAAATAATGATCATTTCATGAGCAGGCAAACCTGTCTTTACTTATTAGAAACAGGTTGGATCATTTGCTTTTGTATAATACTAGAAGGTTATATTTGAAGACCCTGAAGGCATGTTGTCCTCCATACTGACGTGACGTCTACTGTACCAGTGAGTGGGATGAATGACGTAGTGAGTAAGAGAGCATCAAACTCCAGCTGAGGAGAATTGGTGGTGCATTCTTAGAAAAAAAGGTGCTATCTAGAACCTAAAAGGGTTCTTCGGCTGTCCCCATAGAAGAACCCTTTGAAGAGACCTTTTTGGTTCCATGTAAAATCCTTTCCATAAAGGGTTCTACATGGAACCCAAAAGGGTTCTACATGAAACCAAAAGGGTTCTCCTATGGGGACAGCCGGAAGAACCCTTTTGGAACCCTTTTTTCTAAGAGTGTAGATCAGAGACCTGGGTGGTCAAGGTGTGGTTCAATAGTTGATGTTGGGTTATTTCCTGTTTATGGATGGTCTTTTGAGAGTTTTTATTATATTGTGAAAGCGGAATCAAGAAAGGAGGCGTTGTAGTCTTCACTGTGATACAGGGAAAATACAACAAATTATGAAAAGTTATCAGGAAAATGTAGCAAAGAACATAATGTATGTCAATCTTCATAAAAGCAAAACTATGGTTCACCAGCTTTGTGTCTAAAAAATGTGTCTCTCTCTGCATGACATTTTACCACACTAGCTCAAGATAGTTGGGTCTGATTAAATTGTGGTCTACAGATGTAGGATCTTAATTTGAGCAGTTTAATCCTGCAGCAACAGGAAATTGGAATTATTGTGTGGATTATAAAAATGTACATTTGTGTAGGGGTTTTCTGTAAATATGCATTGTGGTGATACTGATTAACTTGAAGCAAATGAAAAGTTCCAGTGTTAGTGTAAATTTCACTACTTAAGCTTCAATTAAAATGTTTGTTTTTCACATTTTTTGTTTGGGAAAATCAAGTCTGAAATGTTTAAGTGGAAATTACAAACTTCAGAACCCCTTTTAAACATTGAATACACTACAAGTTTGCATTTTCTGCTGTGCAGGAAATGTTCTTGCAACAACAGGGTGACCACATTAAGATCCTACACCTGTATGTTTCCGTGTCAAAGCCCTGCCACAGACTGCCTTCCGGTGCCTGTACCCTTTTTCTGTAGAAATGAGATAGATGATGTAGCTGATGAATTCTGGCCACAGTGAGAGTGAAAAACAAACATTTTAATTGAAGCTTAAGTAGTGAAATTGACACTAACACTGGAACTTAAATGTATTTTTACAATAAATAAAAAAAATGTACACAGGAACTTTTCATTTGCTTCAAGTTAATCAGTATCACCACAATGCATATTTATAGACAGCCTATTTTAAATAGAAAAGGATATCCTATACTAAATGTTTGTTTTTACTAACAAACATTGGATTAAGTGTTATTTCTAATCTAATTATGTACAAATCTTCTCTGTTTATCGCTTTCCTATTGGCTGTTACTTATTGTGCATAGTTAATTTACTTTATAATTGTAGATTATTAGTGGATCTGTACAATCCCCCTGCAATGTTCTTTTCTGTAGTTTCTCTTCCTGTGTTTTTCATAGATTTAAAGGATGTGGCCAGTGCAACAGGAAATGTAGCACACCTACCATGGCTGTTTAAAAGAGTGAAACTAAAGGGGGTTAAAGACGAAGGCATTGAGCAGCCATACACAAATACATGAGCACAGAGCTGGCTGCGTTCTTCCCACTGGCATCCATTTTGACATGAAGATGGTTGGAAGCTGGTTATTTCTCCTCATCTCTCTCCAAGGATATGAGGCTCCCTCCACCCCCAGTAAGATCTTCCTGTTGTATTAATGATGCTACACCTGTGACATTTATTTTTTATAAATAATGTTAATTTATTCAACTTGTTTAAGACCTTGTGCTATGACAACAAATCCGGCCAATGTGCCCTCAACTTCAAATAATAAACAAATTACATTTCATACCAGGTATTAAAGCAATTTATTTGATCAAACTATTACATAACATCCTAGAAACACAAAATAATCTGAATGTAACACTCTGGCTCCGGGACTTTTGTATTTGAGCCAGGGTGTATTGTGTTTTGTTGGGTTTTGGGTGATTTTCTATGTTTGCATTTCTGTCACGTTTATTTCTAGGTTTGGTCATTGACTCCCAATCGGAGGTAACGAGTGTCAGCTGTCGGCTCGTTATCTCTGATTGGGAGCCATATTTATACTGCATGTTTTCCTGTGGGCATTGTGGGTTATTGTTCCATGTTTCTGTTAGTGTTACAGAGGACTTCACTATCGTCATTTGTTGTTTTTCGTGGTTGCTTTATTTAATAAAGTCATTATGTTCACTCCACGCGCTGCGTATTGGTCCGCTTCTTCAGACGATCGTGACAGAATAACCCACCATAAAGGGACCAAGCAGCGCGTCCAGGAACAAAGGGTCTGGACATGGATGGAACTGTTGGACGGTAAAGGGTCCTGGACTTGGGAGGAGATCCTGGATGGTATGGATCGCCGACCATGGAACGAGACGGTGGAGAGGCGACGGCGAGAGGAGCAACGGCATCGGCAGGGCCATCGTCGGAAGGACGAGAGGCAACCCCAAAAAGTTTTTGGGGGGGGGCACATGGCTTGGGCGACTGAGCAGCAGGAGGCTGCCACAAGGCAGATTCAGAAGGCTACCAGGTTAAGGGGGCTGACGGAGGCAGAGAAGGGACGGATTCAGGAGGCTACCAGGTTAAGGGGGTCACTGGCCAAAGTAGGGAAAGGAGATGTAGAGGCACGGCGTGAGAGACTGAGGTGTGTATCCAGTCCGGTCCGGCCCGTTCCTAATCCCGAGGTACAGCCAGTAGTGTGTGTCCCCAGTACGGTACGGCCTGTTCCGGCCCCTCGCACTAAGTGTACGGTGCGCGTCGCCAGCCCAGCCCGGCCTGTTCCTGAGCCTCATACGAGGCCTACGGTGCGCGTCGCCAGCCCAGCCCGGCCTGTTCCGGCCACTCGCACCAGGGATACGGTGCGCTTCGCCAGCCCGGCCCGGCCTGTTCCGGCCACTCGCACCAGGGATACGGTGCGCGTCGCCAGCTCAGCCCGGCCTGTTCCTACTCCACGCACCAGGGATACGGTGCGCTTCGCCAGCCCGGCCCGGCCTGTTCCGGCCACTCGCACCAGGGATACGGTGCGCTTCGCCAGCCCGGCCCGGCCTGTTCCGGCCTCTCGCACCAGGGATACGGTGCGCGTCGCCAGCTCAGCCCGGCCTGTTCCTACTCCACGCACCAGGGATACGGTGCGCTTCGCCAGCCCGGCCCGGCCTGTTCCGGCCACTCGCACCAGGGATACGGTGCGCGTCGCCAGCCCAGCCCGGCCTGTTCCTACTCCACGCACCAGGGATACGGTGCGTCCCCAGGGCCAAGCATGCCCTGTTGCTTCTCCCCGCACTAGCCCTGAGATGCGTGTCCTCAGCCCGGTACCTCCAGTTCCGGCACCACGCATCAGGCCTACGGTGCGTCCCCAGGGCCAAGCATGCCCTGTTGCTTCTCCCCGCACTAGCCCTGAGATGCGTGTCCTCAGCCCGGTACCTCCAGTTCCGGCACCACGCACCAGGCCTACGGTGCGCCTCAGACGGCCGGAGTCTGCCGTCTGCCCAACGGGGCCTGAACTGTCCGTCTGCCCAACGCCGTCTGAACTGCCCGTCTGCCCAACGGCGCCTGAACTGCCCGTCTGCCCAACGCCGTCTGAACTGTCCGTCTGCCCAACGCCGTCTGAACTGCCCGTCTGTACTGAGCCTGCAAAGCCGCCCGTCTGCCATGAGCCTTCAGAGCCGTCCGCCAGACCGGAGCCGCTAGAGCTCTCCGCCAGACAGGATCAGCCAGAGCCTTCCGCCAGACAGGATCAGCCAGAGCCTTCCGCCAGACAGGATCAGCCAGAGCCTTCCGCCAGACAGGATCAGCCAGAGCCTTCCGCCAGACAGGATCAGCCAGAGCCTTCCGCCAGACAGGAGCAGCCAGAGCCTTCCGTCAGACCGGATCAGCCAGAGCCTTCCGCCAGACGGGATCAGCCAGAGCCTTCCGCCTGCCATGAGCAGCCAGATCCGTCAGCCAGCCATGAGCAGCCAGATCCGTCAGCCAGCCATGAGCCGTCCAGCCAGGATCCGCCAGAGCCGTCCAGCCAGGATCCGCCAGAGCCGTCCAGCCAGGATCCGCCAGAGCCAGCCAGCCAGGATCCGCCCCTTAGTCAGGTACTGTCCCTTAGTCCGGTGCTGCCCCTTAGTCCGGTGCTGCCCCTTAGTCCGGTGCCGCCCCTTAATCCAGTGGGGTTTAATTGGGGGGTGGTCATGTGGAGGAGGCTAGGGAAGCGGGTGGTGACTAAGGTGGGGTGGGGACCACGACCAGGGCCAGAACCGCCACCGTGGACAGACGCCCACCCAGACCCTCCCCGAGACTGTATGCTGGTGCGCCCGGAGTGCGCACCTTTAGGGGGGGGTACTGTAACACTCTGGCTCCGGGACTTTTGTATTTGAGCCAGGGTGTATTGTGTTTTGTTGGGTTTTGGGTGATTTTCTATGTTTGCATTTCTGTCACGTTTATTTCTAGGTTTGGTCATTGACTCCCAATCGGAGGTAACGAGTGTCAGCTGTCGGCTCGTTATCTCTGATTGGGAGCCATATTTATACTGCATGTTTTCCTGTGGGCATTGTGGGTTATTGTTCCATGTTTCTGTTAGTGTTACAGAGGACTTCACTATCGTCATTTGTTGTTTTTCGTGGTTGCTTTATTTAATAAAGTCATTATGTTCACTCCACGCGCTGCGTATTGGTCCGCTTCTTCAGACGATCGTGACACTGAAAAGTAAAGTTTCATGTGGCATTTCTATTGCTGATGCAACACCAAAAGTCCCCTGCTAGTCTGAGATTGACGTCAACTACTTTGTGGTTTCCTGCAACATGGCCATCCATCTTGTCATATACATTCACATGCTGATAAAAGTATTGATTTAATTCAATGTGATGGTGGAAAAGTACTCTAGTCATGATATACATGAATGTATAGACCCTTAATATGTTATCTGATTTGTCTCTTAAAAATCTGTAAACCCCCAATGTAATTATGCAACTCATCTGGATATCATACCACAGCTCCCCTTTAAAGGATTCAGTGTAATGTCATATTTGAAAAAATATTTTCAATTTCTGTTCCTTTTGCAGAAGTAAACTGCCTGATCATTAATCTGGATTATGTCAACTGCATCTGGAGTGAACAGGGGAGCCCAGAGGTCAACTTCACCTTTTTCAACAACAGGTTAGTGCAATGGCAGAACCCTGTCATACCTTTAACATGTGATGGGTGTTGAGGTCTTTGGGCAAAATGCTTGCCGTGCATCACTGTGATTGGGTGTTACACATTGGTGGCGGTGATTGAGGTGTTTGAGTTGTCCTCTTACAATGAAAGGGGCTTTGAGACTCTCTATATGACTGAATATATTATTGTTATTACACTCCTTACCATATGTATTTGTGGACAGTGAAGCTAACATTTTAAATGTGGCTCTATACTCCAGCATTTTGTTTCATATGAGGTGACAGTACAGAATTACACATTTTATTTGAGGGTATGTTCATACAGTACATACTGTATCTGTTTTGCCATTTACAAATGAACACTTTATGTACAGGTAACTGCCAAAATAATGGAAACATTTGAGTAAATGAGGGATACAAAGTATATTGAAAGCAGGTGCTTCCACATAGGTGTGGTTCCTGAGTTAATTAAGCAATTAATATCCCATCATGCTTAGGGTCATGTATAGAAATGCTGGGCAGGCCATTATTTTGGCTACTATGGTTATGGCCCAATAGGATGGAAATGCCCCCATCCACAGGGCACAAGTCACTGAATGGTTTGATGAGCATGAAAACCATGTAAACCATATGCCATGGCCGTCTTAGTCACCAGATCTCAACCCAATTGAACACTTATGGGAGATTCTGGAGCGGCGAATGAGACAGCGTTTTCCACCACCATCAACAAAACACCAAATGATGGAATTTCTCGTGGAATAATTGTGTCACATCCCTCCAATAGAGTTCCAGACACTTGTAGAATCTATGTCAAGGTGCATATTAAGACACTTTGTTGGTGTTTCCTTTATTTTGGCCATTACGCCCCATTTGAAGAAATCATAGGTATTTGGACAAATTCAATTGTAGTGTATTAAAGTAGTCAAAAGTTAAGTATTTGGTCCCATATTCCTTGCACTCAATGAATACATCAAGCTTGTGACTCTACAAACTCGTTGGATGCATTTGCAGTTTGTTTTGGTTGTATTTCGGATTATATTTTGCACAATAGGAACTGAATGGTGAATAATGTATTATGTCATTTTGGAGTAACTTTTTATTGTAATTAAGAATAGAAGATGTTTCCGAACACTTCTACATTAATGTGGATGCTATGATGATTATGGATAATCATGAATCATGAATAATGATGAGTGAGAAAGTTACAGAGGCACAAAGTATCACGTTTCAGGAGAAGACCCAGATGCAGACAGTGTCGATGTAACAAAAGTTTATTACAAGTTCCTGTTTTGTACCTGGAGGGGGGTGGAGACAATCACAAAGACAGGTGAAACAGATCAGGGTGTGACACAATGATCATACCCCCTAACACATGCTAACCTCCCCTGTTATTGGTAATGGTGAGAAGTTAGTATGTTTTGTTGTAGCGTCTGTAAACTTCTCACTCATCATTATTCATGATTTATTTTCTTAATCATGGCATTATCAGGATTAATTTAGATGTGTTCAGAAACATCTTATCCCAGAAATAACATTAATGGTGAGAGGTTAGTATGTTTTGTTGTAGCTTCTGTAAACTTCTCACTCATCATTATTCATGATTCATTTTCTTAATCATGGCGTTATCAGGATTAATTTAGAAGTGTTCAGAAACATCTTATCACAGAAAGAAAATTACTCCAGTCATCATTCACCATTCAGTTCCTAATAGGCAAAATATTACGCAAAACACAACCAAAACAAACTGCAAATGCATCCAACAAGTTTGTAGAGTCACTTTTGACTACTATAATAGTGAATTTGCCCAAATACTTATGACTTCTTCAAATGGGGGGACTAGATACATAAAATGCTCTCATTTCTAAACGGTAAAACAGATACAGTATGTTTGAAAATACCCTCAAATAAAAATTGACATTCTGTACTGTTGCCTCATTTGAAACATTTGATCTCAAATCCAAAATGTTGGAGTATACAGCCAGAAAAATAAATAATTGCTTCACTGTCCAAATACATACGGAGGGGAGTGTATCTCTGTCAAATCTTGAATGTCCGTACTTTGGTCCTAATTCTCATCCATCATTTTCACATGGTATGTGTTTAGGTTCATCAAAGATCATATGGAGGAGTGCACAACATATCTCCAGGAGAAGAGTAATGCTGTGGGATGTAGACTGTCGTTTGACATGTCTGACAGGTTTAGAACACTGACAACCAAGCTGGTCCATCAGAACAAAAGTTATGTGCAGAACCATAACCTCAAAAGCATGGGTAGGTTTTTTTTCTCAATCAAATCATAACATTACATACAGAACAGCATTAAACATGAAGAGCAATAGTCATCTTAAATTAGGCTTTTCAGCATGTGTGTTTGTCCTATATTCAATCTTCATTTGATGTGTCGTTAACGTTTGACCCTCCTTGATGCTTTTTCTAGTGAAGCTTTACCCTCCTACCAACCTGTCAGTTGAGATGAACAAAGACCCAGAGCTGAATCTGTACTGGAACAACAGCAAGAACAACCAATGCATTGAGAGTGAAGTGCGCTACAGAATAAACAACAACAAGTGGCAGGTGGGGAGGGGTCAGGACTCAGACGTTGGACTACTGTTTGGACTCTGTAGCCTAATGGTCATTTTTCAACAAAATACTGGACAAATCTTTGAAAATAACTCTCTCTCACCTCCACTCTCTCTTTGTTCTTTTCTTCAGACATCTACTCTGATCAGAGAACAGAATTATGCTGTTCCTTTCCCCTTAAAGAGCAGTCGGTATGAGTTTCAAGTGAGAGCACGAGTTAACAGCATTTGTTGCGAGTCCGAGTTCTGGAGTGAATGGAGTCAGCCCATTCTATGGGATTCCATGAAAGGAAATAACATCACAGGTAAATAGATCCAAAATCTCTGCTTCGCTTTATGGTTATAAGGTTGTGCTCAGGCTTCTGTCAGGACTTTGTCATGTCAACCTTTCTCTTTGGCCTAGACATATCTGGCAGCTCAATGTCTATGTGGAAGCCAGTGCTGTCATTAGTGGGTGCCATGACACTCTTCATGTTGGCCTGCATGCTGGTCTACAGGGAAAGGTAGGTTTGCCAACAGAAGTTAACACCACACATAGGCCCCCAATAAAGTCTAAAATCAAGGGGTACAGTTTACATTTTTAAATCAATCTCCTTTGGACATAGTGCTCCATTCTTCCTCTGAAAAAAGTTATACTCTGAATCTGAACTGACCCTATCACTTTGTAGAGAACGACTGAGATTCATCCTCATTCCCATTGTGCCTAATCCAGGCAAGAACCTGGATGACAATGTAGAGGTAATATTTATCCCTGGTCCCATGCATTGCACTTCATTATAATCTTTGTATCTTATAAGTGTTACTGTTATCTACAGTGTAAATCACATCTTATATCTCACATATTACATGTAACCTTTACCTTTAAAGGCCTGGCTTCACGGCTCCAAAGACATTTGCTTCCAGCCTAACTTCACTGAGCGTGTCTGTCCTGTTCGTGAGTATCGTCTGGTTCCCCAAACCGGCAGCGTCAGTGAGTCTGAGAGCAACCTCTCCATCCCAACAGACCAGTCAGATTCCCTGTCCACGTGCTCTTCCTCAACTTCCACTCTTCCTGTCACAAGTGAAAATGAACGAGCTGGTTTTGAGTGAGATTTACAGAGGCTTCGTTCTAATTACCCTTCTCCCCTAGGTGTGCACTTACTTGTGTCGTGGTAGAAATATTTGACTAATAGATAATCATCTCAAAAATATCTCTCAAGACACCGGAGCTTGTGAATTCAAGAATTAGACTTTATTGCATAACAAAGCCCAGCTTGCTCCATGGAACAAAACTGTCTCTCTCTGGCTTAGAGATCTCTTATATCCACACAAATGAAAAAACATGCGTACATTCCTAACTTTTTTTTAGTTCTGTACCACCCCTCTCATTCTATCATTCTATTGGCTGCGTGCTTAGGCCCCTTCTTAAAAAAACAAATGTAATGCATACCATGTGTCTATAACAAGCCCATGGGCCACAGTTTAAGAGCCCCTGTGAAAGAACACATGCATTCATTTAAAACACAGCATATACTCCATGCCTATATTCCTTATTTAAGCATGTATCTGGATTATAAAATATCAAACATGTTCATTCTGTTTCACCATTATCATTTCATAACACATTATAAAACATTTATCATTCATCATCCTCCCCGGCCCCTGAGATTATGTGCATATGTGCATGTGGCCATGTGTCAGGTCATAAGGTCATAAGCATAAATGATAACACTAGTTCCATTGTTACTCCAATCTCCACACAGCCATCACGTCATTGACATTCCCAGACCAGCTGCAGGGAGTTTTATGAAAAACACATAAATGTCTTCGCTCTGTATTAACCTTTCAACTGGTTCTCAATCCATAAACATTTTAAGGCAGTTAGGTTTTTAATTTTACAACATATCCATGCTTATTACTAATATTATTATTTTACCTTTGACCTCTCCCTACATTTGCCTTAATGATACATAAAATAATACCATACTTGCTCTCCCTAATGTGGTATCTAAATAACGATGCTGTTTATGACAAGAAATCCGCTGACACTGTCCTTGATTATAATAGTTTATTACACCAAAGATTTCAGCGTCAATTTACAGACTCCTGCAGACATCTGGAGAACAACTGACCCAATCTCTAATATGTTGTTCCTCCTCGTCCTTTGTTCCAACCATGGTATTTATAATCTGTAACATGATGTGGGTGGTTTTCCCATAAACCAATCCCAGGACGCCACATAACAGACTTCCTCTATTTTAGGGGGCCCCTCTAGTAATGCTTTCCAGATGCTTCCGCAAGCTGAGTCAACTTCCTCTAACACACCATTTGCAAACGTCAGCAAAGTCATAAACTGTTTAGACACTACACTCATGGATAAAATGTATTAGATTGGTGTACGCATGGGCTAAAGGGAGTTTCCATCATATTTGTTTATGAGTGCACACTTCAGGGAGAAGGGTAGATAATATTTACATGTAAACATCCTTAATATTACGATACCCAATCACTAAAATTTTTGTTTGATGTTCAACCATTTGTAAGATTTTTAAATGCATACATTTTTGAGAGAGAATAAAACGTAAAATCAACTGAACATTGCATCAATGACATACCCTCCTATTGCGTTACGAGAAGAAAAAAAGCTGTTAATTACACAAACTGACCACACACAATATAGTAGCGTTATGAGCTAGGATACGTATGAGCGTGCATGTCTAAATAATGTATAATAATGGCATTTAAAAAAAAATAGATATCTATAGCATATACAAGCTAATGTAAAAAATAATCTTAGCAGCTGAAATGATGGGAACAGGGTTACAAATGGTTGGAATTGATTGAGTGTTCAGCTGACAGTTTTAATATTACAAACAATCCCTTGTGAAATTTTAATTTCACTGTTGCACATTGTATCTTGTTGCAATAGAGTGAACATGTGACACGTTGAATATTAGCCTATACTTTAATTAAAATGGTATCTTATACTAGCTTGTATTTGTATTTGTATGTATCTACAATACAAAATGTATAATACCACCATACAACAATATTACAATGTGTCTACCTTTGTGTGTGTCTCTTCACAGTCCCCGCTGTTCCATAAGGTATATTTTTATCAGTTTTTTAAAATCTGATTGTAATAGTATTTTCTTTAAATGTTGTTTCCAAGCAGGGGCTACTGCTATAAAAATGACTATTGGCCTATTTCCTCTGAAACAAATGTGATAAACGTTGCCTCCTAATGTTGCATGCTATCCTGTAATCCTATTCCAGTGGCGACCGTCATTCAGGGCAGGTGGGGCAGCGCAAAAAAGTTGTTTTAATGTTTTTAAAATGTTTTTAAAATGTTTGGTTTTTTGTGCCTGCTTTGCATTTTATTTTGGCATTAATAAGTGTCACCATATCAATTTGCAAACAATGTAAAAAAAATAAAAATAAAATAGATCTAATAAAGCCGCATACAAACATGGTCTCTTTTTTGCTTTCTTGAGTAAGGCAGCTCCAAAATGCAGGTGTTTCAGCCTAGCTCAGGGCTTTCTGTGGTGATGGGGCAGCCAGTGGAAAATATGGAGCGTAGGGGTTGGTAATGTTCTCTAGTTGCTCCGTGATTGGTTCAGTTGTCATGACTTCCTCCGAGGCTAACCCCTCTCCTTGTTCGGGCAGGCTTCGGCGTTCGTCGTCACCGGCCTTATAGCCACTGCCGCTCATCATCTCATCTCATCAATCCATTTGTTTTGTCTTGTTTATTACACACACCTGGTTCATATCCCCTCATCAGTACCTGTATAAGTGTTCCCTCTGCCCCCTTGTCTTTGTGTGTGATTGTATATTGTGAGATTAGTGAGGCTCGGTGGAGCTCCTTGTATTTTGTATCACCGGGTTATTTTCCCTGTGTGCCTTGGTTTCAGTGTGCCTGTTTTGCGCACTGGACTGCTTTGATGCATTATTGCATAACTCTGTATTCCAGAATAAATCTTGTTATTCTGTGATTTACCCTCCTGCACCTGACTCCTTCAAATCACCACATCACAGAATCACACACCCGCCATGGAGTCAGCAGGAGAGGAGCACATGCCTGGAGTTGTCCTGGATCACGAGATGATGGAGCTGGGTGGAGCGGCGATCCGGGAGAGCAGAGGACGACAGCGCCAGTGTCACTCTCGTGGCGCGAGAGGACATTCTCCTTCACGATGTCTTCAGGGTTCTTTTGGGTCTGGCTGCGGCAGGCAGGGCACTCTCGCATCATCCCAGGTATCGAACACCCACACTTGTTCAGAGTACGCACTGTACCCTACCCATCCACTTTCCTGATTACATTGTAGTTCCCCAGTGTAAGGCGCTGGTCGATTCAGGCGCAGCTGGGAACTTTATGGACAGGTCATTTTCACATTGTCTAGGCATTACATTGGTTCCCCTATCCATTCCACTCCTCATCAGAGCACTTGACAGTCGACCATTAGGGTCCGGGTTCGTTAGGGAAGTTACAGCACCAGTCACTATGGTTACACACGAGACTCATCGAGAGCAAGTCACTTTTTTAAATTATTGAGTCTCCTGATTTCCCTGTTGTGTTAGGTCTTCCCTGGTTAGCACTACACAACCCCACCTTTTCATGGCCGCAGAGGGTTCTCAAGGGGTGGTCGCAAAAGTGTCAGGGTAGGTGTCTAGGTGTTTCTGTTGGTGCAACTACAGTGGAAACCCCCAGAATACCTCGATTTGGCGCACGTGTTTTCCAAAACGCAGGCGACCAAATTACCACCTCATCAGGCGGGGGATTGCGTGATAAACCTCCGGGTAGACGCTGTGCCTCCCAGGAGTCATGCGTATCCCCTGTCGCAGGCTGAAATGGAGGCTATGGAGACATACGTCTCCGAGTCCCTGCGCCAGGGGTTCATACGTCCCTCCACTTCACCCGCCTCCTCAAGTTTCTTTTTTGTGAAGAAGAAAGACGGAGGTCTGCGCCCTTGCATCGATTACCAAGCACAGGGGACAATACGTTATAGTTATCCTCTACCCCTCATTCCGTCTGTGATCGAGTCAATGCATGGTGCGCGCTTTCGATCTCCGGAGTGTGCACAACCTGGTGTGTAACCGAGAGGGGGACGAGTGGAAGACAGCATTCAGCACCACCACAGGGCATTATGAATACCTGGTGATGCCTTACTGTTTGATCCGTCTACCAGTCCTTTGTGAACAAGGTGTTTCGGGACATGCTTGGTCGCAGTGTAGTCTACATCGATTACATTTTGGTGTATTCCGCTACGCGCGCCGAGCATGTGTCCCTGGTTCGCAAAGTGCTGGCCTGACTGTTGGAACATGACCTTTATGCCAAGGCAGAAAAGTGTCTGTTTTTCCAACAGTTCGTCTCCTTCCTCGGATACCGCATTACCACCTCAGGTGTGGAGATGGAGGGAGATCGCATTTCAGCCGTGCGAAATTGGCAGACTCCAACCATGGTAAAGGAGGTGCACCACTTTATTGGCTTTGCCAACTACTATCTGAGGTTTATCTGGGGCTTTGGCAAGGTCGCAGCTCCCATCACATCACTGTTCAAGGGTGGGCCGTCCCGGCTCCGCTGGTCTGCTGAGGCTGACAGGGCCTTCAGTAACCTGAGGGTTCTGTTCACCTCAGCCCCGGTACTGGCCCATCCCAATCCATCACTACCGTTCGGAGTGGAGGTGGATGCATCCGAGGTAGGGATAGGCGCTGTCCTATAGAAATGAGATAGATGATAGAAACGCCATAGAAATGAGATAGATGATGTAGCTGATGAATTCTGGCCACAGTGAGAGTGAAAAACAAACATTTTAATTGAAGCTTAAGTAGTGAAATTGACACTAACACTGGAACTTAAATATATTTTTATAATAAAAATAAAAAATGTACACAGGAACTTTTCATTTGCTTCAAGTTAATCAGTATCACCACAATGCATATTTATAGACAGCCTATTTGAAATAGAAAAGGATATGCTATACTAAATGTTTGTTTTTACTAACAAACATTGGATTAAGTGTTATTTCTAATCTAATTATGTACAAATCTTCTGTGTTAATCGCTTTCCTATTGGCTGTTACTTATTGTGCATAGTTAATTTACTTTATAATTGTAGATTATTAGTGGATCTGTACAATCCCCCTGCAATGTTATTTTCTGTAGTTTCTCTTCCTGTGTTTTTCATAGATTTAAAGGATGTGGCCAGTGCAACAGGAAATGTAGCACACCTACCATGGCTGTTTAAAAGAGTGAAACTAAAGGGGGTTAAAGACGAAGGCATTGAGCAGCCATACACAAATACATGAGCACAGAGCTGGCTGCGTTCTTCCCACTGGCATCCATTTTGACATGAAGATGGTTGGAAGCTGGTTATTTCTCCTCATCTCTCTCCAAGGATATGAGGCTCCCTCCACCCCCAGTAAGATCTTCCTGTTGTATTAATGATGCTACACCTGTGACATTTATTTTTTATAAATAATGTTAATTTATTCAACTTGTTTAAGACCTTGTGCTATGACAACACATCCGGCCAATGTGCCCTCAACTTTTGAGACTGTTTTTGATATTGGAGAATCTTTGGAGGATTTATTATAATTTTATGTATTTTTGTTAATAAGATAGTGAGGTTTAGATTGTCTCCTGACAATTTTATCATGTACTCTCATGTTGATGGTGGTTTCCGCTCAGTTGACATTTGTCTAGAATTTCTTTTCAATGTTCATTTACTAAGTGTATCAGCAAATTATGTTTTTTTTGTTTCTTTGGGAGTCATCAAATAATAAACAAATTACATTTCATACCAGGTATTAAAGCAATTTATTTGATCAAACTATTACATAACATCCTAGAAACACAAAATAATCTGAAAAGTAAAGTTTCATGTGGCATTTCTATTGCTGATGCAACACAAAAAGTCCCCTGCTAGTCTGAGATTGACGTCAACTACTTTGTGGTTTCCTGTAACATGGCCATCCATCTTGTCATATACATTCACATGCTGATAAAACTATTGATTTAATTCAATGTGATGGTGGAAAAGTACACTAGTCATGATATACATGAATGTAAAGACCCTTAATATGTTATCTGATTTGTCTCTTAAAAATCTGTAAGCACCCAATGTAATTATGCAACTCATCTGGATATCATACCACAGCTCCCCTTTAAAGGATTCAGTGTAATGTCATATTTGAAAAAAGATTTTAAATTTCTGTTCCTTTTGCAGAAGTAAACTGCCTGATCATTAATCTGGATTATGTCAACTGCATCTGGAGTGAACAGGGGAGCCCAGAGGTCAACTTCACCTTTTTCAACAACAGGTTAGTGCATGGCAGAACCCTGTCATACCTTTAACATGTGATGGGTGTTGAGGTCTTTGGGCAAAATGCTTGCCGTGCATCACTGTGATTGGGTGCTACACATTGGTGGCGGTGATTGAGGTGTTTGAGTTTTCCTCTTACAATGAAAGGGGCTTTGAGACTCTCTATATGACTGAATATATTATTGTTATTACACTCCTTACCATATGTATTTGTGGACAGTGAAGCTAACATTTTAAATGTGGCTCTATACTCCAGCATTTTGTTTCATATGAGGTGACAGTACAGAATTACACATTTTATTTGAGGGTATGTTCATACAGTACATACTGTATCTGTTTTGCCATTTACAAATGAACACTTTATGTACAGGTAACTGCCAAAATAATGGAAACATTTGAGTAAATGAGGGATACAAAGTATATTGAAAGCAGGTGCTTCCACATAGGTGTGGTTCCTGAGTTAATTAAGCAATTAATATCCCATCATGCTTAGGGTCATGTATAGAAATGCTGGGCAGGCCATTATTTTGGCTACTATGGTTATGGCCCAATAGGATGGAAATGCCCCCATCCACAGGGCACAAGTCACTGAATGGTTTGATGAGCATGAAAACCATGTAAACCATATGCCATGGCCGTCTTAGTCACCAGATCTCAACCCAATTGAACACTTATGGGAGATTCTGGAGCGGCGAATGAGACAGCGTTTTCCACCACCATCAACAAAACACCAAATGATGGAATTTCTCGTGGAAGAATTGTGTCACATCCCTCCAATAGAGTTCCAGACACTTGTAGAATATATGCCAAGGTACATATTAAGACACTTTGTTGGTGTTTCCTTTATTTTGGCCATTACGCCCCATTTGAAGAAATCATAGGTATTTGGACAAATTCAATTGTAGTGTATTAAAGTAGTCAAAAGTTAAGTATTTGGTCCCATATTCCTTGCACTCAATGAATACATCAAGCTTGTGACTCTACAAACTCGTTGGATGCATTTGCAGTTTGTTTTGGTTGTATTTCGGATTATATTTTGCACAATAGGAACTGAATGGTGAATAATGTATTATGTCATTTTGGAGTAACTTTTTATTGTAATTAAGAATAGAAGATGTTTCCGAACACTTCTACATTAATGTGGATGCTATGATGATTATGGATAAACATGAATCATGAATAATGATGAGTGAGAAAGTTACAGAGGCACAAAGTATCATGTTTCAGGAGAAGACCCAGATGCAGACAGTGTCGATGTAACAAAAGTTTATTACAAGTTCCTGTTTTGTACCTGGAGGGGGGTGGAGACAATCACAAAGACAGGTGAAACAGATCAGGGTGTGACACAATGATCATACCCCCTAACACATGCTAACCTCCCCTGTTATTGGTAATGGTGAGAAGTTAGTATGTTTTGTTGTAGCGTCTGTAAACTTCTCACTCATCATTATTCATGATTTATTTTCTTAATCATGGCATTATCAGGAATAATTTAGAAGTGTTCAGAAACATCTTATCCCAGAAATAACATTAATGGTGAGAGGTTAGTATGTTTTGTTGTAGCTTCTGTAAACTTCTCACTCATCATTATTCATGATTTATTTTCTTAATCATGGCATTATCAGGATTAATTTAGAAGTGTTCAGAAACATCTTATCACAGAAAGAAAATTACTCCAGTCATCATTCACCATTCAGTTCCTAATAGGCAAAATATTACGCAAAACACAACCAAAACAAACTGCAAATGCATCCAACAAGTTTGTAGAGTCACTTTTGACTACTATAATAGTGAATTTGCCCAAATACTTATGACTTCTTCAAATGGGGGGACTAGATACATAAAATGCTCTCATTTCTAAACGGTAAAACAGATACAGTATGTTTGAAAATACCCTCAAATAAAAATTGACATTCTGTACTGTTGCCTCATTTGAAACATTTGATCTCAAATCCAAAATGTTGGAGTATACAGCCAGAAAAATAAATAATTGCTTCACTGTCCAAATACATACGGAGGGGAGTGTATCTCTGTCAAATCTTGAATGTCCGTACTTTGGTCCTAATTCTCATCCATCATTTTCACATGGTATGTGTTTAGGTTCATCAAAGATCATATGGAGGAGTGCACAACATATCTCCAGGAGAAGAGTAATGCTGTGGGATGTAGACTGTCTTATGACAAGTCTGACAGGTTTAGAACACTGACAACCAAGCTGGTCCATCAGAACAAAAGTTATGTGCAGAACCATAACCTCAAAAGCATGGGTAGGTTTTTTTTCTCAATCAAATCATAACATTACATACAGAACAGCATTAAACATGAAGAGCAATAGTCATCTTACTTTAGGCTTTTTAGCATGTGTGTTTGTCCTATATTCAATCATCATTTGATGTGTCGTTAACGTTTGACCCTCCTTGATGCTTTTTCTAGTGAAGCTTTACCCTCCTACCAACCTGTCAGTTGAGATGAACAAAGACCCAGAGCTGAATCTGTACTGGAACAACAGCAAGAACAACCAATGCATTGAGAGTGAAGTGCGCTACAGAATAAACAACAACAAGTGGCAGGTGGGGAGGGGTCAGGACTCAGACGTTGGACTACTGTTTGGACTCTGTAGCCTAATGGTCATTTTTCAACAAAATACTGGACAAATCTTTGAAAATAACTCTCTCTCACCTCCACTCTCTCTTTGTTCTTTTCTTCAGACATCTACTCTGATCAGAGAACAGAATTATGCTGTTCCTTTCCCCTTAAAGAGCAGTCGGTATGAGTTTCAAGTGAGAGCACGAGTTAACAGCATTTGTGGCGAGTCCGAGTTCTGGAGTGAATGGAGTCAGCCCATTCTATGGGATTCCATGAAAGGAAATAACATCACAGGTAAATAGATCCAAAATCTCTGCTTCGCTTTATGGTTATAAGGTTGTGCTCAGGCTTCTGTCAGGACTTTGTCATGTCAACCTTTCTCTTTGGCCTAGACATATCTGGCAGCTCAATGTCTATGTGGAAGCCAGTGCTGTCATTAGTGGGTGCCATGACACTCTTCATGTTGGCCTGCATGCTGGTCTACAGGGAAAGGTAGGTTTGCCAACAGAAGTTAACACCACACATAGGCCCCCAATAAAGTCTAAAATCAAGGGGTACAGTTTACATTTTTAAATCAATCTCCTTTGGACATAGTGCTCCATTCTTCCTCTGAAAAAAGTTATACTCTGAATCTGAACTGACCCTATCACTTTGTAGAGAACGACTGAGATTCATCCTCATTCCCATTGTGCCTAATCCAGGCAAGAACCTGGATGACAATGTAGAGGTAATATTTATCCCTGGTCCCATGCATTGCACTTCATTATAATCTTTGTATCTTATAAGTGTTACTGTTATCTACAGTGTAAATCACATCTTATATCTCACATATTACATGTAACCTTTACCTTTAAAGGCCTGGCTTCACGGCTCCAAAGACATTTGCTTCCAGCCTAACTTCACTGAGCGTGTCTGTCCTGTTCGTGAGTATCGTCTGGTTCCCCAAACCGGCAGCGTCAGTGAGTCTGAGAGCAACCTCTCCATCCCAACAGACCAGTCAGATTCCCTTGTCCACGTGCTCTTCCTCAACTTCCACTCTTCCTGTCACAAGTGAAAATGAACGAGCTGGTTTTGAGTGAGATTTACAGAGGCTTCGTTCTAATTACCCTTCTCCCCTAGGTGTGCACTTACTTGTGTCGTGGTAGAAATATTTGACTAATAGATAATCATCTAAAAAATATCTCTCAAGACACCGGAGCTTGTGAATTCAAGAATTAGACTTTATTGCATAACAAAGCCCAGCTTGCTCCATGGAACAAAACTGTCTCTCTCTGGCTTAGAGATCTCTTATATCCACACAAATGAAAAAACATGCGTACATTCCTAACTTTTTTTTAGTTCTGTACCACCCCTCTCATTCTATCATTCTATTGGCTGCGTGCTTAGGCCCCTTCTTAAAAAAATGAATGTAATGCATACCATGTGTCTATAACAAGCCCATGGGCCACAGTTTAAGAGCCCCTGTGAAAGAACACATGCATTCATTTAAAACACAGCATATACTCCATGCCTATATTCCTTATTTAAGCATGTATCTGGATTATAAAATATCAAACATGTTCATTCTGTTTCACCATTATCATTTCATAACACATTATAAAACATTTATCATTCATCATCCTCCCCGGCCCCTGAGATTATGTGCATATGTGCATGTGGCCATGTGTCAGGTCATAAGGTCATAAGCATAAATGATAACACTAGTTCCATTGTTACTCCAATCTCCACACAGCCATCACGTCATTGACATTCCCAGACCAGCTGCAGGGAGTTTTATGAAAAACACATAAATGTCTTCGCTCTGTATTAACCTTTCAACTGGTTCTCAATCCATAAACATTTTAAGGCAGTTAGGTTTTTAATTTTACAACATATCCATGCTTATTACTAATATTATTATTTTACCTTTGACCTCTCCCTACATTTGCCTTAATGATACATAAAATAATACCATACTTGCTCTCCCTAATGTGGTATCTAAATAACGATGCTGTTTATGACAAGAAATCCGCTGACACTGTCCTTGATTATAATAGTTTATTACACCAAAGATTTCAGCGTCAATTTACAGACTCCTGCAGACATCTGGAGAACAACTGACCCAATCTCTAATATGTTGTTCCTCCTCGTCCTTTGTTCCAACCATGGTATTTATAATCTGTAACATGATGTGGGTGGTTTTCCCATAAACCAATCCCAGGACGCCACATAACAGACTTCCTCTATTTTAGGGGGCCCCTCTAGTAATGCTTTCCAGATGCTTCCGCAAGCTGAGTCAACTTCCTCTAACACACCATTTGCAAACGTCAGCAAAGTCATAAACTGTTTAGACACTACACTCATGGATAAAATGTATTAGATTGGTGTACGCATGGGCTAAAGGGAGTTTCCATCATATTTGTTTATGAGTGCACACTTCAGGGAGAAGGGTAGATAATATTTACATGTAAACATCCTTAATATTACGATACCCAATCACTAAAAATTTTGTTTGATGTTCAACCCATTTGTAAGATTTTTAAATGCATACATTTTTGAGAGAGAATAAAACGTAAAATCAACTGAACATTGCATCAATGACATACCCTCCTATTGCGTTACGAGAAGAAAAAAAGCTGTTAATTACACAAACTGACAACACACAATATAGTAGCGTTATGAGCTAGGATACGTATGAGCGTGCATGTCTAAATAATGTATAATAATGGCATTTAAAAAAAAAATAGATATCTATAGCATATACAAGCTAATGTAAAAAATAATCTTAGCAGCTGAAATGATGGGAACAGGGTTACAAATGGTTGGAATTGATTGAGTGTTCAGCTGACAGTTTTAATATTACAAACAATCCCTTGTGAAATTTTAATTTCACTGTTGCACATTGTATCTTGTTGCAATAGAGTGAACATGTGACACGTTGAATATTAGCCTATACTTTAATTAAAATGGTATCTTATACTAGCTTGTATTTGTATTTGTATGTATCTACAATACAAAATGTATAATACCACCATACAACAATATTACAATGTGTCTACCTTTGTGTGTGTCTCTTCACAGTCCCCGCTGTTCTATAAGGTATATTTTTATCAGTTTTTTAAAATCTGATTGTAATAGTATTTTCTTTAAATGTTGTTTCCAAGCAGGGGCTACTGCTATAAAAATGACTATTGGCCTATTTCCTCTGAAACAAATGTGATAAACGTTGCCTCCTAATGTTGCATGCTATCCTGTAATCCTATTCCAGTGGCGACCGTCATTCAGGGCAGGTGGGGCAGCGCAAAAAAGTTGTTTTAATGTTTTTAAAATGTTTTTTAAATGTTTGTTTTTTTGTGCCTGCTTTGCATTTTATTTTGGCATTAATAAGTGTCACCATATCAATTTGCAAACAATGTAAAAAAAATAAAAATAAAATAGATCTAATAAAGCCGCATACAAACATGGTCTCTTTTTTGCGTTCTTGAGTAAGGCATCTCCAAAATGCAGATGTTTCAGCCTAGCTCAGGGCTTTCTGTGGTGATGGGGCAGCCAGTGGAAAATATGGAGCGTAGGGGTTGGTAATGTTCTCTAGTTGCTCCGTGATTGGTTCAGTTGTCATGACTTCCTCCGAGGCTAACTCCTCTCCTTGTTCGGGCAGGCTTCGGCGTTCGTCGTCACCGGCCTTATAGCCACTGCCGCTCATCATCTCATCTCATCAATCCATTTGTTTTGTCTTGTTTATTACACACACCTGGTTCATATCCCCTCATCAGTACCTGTATAAGTGTTCCCTCTGCCCCCTTGTCTTTGTGTGTGATTGTATATTGTGAGATTAGTGAGGCTCGGTGGAGCTCCTTGTATTTTGTATCACCGGGTTATTTTCCCTGTGTGCCTTGGTTTCAGTGTGCCTGTTTTGCGCACTGGACTGCTTTGATGCATTATTGCATAACTCTGTATTCCAGAATAAATCTTGTTATTCGGTGATTTACCCTCCTGCACCTGACTCCTTCAAATCACCACATCACAGAATCACACACCCGCCATGGAGTCAGCATGAGAGGAGCACATGCCTGGAGTTGTCCTGGATCACGAGATGATGGAGCTGGGTGGAGCGGCGATCCGGGAGAGCAGAGGACGACAGCGCCAGTGTCACTCTCGTGGCGCGAGAGGACATTCTCCTTCACGATGTCTTCAGGGTTCTTTTGGGTCTGGAGGCGGCAGGCAGGGCACTCTCGCATCACCCCAGGTATCGAACACCCACACTTGTTCAGAGTACGCACTGTACCCTACCCATCCACTTTCCTGATTACATTGTAGTTCCCCAGTGTAAGGCGCTGGTCGATTCAGGCGCAGCTGGGAACTTTATGGACAGGTCATTTTCACATTGTCTAGGCATTACATTGGTTCCCCTATCCATTCCACTCCTCATCAGAGCACTTGACAGTCGACCATTAGGGTCCAGGTTCGTTAGGGAAGTTACAGCACCAGTCACTATGGTTACGCACGAGACTCATCGAGAGCAAGTCACTTTTTTAAATTATTGAGTCTCCTGATTTCCCTGTTGTGTTAGGTCTTCCCTGGTTAGCACTACACAACCCCACCTTTTCATGGCCGCAGAGGGTTCTCAAGGGGTGGTCGCAAAAGTGTCAGGGTAGGTGTCTAGGTGTTTCCGTTGGTGCAACTACGGTGGAAACCCCCAGAATACCTCGATTTGGCGCACGCGTTTTCCAAAACGCAGGCGACCAAATTACCACCTCATCAGGCGGGGGATTGCGTGATAAACCTCCGGGTAGACGCTGTGCCTCCCAGGAGTCATGTGTATCCCCTGTCGCAGGCTGAAATGGAGGCTATGGAGACATACGTCTCCGAGTCCCTGCGCCAGGGGTTCATACGTCCCTCCACTTCACCCGCCTCCTCAAGTTTCTTTTTTGTGAAGAAGAAAGACGGAGGTCTGCGCCCTTGCATCGATTACCAAGCACAGGGGACAATACGTTATAGTTATCCTCTACCCCTCATTCCGTCTGTGATCGAGTCAATGCATGGTGCGCGCTTTCGATCTCCGGAGTGTGCACAACCTGGTGTGTAACCGAGAGGGGGACGAGTGGAAGACAGCATTCAGCACCCCCACAGGGCATTATGAATACCTGGTGATGCCTTACTGTTTGATCCGTCTACCAGTCCTTTGTGAACAAGGTGTTTCGGGACATGCTTGGTCGCAGTGTAGTCTACATCGATTACATTTTGGTGTATTCCGCTACGCGCGCCGAGCATGTGTCCCTGGTTCGCAAAGTGCTGGCCTGACTGTTGGAACATGACCTTTATGCCAAGGCAGAAAAGTGTCTGTTTTTCCAACAGTTCGTCTCCTTCCTCGGATACCGCATTACCACCTCAGGTGTGGAGATGGAGGGAGATCGCATTTCAGCCGTGCGAAATTGGCAGACTCCAACCATGGTAAAGGAGGTGCACCACTTTATTGGCTTTGCCAACTACTATCTGAGGTTTATCTGGGGCTTTGGCAAGGTCGCAGCTCCCATCACATCACTGTTCAAGGGTGGGCCGTCCCGGCTCCGCTGGTCTGCTGAGGCTGACAGGGCCTTCAGTAACCTGAGGGTTCTGTTCACCTCAGCCCCGGTACTGGCCCATCCCAATCCATCACTACCGTTCGGAGTGGAGGTGGATGCATCCGAGGTAGGGATAGGCGCTGTCCTATCTCAACGCTCGGGCACGCCACCCAAGCTCCGCCCCAGTGCCTTCTTCTCCAAGAAGCTCAGCCCGGCGGAGCAGAACTACGACGTTGGTGATCGAAACACCCTTTCCTCGTCTGGACGGACCACCGTAACCTGGAGTACATTCGGGCAGCGAGGAGGCTGAATCCTCGCCATGCCAGGTGAACCCTATTCTTCACCTGGTTTGACTTTACACTATCTTACATCCCGGTTACGAAGAACGTGAAGGCAGACACACTGTCACGGCTGTACGACCCAGAAGAGAGGCCCATAGACAACACCCCCATACACCCAGCCTCCTGCATTGTGGCGCCGGTAGTATGGCCGATGGACGCGGACATAGAGAGGGCGTTACACACAGAGCCATCTCCACCTCAGTGTCCAGCTGGTCTGCAGTACGTGCCTTCTCTTATCCGTGACCGTCTGATCTATTGGGCACACACGTCCCCCTCCTCTGGTCACCCAGGTATCGGTCGTACAGTGCGCTGCCTAACCGGAAAGAACTGGTGGCCTACCTTGGCTAAGGACGTGAGGGTGTATGTCTCCTCCTGCTCTGTGTGCGCCCAGAGTAACGCACCTAGGCACCTTCCAGCGGGTACGTTACAGCCCTTACCAGTTCCACAACGGCCATGGTCCCACTCTCAAGGTAACACCATCATCCTGGTCGTTGTGGATCGCTTTTCCAAAGCCTGCCGCCTCCTTCCTCTGCCCGGTCTCCCCACATGTCTTCCGGCACTACGGGGTGCCAGAAGACCTAGTGTCTGACCGGGGTCCCCAGTTCACATCCAGGGTCTGGAAGGCGTTCATGAAACGTCTGGGGGTCTCGGTCAGCCTGACCTCTGGTTTTCACCCCGAGTCTAATGGACAGGTAGAACGGGTGAATCAGGATGTGGGTAGGTTCCTGTGGTCCTACTGCCAGGACTGGCCGGGGGAGTGGTCGGTGTTCTTGCCGTGGGCCGAATATGCCCAGAACTCTCTCCGCCACTCCTCCACTAACCTAACACCATTTCAATGTGTTTTAGGTTATCAGCCGGTTCTGGCACCGTGGCATCAGAGCCAGACCGAGGTTCCTGCGGTGGGTGACTGGTTTCGGCACGCGGAGGAGATGTGGAACGCTGCCCACGTCCACCTCCAACGTGCCGTGCGTCGCCAGAAGGCCAACGCTGACCGCCACCGCAGTGAGGCCCCGGTCTTCCACCGGGTGATCGGGTCTGGATCTCGACCTGGAATCTGCCTCTCTGCCTGCCCTGCCGGAAGCTGAACCTGCGGTTTGTGAGGCCGTTCAAAGTCCTGAGGAGAATAAATGAGGTTACTTATAGGTTATTACTCCCTCCAGATTATCGTATTAACCCCTCGTTCCATGTGTCTCTCCTCAGGCCGGTGGTGGCTGGTCCGCTCCAGGAGTCTGAGGTGCGGGAGGCCCCTCCATCCGGTGGGGGGCCTTCAGTACCTCGTTGATTGGCAGGGGTACGGTCCGGAGGAGCGGTGCTGGGTCCCGGTGAGGGATATCCTCGATCCCTCCCTGTTGTGGGATTTCCACCGTCGCCATCCGGCTCGCCCTGCTCCGCGTCCTCCTGGTCGTCCCCGAGGCCGGTGTCGGCGCACTGCTGGAGCTGCGCGTCAAGGGGGGGGGGGTGTCCTATCACAACTTCCTCCGAGGCTAACTCCTCTCCTTGTTTTTGGGCAGGCTTCGGCGTTCGTCGTCACCGGCCTATCATTCCATTTGTTTTGTCTTGTTTATTACACAGACCTGCTTCATATCCCCTCATCAGTACCTGTATAAGTGTTCCCTCTGCCCCCTTGTCTTTGTGTGTGATTGTATATTGTGAGATTAGTGAAGCTCGGTGGAGCTCCTTGTATTTTGTATCACCGGGTTATTTTCCTGTGTGCCTTCTTGGTTTCGGGTCGCCTGTTTTGCGCACTGGACTGTTTTGACGCTTTATTGCGTAACTCTGTATTCCGGAATAAATCCTGTTATTCTGTGATTTACCCTCCTGCACCTGACTCCTTCAAATCATCACATCAGTGTTCTGTCACTCATGGGGACACTACATTACCGCAAAATCTACGGGTAGAGCTTGAAAATTCAAGCCCCTTGGGTGCTGCCATAGAGTTACATTAGAAGTGCACCCCTCCCCCCCCAGGAATGAGTTTATCTGACAAATAACAAACCTCAACTGAAAATACTGCATGACATGTACAATATGTTTGTCTAGAGTTGGAGGCGTTTGAATCTCTTTTATGACATTTCCACAATGGGCGTACCTATCACTGATCGCATTAGATACTTGGGCGGGTTCAGTCAGTGTGGGGATGCTATTAATTAACTTTGACTGCATTCATTTTAGAACCCTAGGCCTACGGCGAAAGTCGGCTCAAAACCAACATGAAGTAGGTTAAGCAAGTGGAGTAATGAGTACAATTCTATGTTTTCACATGGAAAAGTTATTGCTTTTCATAAAGTCTTTATATGCCTTCCCAATGAAAACTAGTTGGAAAATTCGAGCATATATTTTATGGGAAAGAGATGTATGTTTCTGAACGATACATCATGCTGCCTTGTTGCCTTGTTGACAAAATACATGACCCAGCGGCGCAGATTACTGTTCGATTTGAAAAGGGCGCTACTCGACACCGCTTTTGCCCGTTCACATCACGAGCCATAGCCCCGGTGCACTTAATCGAACTCTCTCAGTGTGGCTGGGTGTGTGTAGCGAGAGAGGGCACAGGGTGGCCCTCTAAATCAGGGTAGATTAATTTACACCGCATTGAAATTTGCATACCACATCAAACTAATGTAAGGGGAGATCTAATAATTATTTCTCAGTATTGAGTGTTCTGACGTGAACTCACTGGGTTGTCGGACAAGGAAAATGTCAGATCCCACGGTGGCTGATACTCGCCGGTTAAATTCAAAGCCTCAGGACCTGACGGATGCTTATGGTCCCCCCAGCAATTTTCTTGAAATTGACGTTTATGACCCACAAACTGTTGGAGTCGGGCGGAACCGTTTCACAACTTACGAAGTCCGTATGCGGGTAGGTTGCAAAAGATAGAGATCTGTCGTCACATAGCTAGCTAAAGCTACAAACATTTTCAGCTATGTAATTAGTTATAGTTAGCTAACGTTAGATGGATGAAAATCGAGGCCCAGGACTTAGTCCGGCCTACTCACTGAGGTATAAAGAACAGGCCTACTAGCTAGCTAGCTAACCTAGCATTGTGAGCTAGGGAAGTTGTTACAATTGCTTTTGAGTTAACGTTAACTTTCTAGCCCTTTTAGGCTAACAGGGTTCGGTAACGTTAGTTAATATTTACTTGTTGGCTGTCTCTATTGACGAGAATATTCAATATTCTTGTTTCTGTTTTCATTAAATGCAGACAAACCTGCCGATTTTTAAGTTGAAGGATTCTATTGTGCGAAGAAGATACAGTGACTTTGAGTGGTTGAAGAATGAGTTGGAGCGAGACAGCAAGGTGAGTGAAAGATTGTAGTTATTTGTTTTTGGGTAAAATGTGTTTTGGACAGGACCTATATTGATGGACTATGATATACTGTATCTACATATCATTACAGTAGGGTTTTCCTCAATGGTGATGTCTACATAAGTTACTTATTACATTACTAATGTCATTAGTTAGAGTAATACTTATGTAATGAATGAATCATGATTAAGTTAATCAGCTATTTTAACGGCTATGGACTAAATGCATTGCTATTGATTTATTCCAGATTGTAGTGCCGCCCTTGCCTGGGAAGGCACTGAAGAGACAGCTACCTTTCCGTGGGGATGAAGGCATTTTTGAAGAGGCTTTCATCGAAGAGCGACGTGTGGGTCTTGAGCAGTTCATCAACAGGTGGGTCTTCATTTACCAAACATTAGAGGATCATCTTGAGACAACCGATGCCAGGCGAAAATATACATTTTGCACTAACCAAGATCAACGTTTTGTAATTATGTGAAATAACCTGCAACAGTGTTGTAGTGGCTGATTTGGATTGGCTTCTGCTGGTGTGGATAATTAAAATAGTCATATTTCTAGACACCATTTTTTTAAATGCACAGTTGGCAAGATGTTTAAATGCATATATTTTTTTTAATAAATTAATGTCTTTCTCTTGTTTTCTTCTAGAATTGCAGGTCATCCTCTCGCTCAAAACGAGCGCTGTCTTCACATGTTTTTGCAGGACGAGAGCCTTGACCGTAACTACATTCCCGGAAAGGTACGGCCGTAGGGTTTGGAGTTGGGATTGACAATGGGGTGTGGAAATTATTACTTTTTGCTGTTCTCCCTCTCTCTGCTCTCCTTCTCTCATTGTTATGTTTACACAGTGCTCTTTGCCATTCAAAGTAGTGCAGTACTTGTACTTGATATTTTGTATACACTACTGTGTATGCTAAATTGAGTAGTGTGTTTACTGATTCTATTTATTCTCTCTTTTTATACAGGTATGAATGAAGTAAGTTTGACTGTATATTTACTTTTTTTACACTCTAAAATCTTTTGGAAGTCAGATGATAGCATGGCCACAAAATCTTGTAATGTCAGGTGTCAGTTCGCACAGCTATTATATTTATGCTTCTTAATTAGTAAAAAATAATCTGACCTGACTTTACACAATGTGTGGAACATCTTTCACTAATGGATAGACGAAATCTGATCATAAGTGACACAATTGTTTGGGATCCAGATCCAGTGATCCAGAGGCGAGATGTGCGTAGCACCGGCCAGGACCCATCTGATTTATCACCTCGTCCCGATAAAGCATACAGAGCCCTATCCCCGTCGCAGCCACCTCTGACAGCTGCTTCTGTCTCTAATGCCTTGTACTGTATATACATGTATATTCTTCTATGTACCCCAGCAACACCGGTTCACGGCCCTCCGCAGCCTGTAATGTGTGTGTAGCCAAGCACACTAAATGGGGTGTGTTACAGGGAAGTTAGTGCATTGTTGCAGATTTACATATAAACAGAAATATTTTTTGTTTGTTTTTAATCCCTATCTGACTGAATGTCCCCCCTTTAAAAATAAATAATCCTTTGGCACTGTAGTTCAGTCCACCTCAATGTATCAATTCCAGCTATGCCTCATAATCTGCCCAACCTCCCAGAGACATTAGTTTTGTTTCACTTGTCTTTGTCCCTCCCTGATTAAATTATTTTCTTGACTGATTTAATCCACAAATCACAATCCGTGTCTCTCTAATAATCTTCATCGATAGAAGACTGGCTGTGTCTACGCATAAAGTATATAGAAAAACCTAATAGAAAATACATAGCTGTTTGAGAGGAAATTGGTATACTCTCTCTGCCCAGCATAACCTAAAGGATTACATGTACATGGTTGTGCTGTCATTCCAGTTAATGGGTTACAAAAAAATTTCACACATCAATAAAGAAAAAATTCAAATTTGTGTAATTCCTTCTGGAGATGTTTCACTATTGTAATAGTCTGTTTTCTTTCCTTTAAGTATTCAATCATAATGTCTCTCTGTCCCTTGGTACCCACCGTAACGAACATTGTTTCTCCAATTGTATGATTCAAATCTGATGGATGTCAGTAAACAATGGTACCTTCCAAAGTTAAGCAAAATGTAGCATCATTGAAAAAAGTTTTTTAAAGGGAGATCTTCCCATAGTTTTCCTGTAACATGACATTCCATGTTTCTTTCCATTTTCCAATGAAATAAGAATTAATTTGTGGCTTTCCAACATGCTCTTGCAGTTGGATTTTTGTACTATGATTACTTTTTATTATCAGCTTTTTTTCTGTAACTTTCTTTGCCTTGAATTGGTCATTATCAGTCTTTGCGTCGTCTTCAGTCTGTTTATGGGAATGTAATGTAGGGTAACTGTCAGGTAATCAAACCACTGTGAAAACAAGGGGCTGATAAATAATCCACACACTTTTATTGATAAAGAAGCTTTTGGCATCAAGTTTATTGACCTAAAGTATTTCTTGAATGCCTTTTTGTCGTATGTATTTTGTCTTCATTACGATCATGTACATTTAATTTCAGTTTTCAGAAGAGCTGCCTTGTTTGTACCATCAATAAAATTCCCTCTGCCTGCACTGCTATATCCTGTAGTCTCTTTTCAATGGTCTGTTCAAATTCATGTCGGGATGATATGGGGTTCCTAATGCATCTTGTACAGGACCACACTGTGTATTTCCTGAGTTTTATTTTTAACTAGAGTGTAATTTCTTATGTCGCCACTTATGTGGGTTCTTATGTGGCCAGCTAATTACGGAAGTAGAATAGTCCCTGTTGCGCCAAGAGATTAGTTTCTAGAAACAGTTCTTAGTCGAGAGCAAGTCATATTTTCTAATGAACCAGGTATTTTCCCTTCATAAGCATTTTACAGCAATCACAATCCGTGTTAGCTTAAACTCTTGGTAGAACTAATAACTAAAAAAAATAGGTCAGCATGGTTATAAGATTACACTCCATGGACAACCAAAGTTCTGAGTGCTGTAGTTTGGTGGGTGGATGTATGGGGTTACTTGCTCTGTTAAACTTTAACCTTCATTTCTTAGCAGCAAACTCTAGGAATTTGTGGGATTAACGGGGGAAGGAACATTTGTAGCCACCAATATACAGTATGCAGGTGTAGTCCCCTGTAGCTCAGTTGGTAGAGCATGGCGCTTGCAACGCCAGGGTTCTGGGTTCATTTCCCACGGGGGGCCTGTATTAAAATGTATGCATTCACTAGCTGTAAGTCGCTCTGGATAAGAGTGTCTGCTAAATGACTGTAAATGTAAAAATGGTCAGTTAGTTACCAAAGCAGGGGATAAGATGTGGGTGGAGGAAATTATCCACAATGGGCTGTTCATGCTATAAAAATAATGCTAGGGTACAAACACTAAACACTTTTTCTGTCAAACATGCTTTAATTAATGTCCCCATGTCATATTTCTTAGAATATATCTGGTTGGCGTTTCCACTAACTACCAAATATGGAAATGAGAGGAAGCCAAGTATCAGGCAGTGGGAGAGGATGGAACGAGATGGATTTTGGCCGACATTCTGCACATTTTCCCATCCATGAAACATTTGACCTCAATACAGTTTTCTGTTCCCAAAACTAGAATCTGTTATGAACAGAGTGGACTAAGTTTTGTAGACTTCACCCTTTGCTAAAGTTTTAAAAAATGCCATTGAGTGCAAAGGTGAATTGAGTTATTGCACACGCGCACTTCACAGAGTAGGCGTTCCCTAATGGAAACATGCAAATGAGTGCTACAACGCGCCAATAGGATCTCGCAAGCTCGTGCTTGGCTTGTTCTGCCCACTATGACTCATTTGTTCCCATTTGAAACGATGGGCTGTGGTTTATTGGTTTAGTTATAAAAAGTATTTGGTGACACTATCAGCATAACCTCATTTAACATGGTAATTGCTCCTCTAACACTCCACACAAGGGCATTGGGGCAGAGATGCATAACTTTTTTTATTCTATTAATCTGGGTGACAAAGCTACAGTGGATATAGTGGAAAGTGCTTGGCACCAGGTCAGTGGCTGGAGTGAAAGATCTTGAAAAGGGAATGACCCTCTCTTTCCATACCTGGGTAAGTCTCTTTTGGTGATGGCAGGCTGCTGCCTAAACCAGTATCTGGTCAAAGGAGACGATGAATATGACGAGATCCCCTCTCACTCACTCACTCACACACACACACACACACACACACTTTAGAACATAGAGATGCACACTGAAATTCATGAATGGTTTGCTCCACCCCTCAAAGAAGGGTCCATGCTATCCCCCCCTCCCTCCCTTTGAAGTTGACATTTTAAATGGTTAGGTAACGGTTATGGTTAAGGTAGGTGGAGGAACGTAGGGGGCGATGGAAGACGCAGGCCAAGATGTCGACACAAGTCCAGAGGATAGAATAGACGCCGGAAGGGAAAGGAGGGGGAAAATGGAGTCCTTTGACAAGGCAAGAAACCGATGGTGGTTAGGAGAAATGCAGTATTATAATAAGGAGACGTATACTTGGATGAATGAGGAGGAATGGAGGGAAAAAGAGAGGCAGAGGAGGTCTAAGAGAGAGAGGGAGGAAGACTGTGAGTTTGAGTCGGGAAAAAATGGCGGGAAAAAGGGAGAAGGTTTGTTAAAGAAAAGTGGTAGGAAATGTAAGCAAAGTGAGCTGAAGACAGGAGGAGAAATGGAAGTGAATGAGGGTGATGTATCGGAGGTGGTAGGTGTGGTGAAGTGCTCGGAGCCAGAGGCTTAAGCAGAGGGTCAGGATAAAGATGAGTCTGTGACAGTAGGAGTGAAGTTTGTGGAAAAAGTAGTGACGTATGATCCATTTGTGGTTTCAAGATGGGTGAAAAAAGCGTTGGGTATAGTGGAATCGGTGAGGGTAACCAGAAGTGGTCTAGTGATAATTGTTTGTGTTTCTGTTGGGCAGAGGGAGAAGGCGCTCAGAGTTAAACAAATGGGGGAAAGAATTGTGAATTGTTTCGCTCTCAAGAAAAGGGCGCCATTGAAAGGAGTGATTACTGGGGTAGCAGTAAATGTAAAAGTGGATCAACTGAAGGAGAAGATTCCCGGTGTGTGTGGTGCTCGTCGTTTGGTGCGACGCAAACAGGGTAGCGAGAGTGGGGAAACAGAAGAGTCATTGTCTGTTCTTTTGAGTTTTGAAGTTGAGTCTTTGCCTGATAAAGTGAAATTAGGATATACAAGTTATCCTGTGCGAGTTTATGAGCCGAGTACATTACGATGTTACAGGTGTCAAACTTATGGGCATGTGGCAGCAGTATGTAGGAGGGAGATTCCAAGGTGTGAGAAGTGTGCAGAAGGGCATGAGACAAAGGAGTGTGAAGCAGTGGGGAAAGTGGTGGTATGTACTAATTGTAGGGGTGGCCAAGGGGCTGGGGATCAGACATGTCCAGTGCGAGAGAAGCAGGTTGAGGTTTCCAGGGTAAGAGTAGAGAGGAAAATGTCATATGCGGAGGAAGTGAAGAAAGTAGAGGAAGAGGGGGTCAAGGGGGGAGTAGGATATATGTACCAGTACAGTGGGATAGGCAAGCAAGTGATATATGTTTCAGTAAGATTGGATTTTTAGTGTTTATAGCAATGGTTATTAATTGTACTGCAGGGATGGAACGTAAGTCGAAGAAAATTGAGGTTGTGGTGGCAGCTGCAGAGAGATATTTGGGTGTGCGAGACTTGACAGCAGAAGAGTTACAGGGAGTGTTAAGTGGTGATGTCCCATCATTTCAGGTTAAGGGCATGAGGTAGGAGTGAGTTTTTAAATAGTGGAGAAGGGTGGGGTTAATTACTAGTAATAGTTTTGAATTTGTGAGTGTAGTGTTAGATGGTAGGGTATTTCTTTGCTTTGTTCTATTTTGTTTTTCAAGGAAAAGAAAAGGGAGTTGTACTCCAGTCTAGTAGGTGGCGGTAATGCAACAAATTGGATGCCAACCGCCGTTAAACCTAATTGAAGAAGAAGAAGATGGTTAGGGTATGGACGTCCCAATGATCCCTACTAGCAATGCCCATTAAAGAAGGGTTTGTTTATACTACGAATAATACGTCACTGTCTCCGCCCTCTACACACACACCAAGGAAAGCGGGATGTTTCATCAGCATATGTGAAGTCAACGGTATTTTATCGTGCGGTAGCTAGGTCCTCCGAACACTTCAGAGTGAAGAGCAACGGTAAAGTATCTAGCAAACATCACACATTTTGCAATTGTACTGAAAAGTATGTCTGCTTTATACCTTTTGATATCGTGGTCCATGTGTTTGCATGAACTGCACGCGCCTCCGTAGTATTTTACTAGAATTCTGACGCAATCCTTTCTCGTGTGTCGTCAGATGTACTAATGTTACTATTAGCTAGCTACGTCGTTACTCGCTTTTAAAACAATACATGCATGGTTATTGTTTTGGTATTAGAATGATCATCGTCTGTATTTATTTGTTTGAAACAAATAGTTAGATGGCTACTTCGCTACCTAACCTAACATCTTCCAACGAACGTTACCAGCATTGCTCGCTAGGCGGTTGATGATGTTTTAGGCGCGGGGAACGATAGCTAACTAGCATATTGCTAATATTGTATTGTAATGATCAATATCATAAAATATGCCGTGTGAAAAAGCGTCATTCATTATTGTTTAGCCAGTTCGCGCGAGCAAACAAACAGTCTGGAGTCAACTAGCTAACGTTATCTAACTAACTTGCTAGGAAACTACATATCAACGAACTGCATGCATGTGTGTAGCATGTAACTAAGATAGCTAACTAGCAAACCATAGACACCTTTCACAAGTTAGTGAAACAGTAGCTCGCTACACAATAGACAGGTCTTTGGGCTTGGCTTAACTGTTGTCCTGCTGCAGTTTTTTTTTATTTATTTAACATTTATTTAACTAGGCGAGTCAATTAAAAACACATTGTTATTTACAATGACGGCCTACACCGGCCAAACCCGGACGATACTGGGCCAATTGTGCGCCGCCCTATGGGACTCCCAATCACGGCCGGTTGTGATACAGCCTGGAATCGAACCAGGGGGAGATGCAGTGCCTTAGACGGCTGCGCCACTCGGGAGCCCGAGCTGTAACGTTAGCTTTAGCTAAGCGCCTTTTGATGTGTTGCATCAGATTGAGTTACTGGTAGTTTAAGTTAGCTTGATGGCTGCATTTTACAGTTGTAGCTAGCCACATTTAGTTTTCAATGTGAGGACTGTGTTGAAAGTTGTGGTGTTTGACTTCAGTCTCATGTCAGTTGTGCATGGACAGGATGGTATCGCTTTCTTCTATAAACAGGATGATATCACTCTCAGTTTCAATAGTCCTAGCTAGCTATTGTTCTTCCCACCTGTTTTAGAATGGTTTGGCTGGCAATAGGTTTCCATTTTCATTTGCACTCACTGAGTTTGATGTTCAGGTTGGTCATCATGCAGAGGAGGACAATTTGTTATTATAGTTTTTAGATTTTTGTACCTGCTTACTCATTCAAGGGGTCGCTTTTTGCATTTTACATTTTATTCATTTAGCAGACGCTCTGACTTACAATTAGGTAGTGAGTGCATACATTTTTTTCTTCTTTTTTTTCTTCTTTCATACTTTGGAGGCATTTATCTGATATCCCTAGTATTCTAAGCTGATAGATGGAAATAAAATTGCTTTCGTCATGGTAATTACAGGGACTTTTTCTAAAAAATGTTTGGGGGCCAATTTTCCCTTAGCCCGGTGTATTTCCTAGACTGGTCAGTTGTCATGGGGAATGTAGAGGTATTGGACCTTGAGGAAGGAGGGAGGGACCCTGTTGGCTCGGTTCCATTGGTTTGAGGGGTTGCGCGGTTCACTCACAGCAGTATGTCCTCCTTTGCCTAGAAAACAGATTGTTCCATAACTTCAAACAGCTGGACAGCTATTGACTCTGACGCATGAAATGTAGCCGCCCATCACGTAGCTCCAAGGGTGAGCTACCCACTGAGATTAGAATGCTGAAAGGACACTCTTGAATTCCCCACACCGACAGAGCTCCGCATCTGTACCAACCTATTAAAAAGTATCCACTCCCCAATTAACACTACCCACGTTACATGGTGATCCAGTTTGTCACGTGATTCTTCTGGTCATGAAGTCAGCAGTCATTAGTCGAACATGAAATGCAGGGCAGGACAAAAGTAGTACTTTCGAGGAATTTTGTATTCCAGTCATGTTGAACAGTGCACCCATTAATGGGTATGCTTGTTACAGTGAAAACGTGTTTGTTACAGTGAAAACGTGCTTGAAGAGTAGAGCAAAATCTGTTTATTAGTCACATGCACATTGGTACATTGAAATGCTTACTTGCTTAACTTTCCTCAACAATGCAGTGCAATATTGATATCAATCAAGCTGTGCAATCTCTCTCTCTACAAATCGCCCTTTAGAGACTGGTGAGGGCAAGTGACCAGCAGAACAACCTGTCGTACAACCCTTAGTTCCCACCACCTCCTCTCTATCCCACACGCCAGGACTGAGAGATACAAGAAATCCCCCATACCCTACTTCTTCCACCTTATTAATATTACTCTGTGGGTCTTCACATCTAAATTGTTTTGTAATGTTAGTCCATATCTATGTATTTAATTGTCTATGACTGCCATGTGGGTATACAAAGAAAAAGAATAGTGAACTTTACCAGTGGGCATTAATACTATAACCCCTAAGCGAACCCACTCTTTGCATTTAATTGTACACTATCATAAGTAAACAAATCATTTGGTCTTCTGTGTGTTTCTTCCTTATGCTATCTTTCAGCATTAGCAAGCTTAGGACACCTTGATAACAAAAACCTAGGCTAATCATAATAACATCTTATCGTACTGGCAGAGAAGGGGCTAAAAGTAAACAGACATGTTATTGACAGTGAGAGTCAAAACAGTAACATGCTTTTTGTAGAGTGAGCAACAGTCCCTAATGAGATTAACAGGTTGGTTAGTCTTGGGATAATCCTTTTAGATGGTTGCAGCATGTTGTTGACAAAATCTCAGTGAGGCACCTAATATTCACTAGCTACTGTACTACAGAGGGAAGGCGGGGGGGCTAGTAAAAAGCACCATAGCAAAAGCCTAGATGCAATCCATATGGTATTAGGCCAATTAGCCTAGGCCTAGTTATTTGGGTCCGCTGAAGTAGTCTTATCCATTGTATACTATGGCCTATTTATTATAGAAAAGGGCAGAGGAACACTAAACTATTTAGGCCTGGAGGCTCCAACGAGCATGTCTGATTGAGCTTTCAGACTGTACATTAGAAGAGTAGAGCGTTAGCTTCTTCACAACCTGGTTTCACACATCCACTCACGTGTACACACAGGCCAGCCGCCCTCGTGAAGAGCACAAGGAAAAGCTTAGCCTAGTTGGTCTGGGTGATGCAGGGTGGCCTATCTCCAAAGCTTACTGTGTGGGCAGAACAAAACAGACTAACCCTCTCAGGCACCGCACATTAATCGCAGGCAGGGAGACTCCCAGAGGGAACATTCCCAGTGCCAGAGATGCTGCCTGCCTACCTCTAAAATGGAAACGTTTACATTTTAGCAGACACTCTTATCCAGAGCAATAAGGGATCAGTGCCTTGCTCAAGGGCACATCAAGAGATTTTTCGCCTAGTCATCTCGGGGATTCGAACCAGCTACCTTTTGGTTACTGACTAGGTGAAAAACCTGTCAATGTGCCCTTGAGCAAGGCACTTAACCCTAATTCCTCATGTAAGTCGCTCTGGATAAGAGCGTCTGCTAAATGAATAAAATGTAAATGTACTGGCCCAAGGCGCCCTATGTGCAACTCTTTAGGGGAGCAGAGCACACTCAGTATCTGTTTCAGCATGTCAGTCTTGCATAACTATTCAGTTGTTCTATCATAACCCCAGAGAGCGCAGTCATGCTTTCCGTGTTTTAAAACAGTGGTTTAAGTTACAAGGTGTACATGCCAAGCCCATGTAGACTTAAATGAGGGAAGCCATTGTGCGTGTCCAAGTAGAGGAGAGGGTATTGTTGGATGCAGTTATTTTCTACTTGGCCCCATACCAGCACTATCCTGATCCAATCACAGCTGCTAGCCCGATCAAACCCGCATTGGCTATTTTCCCTGTAGACAGTTTGTGACGGTGACTAATGTGGCAGACAATGCCTGATACATGAAGGTTGTTATTTTTGAACAATTGTTTTAATTTCCCAATACCTTCAGAGGCCAGGGGCTATGTTTATTTTATACTGACATTCCTTTTTTGTTCTGTGTTTGCAAATTGTTTTCTCAACAATCTTCCGGTGATTGTGGACTGTGTTCTATGGATAACAATATGTAGAATGGGCCTGTACACATTATTATTATTATAGGCCTAAGTGTCACAGGCTAATCTACACCTCCAAGTCTCCAACCTTTTGCAGAGTGTTTGTGGTGTGCTGCTGAAGAGGCAGTGTGTTAGATATGTCAAATAAGCAGTAGCCGTGATGACCTTAAGTTCTGTGCAACATGCCTAATTTCAACATGGAGCTGTGTGGATAGCTGTTGCCAGTCAGACAGGGTCATGTGACCAGAGCCTCAAATGCTGATGAGGTGTGTGTGTGTGTGTGTGTGTGTGTGTGTGTGTGTGTGTGTGTGTGCCACCTGCACAGATAGATGATGGCTGGCCTGTTGTGCTGCCTGTCTGGCCTTGAGCTGAAGGGACCTCCATTTGGTGTAACTGGTGCTATCATTACATTACTGATGTCAAAGCTAGGATTTGTTGTCGTTACACAAGATTGCTGTCAAAAGCTTTGCTTGAAATCGTGCAACATCGTTGTGGAACATGCTAGACGTAATATAAAGTTGGATTGACCAATTTGAAGACTTGTTATGACACTTGAGTTGGCATTGATCTAGTGTGGGGCCTATCTACTACATACAGTTGATGTCAGAAGTTTACATACACTGAGGTTGGAGTCATTAAAACTCGTTTTTCAACCACTCAACAAATGTCTTGTTAACAAACTATAGTTTTGGCAAGTCGGTTAGGACATTTACTTTGTGCATGACACAAGTAATTTTTCCAACAATTGTTTACAGACAGATTATTTTACTTATAATTCACTGTATCACAATTCCAGTGGGTCAGAAGTTTACATACACTAAGTTGACAGTGCCTTTAAACAGCTTGGAAAATGGGAAAATCAAAAGAAATCAGCCAAGACCTTATAAAACATTTCTTACACCGCCACAAGTCTGGTTCATCCTTGGGAGCAATTTCCAAACGCCTGAAGGTACCACGTTCATCTGTACAAACAATAGTACGCAAGTATAAACACCATGGGACCACGCAGCCGTCATACCGCTCAGGAAGGAGACGCATTCTGTCTCCTAGAGATGAACGTACTTTGGTGCGAAAAGTGCAAATCAATCCCAGAACAACAGCGAAGGTCCTTGTGAAGATGCTGGAGGAAACGGTACAAAAGTATCTACAGTGGGGAGAACAAGTATTTGATACACTGCTGATTTTGCAGGTTTTCCTACTTACAAAGCATGTAGAGGTCTGTCATTTTTATCATAGGTACACTTCAACTGTGAGAGACGGAATCTAAAACAAAAATCCAGAAAATCACATTGTATGATTTTTAAGTAATTAATTTGCATTTTATTGCATGACATAAGTATTTGATACATCAGAAAAGCAGAACTTAATATTTGGTACAGAAACCTTTGTTTGCAATTACAGAGATCATACGTTTCCTGTAGGTCTTGACCAGGTTTGCACACACTGCAGCAGGGATTTTGTCCCACTCCTCCATACAGACCTTCTCCAGATCCTTCAGGTTTCGGGGCTGTTGCTGGGCAATACAGACTTTCAGCTCCCTCCAAAGATTTTCTATTGGGTTCAGGTCTGGAGACTGGCTAGGCCACTCCAGGACCTTGAGATGCTTCTTACGGAGCCACTCATTAGTTGCCCTGGCTGTGTGTTTCGGGTCGTTGTCATGCTGGAAGACCCAGCCACGACCCATCTTCAATGCTCTTACTGAGGGAAGGTGGTTGTTGGCCAAGATCTCGCGATACATGGCCCCATCCATCCTCCCCTCAATACGGTGCAGTCGTCCTGTCCCCTTTGCAGAAAAGCTTATTGGTGTCCTTTAGTAGTGGTTTCTTTGCAGCAATTTGACCACGAAGGCCTGATTCACACAGTCCCCTCTGAACAGTTGATGTTGAGATGTGTCTGTTACTTGAACTATGTGAAGCATTTATTTGGGCTGCAATTTCTGAGGCTGGTAACTAATGAACTTATCCTCTGCAGCAGAGGTAACTCTGGGTCTTCCATTCCTGTGGCGGTCCTCATGAGAGCCAGTTTCATCATAGTGCTTGACGGTTTTTGCGACTTCACTTGGAAGAAACTTTTAAAGTTCTTGAAATGTTCCATATTGACTGACCTTCATGTCTTAATGATGGACTGTTGTTTCTCTTTGCTTATTTGAGCTGTTCTTGCAATAATATTTATATTCTATTGGTTACTAGAGTGTAGGCTACACAACAATTGCTTCTGATGACAAAGTTGGTCAGCATGTCTTTAACTCAGTAGTCCTCCAGGAAGGTTATAAGTGGATAGCGACGCACAGAGATATTGGTGTTCACTTCCATGTCTGCTTATCAAAGCTCATTCCACGTCAGTTCATGTTTTTTGTTTATAAAGCACTAAGGTGAAGGAATTTAATTCTAGGAAGTTAAATAATAACAGCATGCTGTTTCTTAGAAGAATGTGTGGTTTGGTTGTCTGTAGTCTGGAAACCTGCAGGAGGGGAATTAAAACATGGACCAAATCCCCAAATGGAAGAATTACTGGAATTACCAGATTAGGAGGAACCACTAGTGTGGCATCAAACAGAATTGTAATGTCCCAACTGGACCAAATATTGGCCATTTTTGCATTTTTGCTTGGGCAATTTTCTTGAATGTTCATTTACATTTTAGTCATTTAGCAGACGCTCTTATCCAGAGTTAGTGAGTGCATACATTATTTATTTTTTATGTTGTTCGCTCTCTCATGCACATGTGAACTAATCAGTTAGTGAGTTTGTTATCCCAGAGACAGTTGATTTGCAAACAAGGATTGCACACACAACAAAACAAAACAAAGTAAAAAATAAAATACAAATAATAGTAATACACGTCATCAGCAAGAACTAATAGCATAAACATTGCCTATAGATTTTCTCACACATACTCATTAATCTGCTTCCCCGCTGTGTTTGACCTTAGGATCTCACCTGCTCCATTTCAACTCGTGACGCATTTTCACCGCTCTGATCAGGAACTCCCTCAGCTTCGCAGCCCCGGCTCCAGCTCCCTCCACAGACAACCATGGTAGAAAAGATGGCCTCATTCGGCCGGATCCTGCTGCGACGCAGGGCACTGGACTGCTCCGATGAGGGAACCCGCTTCGCCCGCTGCCTCTCCACACTGGACCTGGTGGCCCTGGGGGTGGGCTCCACGTTAGGGGCAGGGGTGTATGTCCTGGCTGGAGAAGTGGCCAGGGAGAAGGCTGGTCCTGCCATCGTACTCTGCTTCCTCATCGCTGCACTCTCCTCCATGCTGGCCGGACTCTGTTACGCAGAGTTTGGCGCCCGCGTACCCAAGACGGGTTCGGCGTACCTGTACAGCTATGTGACGGTTGGTGAGATCTGGGCCTTCATCACGGGATGGAACCTCATCCTCTCCTATGTCATCGGTGAGTTGGTAGATTGGAAATCGGTGAAGCATTCGAAGGCTTCGCATTGAGCTACTATGTTCATGGAGCGAGGCTTGTTTCTAGGATCGCTTATCCTCTTTAGTTTGGTTGATGTTTTTCGTCATGTTAACTTGGTCTCCTTGGTCTTCTGTCCTTAAGGTACAGCCAGTGTGGCCCGAGCCTGGAGTTCTACGTTTGATAATCTGGTGGAGCAGAAGATATCGGTCTTCTTCAGGTCTTCCATGGCCATGGAGGTCCGGGGGGGTGTGCTGGCTGAATACCCTGACCTGTTTGCACTCATTCTCGTGCTCTTATTAACTGGTGAGGACTCCTCCAGCATTATCAACCAACATGTATAATGTTGGGGCGCTGGGAGGCATCACATAAGTACTACCCTTGTCATAAAAGCTGTAGCTACAGTAATGTGACTTGATTTGTCTCACCTAGCTAGCTTAAAGATGAATGCACTGTCGCTCTGGGTAAGATCGTCTGTGAAATGACTAAAATGTAAATGTAGATTAGCATTAATAATGCCATCATGTTGCTTCTTCTAGGGCTGCTGGCATTTGGAGTGAGTGAGTCTGCCCTGGTCAATAAGGTTTTCACTGGGATCAACCTGGTGGTGTTGGGCTTCATCATCATCTCAGGCTTTGTTAAGGGAGACACAGACAACTGGAACCTCACCCAGGACAACTTTGTTAACACCTACACCAACATTAACACCGACACCAACGGCACCAACACCTCCAGCATATCCCAAGAGTGAGTCCTCCATTTAAGATGGCTGCCAGCTGAGATTTAATAATAATAATAATAATATGCCATTTAGCAGACGCTTTTATCCAAAGCGACTTACAGTCATGCGTGCATACATTTTTGTGTATGGGTGGTCCCGGGGATCGAACCCACTACCTTGGCGTTACAAGCGCCGTGCTCTACCAGCTGAGCTACAGAGGACCACATTTAGCCATAGATTTCATTATAGAGCAATGGTATGGAGTAAATGATGTTTGTATGTGACTAGCTATGTTTGAAATATAACAGTAAAACCATGTAATTGGCATTTGTCCCGCTGCCTCATCTCTGTCCCTCAGGGTTGTGGATAAGACGTTTGGCTCAGGTGGTTTTGCTCCTTTTGGCCTCAGCGGCATCCTGTCTGGTGCTGCTACCTGTTTCTACGCCTTTGTGGGTTTTGACTGCATCGCCACCACCAGTGAGTTATTTACTTTGCTCCAGAGCTAAACAAACTCTTGACAATTTAATACTTTCTGAGAAGTAGCCATTATTTACTATTTTACACCTAGGGTTACTATACATAACTTTAACCCATTGTATAAGAGATTCTCCAAAATTAAAATTGTCAAGGCATTTATATATAAGTTCTAGTTGTACTTTATCACGTTATTTGAGCTATTTACTTTGCACCAGAGCTAAACATTAGATAGGTCCACCTCGTTTGTTCTCAATAGTCACTTACATTGCATTATTCAAAATGTCACTTTTAAAATGGTTGCCGATTTTTAAATAGTTGCTGACTTGAAGTTCTCTTTGGTGGTTCTCTCTCATAGTTGTGCCTTGTGTTTTTCCCCCCAGGTGAAGAGGCTAAGAACCCCATGCGTTCCATCCCTGTGGGTATCGTGGCCTCTCTACTCATCTGTTTCTTCGCCTACTTCGGGGTGTCTGCGGCCCTCACTCTCATGATGCCCTACTACCTGCTGAACAGAGAGAGCCCCCTGCCAGAGGCCTTCAGCTACGTGGGCTGGGCTCCTGCTCGCTACATTGTGTCTGTGGGTTCCCTCTGTGCTCTCTCCACCAGGTCAGTTAGGCTGATAGACCACACTATGGCTACTGTTCTATAGCTCACTTAACGGATCCAATACACTCATCGGTACTTTAAGCACTCTGTCTTTGCTATGTAGTCAATGTTTTTGTTGTTTTCCTAGCCTGCTTGGGTCCATGTTCCCCATGCCGAGGGTTATCTATGCCATGGCTGAGGATGGACTCCTGTTCCGTGGCCTGTCACGCATGAACACTCGCACCAAGACCCCCCTGATGGCCACCATCGTCTCTGGCTGTGTGGCATGTGAGTTCAGCCCTCCACCCTCTCTCTGTTCATTCATCTGGTTTGACACTACTACCTCTGGGTTCCACTGTAGTCATTTCCTGCTGTTCTCTGTGTTCGTGTTTATGTATGAAACTATGAATGTACAGCAGCATGAGGGAAGTCCGTAGAAAAATACGCTCTGATCTGTGGAATGCTGTTTTTTGTTCCATTGTTTTTGAATGCCGGAATAACTAGTGTAAATAACCAACTTGATGGAGTAGATTGTCTTTATATAGTGAGTATGATGGTAATGCTGATTGTCACCGCTCCCTGTAGCTCTGATGGCCTTCCTCTTTGACCTGGCTGCCCTGGTTGACCTCATGTCCATAGGGACACTGCTGGCCTACTCACTAGTGGCCATCTGTGTGCTCATCCTCAGGTGGGTGATGACTTATACCACATTATTTTATATTTAAAATATACTATAATGCCTAACCTAGCATTTGTGGTATTGAAATGGTGATTATTCTCCTATACTGTGGTTTGCTCATGGTATTTCACATGGCATGCTCAGTGTGAATAGCTCCCATTTCCCAGGAGTCTGACCCGCTCTGACCTGTCTGTTTCCAGGTACCAGCCCGGCACCCTGAGCTCATCCAGTCAGACTGAGAAGCTGGTGGAGTTGGTTGGAGGGGAGAAGGTGGCCCGGGGGGACAGTGGCGATGAGTACGATCTGGAGGATCGACCCCTCAGGGAGAAGTTCACCCCCCGCCGCCTCCTCTTCCCCAGCAGTGCCTTACCCACCAAGACCTCCGGGAACATAGTCTATGTCACCACGGCCATTATCTGTGAGTGACACCTCTTTCTCACCCACACTTACCGTCTTATGCAGTTGACTATGGGTTGTTTTCAAAGCAGCTCTTTTTTGAGACATCTCATTTTTTTCTCTCTCTCTTTTTATCCTCTAGCGGTGCTCATCACTGTGCTGTGTGTGGTGCTGGCGGGGAAGCTGGATGAGTTGATCGAGGTTCAGCCTGTGTGGGTCACAGTATGTGTAGTCCTGTCCTTGCTCTGTACCCTTTGTGTCATAATCATCTGGAGGCAACCAGAGAGCAAGGAAGCCCTCACCTTCAAGGTCAGTTTCTGAGTATTTATTTAATTTAAACAGGTGCAGTGTGTATTCACTTGATATGCAGTAAAATGGTGCCTAACCTGTCCTGCTTCCCTCTAGGTGCCCCTGCTGCCTTGGCTGCCTCTGTTCAGTGTCTTTGTAAACATCTACCTCATGATGCAGCTGGACCTGGCTACGTGGTGCCGCTTCGCTGTGTGGATGGCCATTGGTGAGTTAACATTACATTATACACAATAGGAAATGTTTCTAAAGTCACAATAGAATCACATGCCAAGTCTGTTTTATGAGCAGCAGAATGTTAACTTAATAACCAGTCCTCTTACTCCTTCCCTCAGGATTCACAATCTACTTCTTTTATGGGATCTGGCACAGCAGTGCGGCAGCCAGCAACACCCCCCGGAAATATGAGCCTGCCCTCCAGACCAAGAAGAAGCCTATCTACCTGGGGGGAGACGAGAGTGAGGTGGAGGGGATGAGCCCCTGAACGGCTAGGGGCTGGAGGAAACCCCACACATTATACCTCTGCAGTGAAGGCAGACAATTCACCTGACTGACACTGCAATGCGTCTCTCTGGTTTTGTCTTTCATTTTTGGGATATCTCTGTTTTAAGCTTTATTGGACAGTTGAAGAGTAATATTTTTAACACTCGAAACATTAACATTACTAGTGATTTTATTTATTAGAAGTTAGTCTCTTCCAAGTTGGTGTTGTTGGCTGTGGCCGTGCCTCTAATTGTTAGCCCCTGATCTCCTGCAGCGATATGAACTACAGCTGTCCAGGAGTGTTGGTTAGGGCCATGTGGAAACAGGGTACCAGTGTGTCTGTGGGGTTTACAATCTTGGTCAGAGCCTCGGTGCACTTGGGTCAACAGCACAGAGTTAGTGGATCAAGGCCTAATGCAGGCGTTTTGGGGATCGCTAGTGTAGACAAACTGTCCTCCGTCACCTGTCACACAGCAACATATTTAACAGTAAGGCCTTGTGGCAGAAACTAGTATTTATTGTTGGTATCAGCTTGTTCCGTAAGATGGAAATATCACCACCGAGACATGGAACTAAATATCCTAAAATGCTAAAAGCATTTATGAACAATCTGTTGCCAGTGATGTCTGTGTCATTTATAATGAATTTTAAAATGTTTTTAAACATATGGTAAAATAGTCAAAGTAATTCTGTAAGTTATCCTCTTCATGGTGGTTAGCCCCTGTGTTACTGAAGCAGTATATGCACGAGGTTCATCCAAATAATAAATGGTGGTGATGTAGCTATACCTTGACGGGTGATGGAACGACATCCTGGCACCGCTACAATTAGCTGGCTGTTGCATCATCTTCATTTGATATATTTTGGGATGGGCTGTCCTGTACTCTTGTACCCCCACCCTTCATGTATCGCTGTTTATCTTTCTGGAGTTTTGCTTTACAAATCAGAACTACCCTTTTTATATGGACATACTTGAGTTTGAGATCTCTGCCTCGAATGCTTGAGCTGTCTCCTACAGATGTTTAACAAATACCAATACCCTGAGGGTCTATAGTATACAGTGCTCTGTATTGAGTCTTAAAGGCAGTGATTTTAGTCCTGGTCATGCAATACCACTGATGTAACTTTAGTTGTAGCTTCTTGTGAAAAACATGTTCACAAACATTTTTAGTTTCCGTTGAAACTTGTTCTTGGCAGATTGGCTGTTGAGTTTGCATCATTTTATCTATTCATTCTATTCTGTAGAATTGTTTTTTTTTATATATATGTAATGTAGTTTAGTTCTGTTATGCATTTCAAATGACTTTAATCAAGTAATGTGCTTTATAAATGTGTTTATTCTATTCTTACATGTACAGTTTTTAAAGTACTCTTGATAACCCCCTTGCTTTAACGATTTATTGTATATATCAAAACTTTTGCATCACCCAAATGATTGAGACTTCAACTTGTGATTCCATTTGTTATTAATTACTAGTTGTGGTGCTGCTTGACCAAAATACAGTGTGCATTGGAGACACTAGGTCAAGGACACAAGGAGGTTGACCAGCAAAATGTGGTCTCTAAATCTGAAGTATATTTGTGCTCAGCTGCAAAGACACAGGAGTTGGTGAGGATAATTGAGTTCTATGGTTTCTTAAAGGAAAATTCCACCCAAAAAGGGATGCATCATATGATGCTAAATGCGTCATACTGACTGTATTTAGAAAATTATATCTTGAAAACTTGATTGCTGACATGCAAAAGGTTTTGGGCCTATATCAACAATGGACTAATGAAACAAATACCACAATAGTTTTTGGGTGGAGTTTTCCTTTTAAGTGAGTTGTTGTAGTACAGTAATAACTAATGTACAGTATGTGTATAGCTGTATTATATTTGTATAATGCTGTATATTATACAAATGGACATTAATTCAAAGGAGATGTTTTATACTTGTGCTTCTTGGCATTCATTTTGAAATTGTTTCTTGAGGGCTTGAAAGAATCTCCAAAAGAAACCAGTGCCTGAAAATACCTCCCGCCTCAAAGATCCCAGTGGCTGGTAAACCAAAACTCATACCAAGCCATAGTACTGATTGATCAGTACTACTCTAAATGCTGTCACATAAACATCAATTATATTTTTTGTCTTCGGTTTTATATACTGTAAATATATGCATGTCATGTATAAATTAGCTGTATTTTTTATGTTGTCTTTTCTAAATAAAATGTTAATTCTATGCCTTTGTTGATTCTCATGGGTAGAGGAAATTATTTTAGTGTTAAAATTAATTAAATACAATTATTTATAAAAATTCATAAGCTTATCAAACCAAGGGAGGGAAAAATCCATATCCATTTCCTCCTCATCTACAGATTCACAACATTTAAATGTTGCAACGGCATTGTATGCCTACCTGAAGGTATTTCATTTGGTTCATGTGATGAATATGACAAATGTTCAGATTCTCCTGGCCTTGCTCTGTGCCCTTGTCATAATCAAGGAAGCCCTCACCTTCAAGGTCAGTTTGAGTATTTATTTAATTTAAACAGGTGCAGTGTTTATTCATGGCTTACAACAATAGAATCCCATATGATTTTGCCACCATATATTTGAACTTTACATTTTGTGCCTTGTGAATGTTGCCTTGTAACCATTCACAAGGTCAATTATTTAGTGTGTGCTGCCCTCTTGTGTTTGTATATGGCATTGTACTACTGGAAACTACAAACAGTTGTTTCAAATATAGAACAATAAGACCGATATTTCACCTGATGTATAAATGTGAAGCATCCGGTTGACGTTTCCGCTCACTACCAAATATGGTGATGAGAGGAAGCCCAGTGGCCGGCTGTAAGAGAAGATGGAGCGTGATGTATTTTGGCCGACATTCTGCTAATTTTCTCATCGATTAAACATTTGATCTCAATACATTTTTCTGTTTCCAAAACTAGAATCTGTTACGAACAGAGTGGATAACATTTTGTAGACTTTACCCTTTGCCAAAGTTGTAAAAAATGGCGTTGTTTAGGAGCGCATGGGCGAATTGAGTTATTGCACATGCACACTTCACAGAGTAGGCGTTTCCTAACGGAAATATGCAAATACATGCTAGAACGCCACCTCCTTGCTTGTTCTGCCCTCTGATTCATTTGCTCCAATTGGAAACGACAGGCTGTGGTCTATCTTGGGGTTATTTTCTTATCAAATGTTCACAATTTAATAGGGAGTTCATAGCATCTTTGTAGTACAAATAGATACATCACTTACTTTACATGAATGTAGTCTCCAGTGCTTTAACCTGCAAGTACACTACATGACCAAAAGTATGTGAACACCAGCTCGTCGAACATCTCATTCCAAAATCATGGGCATTAATATGGAGTTGGTCCCCTCTTTGCTGCTATAACAGCCTCCACTCTTCTGGGAAGGCTTTCCACTAGATGTTGGAACATTGCTGCGGGGACTTGCTTCCATTCAGCCACAAGAGCCTTAGTGAGGTCGGGCACTGATGTTGGGCGATTAGGCCTGGCTCGCAGTCAGCGTTCCAATTCATCCCAAAGGTGTTCGATGGGGTTGAGGTCAGGGCTCTGCAGGCCAGTCAAGTTCTTCCACACCGATCTCGACAACCCATTTCTGTATGGACCTCGCTTTGTGCACGGGGGCATTGTCATGCTGAAACAGCAAAGGGCCTTCCCCAAACTGTTGCCACAAAGTTGGAAGCACAGAATCGTCTAGAATGTCATTGTATGCTGTAGCATTAAGATTTCCCTTCACTGGAACTAAGGGGCCTAGCCCGAACCATGAAAAACAGCCCCAGACCATTTTACCTTCTCCACCAAACTTTACAGTTGGCACTATGCATTGGGGCAGGTAGCGTTCTCCTGGCATCCGCCAATCCCAGATTCGTCCATCGGACTGCCAGATGGTGAAGCGTGATTAATCACTCCAGAGTCCAATGGTGGCGAGCTTTACACCACTCCAGCCAACGCTTGGCATTGCACATGGTGATCTTAGGCTTGTATGCGGCTCCTCTGCCATGGAATCCCATTTCATGAAGCTCCCGACAAAGTTTTTGTGGTGACGTTGCTTCCAAAGGCAGTTTGGAACTCTGTAGTGAGTGTTGCAACCGAGGACAGAGAATTCAGCACTCGGCGGTCCCATTCTGTGAGCTTGTGTGGCCTACCACTTTGCGGCTGAGCCGTTGTTGCTTCTAGACGTTTCCACTTCACAATAACAGCTCTTACAGTTGACCGGGGCAGCTCTAGCACGGCAGAAATTTGACGAACTGACTTGTTGGAAAGGTGGCATCCTATGACGGTGCCATGTTTTAAGTCACTGAGCTCTTCAGTAAGGCCATTCTACTGCCAATGTTATGTCTATGGAGATTGCATGGCTGTGTGCTTGATTTTATACACCTGTCAGCAACGGGTGTGGCTGAAATAACCGAATCCGCTAATTTGAAGGGGTGTCACATACTTTTGCATATAGAGTGTACATCCAGTTTAACCTCTGGAATATCCATTTCTTTCAACTGCTTGTTGAATAACCAATGTTTTTCCAGACTGGGGGAATATCTAAGTAATTGTGGTATGCGTGTGCATACAGAGGCAGCTAACAGTGACCACATGCATTTTGAATGGGCATCATAGAACACTGGAATATTGACCATGCCTTTGCTGAGATCAAATTTGTATTCCTTACAAGCATATGAGACATCAAACCTGCCCTTGTGCTATGCACTCCAAACTTATACACCGCTAAAGAAACATGGTCTGTTTTAAGTTTAAGTTAAAAAAAAGAAAGAAATTACATTTACAAGTCACAATTTAATTGGAATACATCTTAGCTCTGACTAGATTTATGAAGACATGATTCATAGCCATTTCAAAGCTCTGCATGACATTGCGCAGGTAAGCACCATCGCTCAGAGCCTCAGTCTCAGCAGAGAACATGAAATATGAAGAGAAAGTCTGTCTGTTCTCTTCCCATTCCTATATCACAGTCAGTCAATGGTTTAGAATGAAAAACAAAGTTTGTTTAGCGCCAGTGCTGTGAATTCAGCAGCTGATCTGGTACCTGGCCTAGCAGAGAATACAGTCAGGAGTCCATTCAACAACATAGTGTACTGGTTTGGGTGGGAAGCACAGGAGGCTGCTGAGGGGAGGACAGCTCATAATAAATGGCTGGAATGGAGTGAATGGAATGGTATGAACCACATGGAAAACGTTTGATTTGTCCGATACCATTCCAATTATTCCATTCCAGCCAATTCTATAAGCCCAACCTCCCCAATTAAGGTGCCACCTCCCCAATTAAGGTGCCACCAGCCGCCTCTGGTGGGGAGGGTATTCACCTGTGTCTGGCACATGGAGGCTCAATACGCATGTACAATATGTAGGTACCGGATGTCTCTATAAAGGCTGTGGACTTCCCCAGGGATCTCTCTCCTTTCATAATCAGAGGGTGTGACTTCAGTGAAAGAGGGGGAAACCAAACTATCTTATTACCATGAACAGAGCAACACTCCAGTTGCTGTCTGATACAGTGCATTCGGAAAGTATTCAGACCCCTTGACTTTTTCCACATTTTGTTACGTTGCAACTTTATTCTAAAATTGATTCAATCGTTTTTTTTCCTCATCAATCTACACACAATACCCCATAATGACAAAGCAAAAACAGGTTTAGAAATTTTAGCAAATGTATTAAAAAAAAAAAGCTGAAATATCACATTAACATAAGTATTCAGCCTCGAGTCTTCTTGGGTATGATGCTACAAGCTGTAACGTAACAAAATGTGGAAAAAGTCAAGGGGTCTGAATACTTTCCGAATGCACTGTCTCTCCTACAAATGTTGAAAATGATGGAATTTCCCATTTCTATCACGCCATTATGACATTTCATGTTCTATAAATTAATTCATCCAGAACACCCTGGCTATTTACAAATGGATGAAATACAACTATACACGTGCAGTATTGAACAACCCTCTTGTTCAACACATTGTGAGGGTTGAAGGAGAGTAAAATCCAGGTCAATTAATACATGTTGTAGCTTTCCTTTCGAGCAAATTGTTAATTTCCTGCTGCATAGATACTTTGAACCTAGAAGGCTCTTTAAATTGCTCTCAGATATGGTCTGCTTGCATTAACATTGTATTGGGGATCATGCATAAATAGGGACATGGGCCTGGCAGCAAAGGGGATCATAGCTAAAACCCAACATTTACAATGAGGAGGGTGGAAACTGGCATTGAGAAAAAAATACATTTTAGAGGTACTAAGGGTTGTGGTTGGAAGTCATAATGGTTAGATAAAGCACATGGCTGAGTCCAATAGGCTGGGAAGAAATATAGGACACGTGCGGAATGTTGCTTAGGATCATGTTGAAACTACAAGCATATGACCATACAGTTATTAATAAACTAAAGAAAAAACTACTCTAGTACAGCTGACCCCATTTAAAACTTGGTGTTCACAACATCAGGAGGCGTTATCGTTGTGTAGATGTCAATGTTTAAGGGGTGGGCTTACTATTAAAGCCAATGGAGTATATAAAACATATTTTTCATGGGACACATTCTCTAACGATTATGGTGGATGGCCAGGGTAGGTAAAAGAGGTGATATCTTATACAGTACCTTGTGTCACCAACTGTACATTTAATATGAGCAACGATAACACTCAACTGTACAAGTTCCCTGTTGATACTCATGTAGAACTGATTCAGTCCACACAAGCTTTGGTTCCATCTGTGATCAAAAGGATGACGGCAATAAACTATAGTGTTCTTGGTTGTTCATGTGTCTGGTGGCGCCATCAGTCTCGCACCAAAAGCAGAGGAGGCATTGCACACAGCCAGTACTATAACACATGCTTTCCTCTGTGCACTGGTTCTTTCCATAGACAGGGTGGAATAAGCCGAGCTAGATTTGGTGTTTCCCCTTGTATTGAACACCAGCCCCTCCCCCAAATGTTGTGTGAGCTCTCCAGACTACAGAACAGATGTGTAAAGTTGAGGTGTGTTCCTTCTGTGGGTCACAAGATGAAGCATAAATACAGGCCATTTCTTCTCTTACAAGTGCATGTAACATGTAAGACAGACGCGAGGAAGGTTACTGTGGAAAATAGCTGTATCCATGTTTTATTCAGTGCACAAATGGCCTTCCAGTAGTCAGGATTGGAGTGAGAGAGCTACATGTGTGACCTGTGACAAGATTGGGAGCTAGTGGGACATAATGTTACAGGACTGCATGGGCTGGGAAGGCTGAAGCCAACTAGATAGACAGGCTAATCAGCAGAAGCACCGGCGGTCGCTCTTGGTGACCTCTTCTGAGGAGTGCACCACATTGGGCACCAAGCCACTCTTCACTCCCTCCCAGCCTTCCTGGATGTTGATGTCACCGTTCTTCACAAGCTCGAAGATGTCCCGCGTTAGCTCAGTGAAGGCCTTTTCCACGTTGATGGCGTCGCGAGCCGATGTCTCCACGTAGCGCATACCATAGGCACCTGCCAGCTTCTCCGCCTCCTGCTGGCTCACCTGCCTCTGGGGCTCCAGGTCGCACTTGTGGCCCACCAACAGGAAGACGATGCTGTGAGGCTGGACGTGACTGCGGGCCTCCTCCAGCCACTCATGCACATTCTGGAAGGAGCGACGGTTGGTGATGTCGAACAGCAGCAGCCCCCCAACAGAGTTACGGTAGTAAGCCCTGGTTATGGACCTAGAGAGGGTGAGAGGACAAGCAAAGAAGAGGGACAGAATTGAGAGAAATAGTAAATACACTGAACAAAAATATAAATGCAACATGTAAAGTCTTGGTCCCATGTTTAATGAGCTGAAATACAAAATCCCAGACATTTTCCATATGCACAAAATGCTTATTTCTCTCAAATGTTGTGCACAAATTTGGTTACATCCCTGTTTGTAAGCATTTCTCCTTTGCCAAAATAATCCATCCACCTGACAGGTGTAGCATATCAAGAAGCTGATTAAACAGCATGATCATTACACAGGTGCACCTTGTGATGGGGACAATAAAGGGCCACTCTAAAATGTGCAGTTTTATCACACGACACACAGTGCCACAGATGTCTCAAGTTTTGAGGGAGTGTGCAGTTGGCATGCTGACTGCAGGAATGTCCACCAGAGCTGTTGCCAGATAATGTAATGTTCATTTATATACCATAAGTCGCCTCCAACATTGTTTTAGAGAATTTGGCAGCACGTCCAACCTGCCTCACAATCGCAGACCACGTGTATGGCGTCATGTGGGCGAGCGGTTTGCTGATGTCAACGTTGTGAACAGAGTGGTGGCGGTTGTGTTATGGTATGTGCAGGCATAAGCTACGGACAACAAACACAAATGCATTTTATCAATGGCAATTTGAATGCACAGAAAAACTGTGACGAGATCCTGAGGCCCATTGTGAGGCCCATTTATTTTAAGGTATCTGTGACCAACAGATGCATATCTGTATTCCCAGTCATGTGAAATCCATAGATTAGGGCCTAATTTATTTATTTCATTTGACTGATTTCCTAATATGAACTGTAACTCAGTAAAATCTTAGAAATTGTTATTTTATTCAGTATATAAGTATGGAGAAGCAGGGAAAGGGGAAAACCAGAGGATGTGACATGGAGAAGTGGTGAGGTTCAACATCAAGAAAATGAAAGGGTATGAGACGAATGATAGATAAACTAATATACTGTCATAACAATAATTACAGGTGACTATAAAACATTTCACACAATTTGTGGTCTTTACAATGGAAGATTAAAATATATATATATATATGTAAAAGCGTCACCTGAATCGCTCTTGTCCGGCTGTGTCCCAGATTTGAAGTTTTATGCGTTTTCCTGGCTCTATCTCCACAAGGCGTGAGAAGAAGTCTACCCCGACTGTGGGGTCTGACACATGCGCAAAGCGTCCCTCTGTGAATCGCCGGATCAGGCATGATTTTCCTACTGTCGAGTCCCCAATGACGATGAGTCGAAACTGATACAGCCATATCGCTTCCATCTCTCATAGGATCTATGGGGGAAAATATATACATTTGACGATTAGTAATCAAGTAACTTGACACTTATTTTGACCCCAAGGGTAGGCTATCCAATCCACTATCAGTGTTATCCTTCGGCCTATTTTTGACAAATGTAGTACTGTGTGTTAGGCCTGCCTATTTTTAAGAGGCCTATTTGTGAGGATGTGTACGCGAATGGCGCACAACATCCAAAACCGACTTGATTGTTAGGCCTACTTTAAAAGTCCAATAGCCTACAGCGCACGGTCTAATTGCATCTTCTTGAAAAACTGTTATCTGCCTGCCCTACATTATCATGAGGTAAAGGCCTCCTCTTTCCAGGTAAATGCACAGACAGCTCTTGCAAAATAACACTCGCATATTCAGCGAACATGTGGATGTTAACATGTGGATACACCGTTGTTGCATAGCAAAGCCGATCAAGTGCAATAATAACATGTGTTGACAATTTGTTTTTCTTCTTAAAAACAACATTAAAATGGCACATTTTTATGGACAAACAATAGGCTAGTTCTGGGCTACATAAATCTGAACGAGTCTTATAATAACATTTAAACTGATTTTCTTTCCGCCCTTCATAGACAATAGTATTTATCTAAAATCGTGTTACAACGGTCTTTTCTATGGCGATGGCATATTAATCCAAATGTATGTGCAATTACCTTGTTAGATGAGCGATCAACGCCTGGCAATAGCAAACCCCATGATCTTGAGAAATCTCGTATATCGAAGATGTACTCTGAAAGTGATCCCAGGAGACCTAGTCAAACACTGTTTTATCCCAAGCAGTTATCCGCAAATAGGCCTTGTCCTAGTATCCTTTTGTATTATTTTATTCTACAATGGGATCTGTTACTGTGCTGGCGAGTTTGATGTAAAATAGGCTAATGGCCGTACTTACAACTTGTCGATGGTTTCATGTCATGGTAATCCGCTGATGAAATGGAAGTAACAACAGCATCACATAGCATTCCTCATCAGCACCATTACCGTAAGAACCCAGACAGCAACGCAATATAAAATGTGTCTGCCTCTCAACAGAGGGCGCTACACTGGATGCTACAAAAGGGCATTTAAATGGAGGCCTATAAAGAAGAATGGAGACTACTCTGTAGCCATCTGAACGATCAAAATAACTAGGGTGTGAATCATGCTCTGAGGTAGACCTACAGTAGGCTGCAGGAAACAAGAGAATGGGTGTGGCTTGGCAGTTTTTAAATGTTATTTTTTTTTAATCATGACATTCGACATCGGGTAGCAAGCACACTGGTCTCGAGGCGACTGGAGGGACATAAACTCATTGCGGAGGTGTTGTAGACCTATAACAAATATATATATACATTGATTCGCATTTTAATGAGGGAAATAAGTATTTGACCCCTCTGCAAAACATGACTTAGTATTCATTGTAACACAAGTGGTCTACCCTGCAAGCAATTCAAGACAATATTATTATTATGGTGGGGATTATAATACTGTTTTAAATAGCTCAATGGACCGTAAAGGAAATCACACCACAAACAATCACCCACATGTTCTTAAGGAAATTGTGAATGTCATGGACACATTAGAACTAGTAGATATATGGAGGCTTAAATATCCTGATCTAGTGAGATATACATGTCGGAGACTCAATCAAGCTAGTCGTCTTGACTTCTTTCTTATCTCATTCTCGTTGAACGGCAAGCCAGACAAAATTAAACGGGCCTATTTATATAATGAATATGAATTCGGAGGACAGAAATTATTAAATATTAAAGCATTAGATCTATCACTAAAAGCTTCAGTCATACAAAAGTTATACTTAAATCCGAACTGGTTCTCTAGCAAATTAGTAAGATTGTCTCACCCAATGTTCAAGAATGGCCTTTTTCCCTTTATTCAGATTACAACCACTCACTTTCAGTTATTTGAAAAGGAAATCATCTCCCAAATATCACTATTTCAAAAACAAGCCATAGAAAGTTGGTTGCAATTTCAATTTAATCCTCCAGAAACGATAGAACAAATAATGCAACAAATATTGTGGTTAAACACAAATATACTAATTGACAAAAAAACTTTTTTTTTGACAAAATGTTTAAAAAATGTATAATCTTCGTAAATGATATCATCGGTAGGACTGGTGGAGTTATGTCGCACATGCAGCTAACAAAAACATATGGAAATGTCTGCTCTACCCAAAATTACAACCAAATAATTGCAGCCTTACCGCAAAAGTGGAAGAGGAAAGTGGAAGGGGGAGAAAGTAAGGAACTTGTCTGTCGGCCTTGCATTAAAGAACATAATTGGTTAAGGAAAACTGTGATAAATAAAAAAAGTATATCAGTTTCATTTAAGGACCAAAGGATTGACAGCCGTCCCATACAGATTGCAAAATAGTTGGGAAGAGATTTTTGACGTACCGATCCTATGGCATAGTGTTTATGAACTGATACGCAAAACGACACCGGATTCAAAACTTAGAATCTTTCAATTAAAATTATTATATAACATTCTTGCTACCAATAGAATGTTATTTAAATGGGGGATACAATCTTCCCAGCTCTGCAGATTTTGCTGTGAAGAGACAGAATCATTAGATCATTTGTTTTGGTTCTGTCCATTTGTAGCTTGTTTTTGGACACAGGTCCAGGAATGGCTAAAGGATTGCAATATTTACCTGGAGCTAACCTTGCAGATAGCATTACTGGGTGATCTGAAAAGTCATAGTCAATCGATCAATAACATAATAATACTTTTAGCAAAAATGTTTATTTTCAATTCACAATCTGTAGAAACAATGAGAATAGAAAGGTTCAGAACTTTTGTAAGACATCACAGTACAGTTGAAATATATATGGCAAATAGAAATCCTATATGGATGGTGTTAAAAGATAGATGGGAGGTGTTGAATGGAATTGAAGGATGGGACTAATAACAACTAACAACAAACAATAACAAGATAACTAATAATGTAAGCATACTGTGTCCATAATAAGTATATAGGTTGTAGGTTGGGAGCTTTTGTGAAAGAGCACAGTTAGAAAGATATGGCATATAGAAGCAAACCGGATGGACATCATGAAAATGATCGGAGAGGTTGAGAGTAGAAGAAGTTCAGGAGAAAAAACTAACAAAATATAATTATTGTAAAATTGACTGTGTCCATAAAATGTAGATAGTAAGTATAAACTGGAAGTAGAGGCCGAAGCATTATTGTTCACTAGTTTACTCCAAGTAGGGAAAGGGTGGCGGGGTTGGAAAGTAATAAAGGGGAATGCATATATTTTTTTAAAGGATATGTATCTGTATGTATGTATGTATGTGGGTATGTATGTTTGTGGGTATGTATGTATATATATATATATATATATATATATATGTGTATATATATATTTATATATGTATATGTATATACAGTGGGGGAAAAAAGTATTTAGTCAGCCACCAATTGTGCAAGTTCTCCCACTTAAAAAGATGAGAGAGGCCTGTAATTTTCATCATAGGTACACGTCAACTATGACAGACAAATTGAGAATTTTTTTCTCCAGAAAATCACATTGTAGGATTTTTAATTAATTTATTTGCAAATTATGGTGGAATATAAGTATTTGGTCACCTACAAACAAGCAAGATTTCTGGCTCTCACAGACCTGTAACTTCTTCTTTAAGAGGCTCCTCTGTCCTCCACTCATTACCTGTATTAATGGTACCTGTTTGAACTTGTTATCAGTATAAAAGACACCTGTCCACAACCTCAAACAGTCACACTCCAAACTCCACTATGGCCAAGACCAAAGAGCTGTCAAAGGACACCAGAAACAAAATTGTAGACCTGCACCAGGCTGGGTAGACTGAATCTGCAATAGGTAAGCAGCTTGGTTTGAAGAAATCAACTGTGGGAGCAATTATTAGGAAATGGAAGACATACAAGACCACTGATAATCTCCCTCGATCTGGGGCTCCACGCAAGATCTCACCCCGTGGGGTCAAAATGATCACAAGAACGGTGAGCAAAAATCCCAGAACCACACGGGGGGACCTAGTGAATGACCTGCAGAGAGCTGGGACCAAAGTAACAAAGCCTACCATCAGTAACACACTACGCCGCCAGGGACTCAAATCCTGCAGTGCCAGACGTGTCCCCCTGCTTAAGCCAGTACATGTCCAGGCCCGTCTGAAGTTTGCTAGAGTGCATTTGGATGATCCAGAAGAGGATTGGGAGAATGTCATATGGTCAGCTGAAACCAAAATATAACTTTTTGGTAAAAACTCAACTCGTCGTGTTTGGAGGACAAAGAATGCTGAGTTGCATCCAAAGAACACCATACCTACTGTGAAGCATGGGGGTGGAAACATCATGCTTTGGGGCTGTTTTTCTTGAAGCATTTCAAGGTCCTGGAGTGGCCTAGCCAGTCTCCAGATCTCAACCCCATAGAAAATCTTTGGAGGGAGTTGAAAGTCCGTGTTGCCCAGCGACAGCCCCAAAACATCACTGCTCTAGAGGAGATCTGCATGGAGGAATGGGCCAAAATACCAGCAACAGTGTGTGAAAACCTTGTGAAGACTTACAGAAAACGTTTGACCTGTGTCATTGCCAACAAAGGGTATATAACAAAGTATTGAGAAACTTTTGTTATTGACCAAATACTTATTTTCCACCATAATTTGCAAAGAAATTCATAAAAAATCCTACAATGTGATTTTCTGGAGAAAAAAAAATCTCATTTTGTCTGTCAGAGTTGACTGTACCTATGATGGAAAATTAAAGGCCTCTCTCATCTTTTTAAGTGGGAGAACTTGCACAATTGGTGGCTGACTAAATACGTTTTTTCCCCCCCACTGTAAGATTATATATATAGATTATATATATATATCTGGGGTGGATATATAGGTGTGGGTATATATAACATGGGGGAATTGGAAGTGATTCAGACAATGATCATTGATGGAAGTTACAATCTATCTGCCAATATTACAGCTAATCTAACCCCCCCCCCCACAAAAAATCAAAAAATAAAAAACATGTATGGAATATGTGTCTTGTCTATTTGTTTAATAGGATCCCCGTTTGCAGAGGCACAGCTATCTTCCTGGGGTCAAAAACCCTGACAAGTAACAAAACACTGAAAGACAAGGACAGGCAGGTTCTGCTCAAGAGTGGTATCATGCTCTCTTAGAGTGTTCTCTCTCTCTATCTCTCTCTATCTCTCTATATCTGTCTCTCTCTTCGTCTATCTCTCTTCTATACTCCGTCTCTTCTCTCTATCTATATATTCTACTCCGATCTCTATCTATCTCTCTTTTATATAGTCTATCTCTCTATATTACTCTCTTTTCTCTTTATCTCTCTCTCCTCTCTCTTTATCTCCGTCTCTCTCTCTCTCTCTTTATCTCTCTCTCTCTCTCTCTCTCTCTATCTCTCTTCTCTCTCTTCTCTCTCTATCTATCTCTATTCTTCTCTTCTCTCCTCTCTCTCTCTCTCCTCTCTCTCTCTCTCTCTCTTCTCTCTCTCTCTCTCTCTCTCAAAAACCGACATTCTCTGCTGTTTTTGGAATGTGCCAAATCATAATGCAATATAATTACATTATAAGTACATATAATTACAGTATACGCTAGATCAGTGCTGTATGCCTGTCTGACCCTGATGTGTGCTGTTCATGTACACTACCGGTCAAAAGTTTTAGAACACCTACTAAGTGTTTTTCTTTATTTTTTAAAACTATTTTCTACATTGTAGAATAATAGTGAAGACATCAAAACTATGAAATAACACATATGGAATCATGTAGTAACCAAAAAAGTGTTAAACAAATCAAAATACATGTTATATTTCAGATTCTTCAAATAGCCACCCTTTGCCTTGATGACAGCTTTGCACACTCTTGGCATTCTCTCAACCCGCTTCATGAGGTAGTCACCTGGAATGCATTTCAATTAACAGGTGTGCCTTCTTAAAAGTTAATTTGTGGAATTTCTTTCCTTCTTAATGCGTTTGAGCCAATCAGTTGTGTTGTGACAAGGTAAGGTTGGTATACAGAAGATAGCCCTATTTGGTAAAAGACCAAGTCCATATTATGGCAAGAACAGCTCAAATAAGCTAAGAGAAATGACAGTCCATCATTACTTTAAGACATGAAGGTCAGTCAATACGGAAGATTTCAATAACTTTTAAAGTTTTTTCAAGTGCAGTCGCAAAAACCATCAAGTGCTATGATGAAACTGGCTCTCATGAGGACCGCCACAGGAATGGAAGACCCAGAGTTACCTCTGCTGCAGAGGATAAGTTCATTAGAGTTACCAGCCTCAGAAATTGCAGGCTGTTTAAGGGCTATTTTACCAAGAAGGAGAGTGATGGAGTGCTACATCAGATGACCTGGCCTCCACAATCCCCCGACCTCAACCTAATTGAGATGGTTTGGGATGAGTCGCACCACAGAGTGAAGGAAAAGCAGCCAACAAGTGCTCAGTATATGTGGGAACTCCTTCAAAACTGTTGGAAAAGCATTCCAAGGGATGCTGGTTGAGAGAATGCCAAGAGTGTGCAAAGCTGTCATCAAAGCAAAGGGTGGCTATTTATTTTCTTAAAAACTGCATTGTTGGTTAAGGGCTTGTAAGTAAGCATTTCACTGTAAGGTCTACACCTGTTGTATTTGGCGCATGTGGCAAATACAATTTGATTTGATTTAAATTAAATAAAAAGTTCAGGAGAAGTTGAAAGGGAAAAATATATTATGAGAGAGATGTGCTGTATTTCTCCATGTGAACTTATGATCATGTTTGTGTGAGAAATGGTTAACATAATCATATATACTGAGTGTACAAAACATTAAGAACACCTGCTCTTTCCATGACATAGTGACCACACGGTCACAGCACCTGTTAGTATATCTTTACTGTTTCCCATTACATTATTGTGTTTATTTCCAAATGCTTGCTTTCCCTGCTGTTGACTGTTGTACTGTACATTGCAGTATAGGCCTGTAGCTTTAACTGAATTAAAATGGCTTTCATGTGGGGTTCAGAGGAATTGTCTTTTTCCTTTTATTCAGCCTATGTATTAATGACCATGTTAATAGTAAGAGTTGTCCAACACAGTGTGTTAATACAATGTTGTCACTATGTAGTTACAGTATTACTACACAGGTGTAAGAGGATAGTGTTGATATCGGGACAAACTCTTTTCCCGCTACTTCGATACGAAGTGATTTTCGTAGCAGGTTAGGAGAGCATTTTCGCTTACCCTAACCCATTTCCTAACCTTAACCTCAGTCTCCAAACCGGCTACGTTCATTTTCCTAACCTGCTGCGAAAGTTATTACCTGCTACGAAAAAGGTAACTTCCGTATCGAAGTGGCATAAAAAGTGTTTCTCTATTGATATCAGTTCTCCTCTCATCCTCACCTGCATCCCCCATCAATGATCTGATCCCAGAATGAAGCTGGGCTAGAAATGGAGAAAACAGTGAATTTCAAACCTTTTCATTATTTGGGTAGGCTCCGTTTTTTTTTATTTTTTTTACATCCCATACAGTAGCCCGTTTATCAGATATTTTAATGCCAACTGTGACTCATATTAGGTCCTTTATCTCACATGCAGACTGAGAAGTCACATTTGGGGCAAAAGGCCTAGATCAGGGATGGGCAACTCCAGTCCTCAGGAGCATGATTGGTGTCACACCCAGCTAACACACCTGACTTCAATAATCATCTAATCATGATCTTCAGTTTAGAACGGAATTAGTTTAATCAGCTATCTTTGCTAGGGATGGTGAAAAAGTGTGACACTACTCCGGTCCCCGAGGACTGGAGTTGCCCATCGCTAGCCTTGACATTACATGCATATCCTACATTCCTGTAGAGCAGGGTTTCCCAAACTCGGTCTTGGCCCCGCCGGGTGCACGTTTTGGTTTTTGCCCTAGCACTACACAGCTGATTCAAATAACCAACTCATCACCAAGCGTTGATTATTTCAATCAGCTGTGTAGTACTAGGGAAAAACCCCAAAACTTGCAGCCAGGGGTGGCCCCAGGACCGAGTTTGGCAAACCCTGCTGTAGAGAGAGCCAGGAAACTGAGAAGCTGGTGCTTTGTGAAAGGTTGTTGTTATAGCCCAATAATAATTATATAACATCAATACCATACTAGCCCAGGGGTTTGTCTTCAGATGTGTCTGAATCTGATTGGATAGTAGGTCTACTGCAGGCCTAATCAGTTTGAGTTTTAGACAGATTCCATCCACTTCAAATCATGATCCAGCTTCCTAAAATTCAATTGCGGTGTTCCACTTTAAGATGCCCTCCCCGGACTCTTTCTGTGTTGGCCAATCAACCCCTTTCTAAGGCACCTGATTCATAGGCGACACTGCCATTTTACACATGAAGTTTGACTGAAAAAAAAAAGAATAATCAGATACCTAACAAAAAAAAACATCAGATTAAACCATATGGAGCACGGCAAGTAAAGGATATGGAAAAACTAAGAGTCATTACTACAAGACCTCGACACGAACACAGGGAAGCTTGAGAGAAAATGCACTAATAATATGCTATTTTGTAACGTCTTCAAAATCAGTCTAGCAGCAATCATCTAACCAGCGCGAACGTTGTGTGATCACCAACCGAGGATTGGTAGGCTAACTAATCAATGATTGCTGCTGTTCAATTGTGTTCATGTAGACTACTGTAGCAGCTCTACACTAACTGGCATCACCCTTGGAAAGCTATTACGGGGATACATTGTAGCATCGCGACCTCCGAACGAATCATTATCGGCTGATTTTGGTGTGGTCCGTTTTGGATAAGGTTTTGGGATTTGTATGTGTGGACCATTGGATTGTCAATAAAATAGATGGTTTACTGAATGTAGCCGTCTATTTTTTTTTGGCCACCGTATGAATTCTGCCATCGGATTCGCGTCAGTGTACGTTTTTGGTTTTCAGACGGGCAGTCTGTTTAGAGGGCACGCTCCCAATCATCACTAAATACATTTTTATTTCTGATTCCCCGATTACTGCTTTTGGAACATGTCTGGACAGTCTATCACGGATCGGATCGCTGCGGCTCAGCACAGCATGACAGGGTCAGCTATAAGCAAAGCCGTCTGCAAGGCCACGACGCATGAAGTCAGCGGACCAAAGAAGAAACACCTTGACTGTAGGTTAAGTAGACCACCAGTGTCCCGCCGTTGCTACATATTTAGCAACAAAAGCATTGGTAACATTAAATATTCAAGACGACCTGTATGTTCATCATGTTTGATTGGCCATTGGTGTATTTTTAATAGCAAGGTTTTTCGACATTCTATGATAATAGGCTATGAATAATTGCGCGTCATAGGCTTCAACAGCTCATGTAGTCAATCATTAGTGTCAATATCCTACAGTAGGCTATCGTGCTGTAGCCTAAACATGAGACAAATAGGTTATTACTGAGTGTCATACAGGAAAATGCACACATTGTGATCATAAATAACCTATTAACTTATTCATCATTGTATGAAAAAATAATGCAATAATTTCCCCTTTTAATAGGACAAGCTATGTAGCCTAAAATTTTCGGCAGCTTAGGTTTAGAGGCATAATTTGAGTCCATCTACCTACTAATTCCTCTATTTCCAACTGAGTTTTAGATTAAAATAAGTCTAATTTAAGACTAATACCTTATTAAAAATGGTATTATTCAGAAATTATTGCTGCCTTAAAGGTACATTATATTGTGCTATATGAAGCCTTTGAGGTTTCTCAGCTACTTTAGTTTGTGATGAGCTGGTGTCCATGGGTCATTCATATTAGTGCAATGACAGCAGTGGCATAGACAACCTTGATCTCAACATTTCTATGTTTATCTGTGTGTGGTGTGGAACTGGAGTGTTTATTGGATAGAAAGTATTTTCTCCACGTTTAACTGCTGATGATTAGGTTAGGTGGCTTTCTACCCAAATAATTACTGGACACAATCAATATTGTGTCCAGTCAATCAATTAAGCTCAATCAGTCCTGTCCTGTCCATATACCCAGAGTGCTACTGGTTCAATGGAACAAAATCTGGTTGCCAGTCTGGTTATTTATTGGGAAGGAATGCTTCATAGTAGAATTCTCTATTTACCCAATCTTTATTGAAAGTAATCAATTGTGCAAATTTGAGTGATGTTAGTCATTTTGAGTGGAATTACATAAGCTAAAATCTTGTAGTCATAAAAATTACAATTTCTGAGTGGCATCTGAGAAGACTTGAAATGGGACTTAAATGTGATAGCCTACTGCAATTTAGTTCTTTAAAGAGTCTGTAATGCTATGGATTATCCTGATGCCTCACATAGTTCACATTTTAGTCTTTGAGGAAAGTGGAAAAATCCTGTGGGTAAGAATGTAGGAAATGTCCTTTTTATATTCTCTCGTATGGTTTAGCATAAGCTTAAACTCCTGGGAGGGAAATCCCTCCTACAGTCAAATGTCTAGAAGGACTACACAATTATATTTGAGTTATTTTGATCACCGTCTGTTTTAGAATCAGATTTTCAGTTTTAAAATGTTAATTACTGGTTAGTCACTAATTAAGGCATAATAAGTGATAGTTAATTCACTAGTTACAGGATATTTTTGAAGGGTGGGAGGTGCTGACCATAGATCCAATTGCTGTTAGGAATGTTCAGCATGAGTTGATCAACCTGTAGATTATATATAAAGCACTATTCATTGAAAGCACAATCCAATGTTCCCCGTGTTTTTGGTAGACCTGATCCACTGCACCAATGAGCTGAACGTGAGTGTCCCCCACCTGGCTGACACGTTGTTTGAGAGGACAGCCAACAACAGCTGGGTGGTGGTCTTCAAATCCCTCATCACCACACACCACCTCATGATGTACGGCAACGAGGTACGTATCACACACACACACAGTTTTAACCTAACCTTAACCCCTAACCCTAAAACGATACCTAACCCTAACTCCTAAACCTAACCGTAACCCTAATTGTAACCCTAACCCTACACCTAACCTCTAAGCCTAAAATAGCATTTTTCCTCGTGGGGACCGGCAAGATGTCCCCACTTGTCCGATTCTTCCTTGTTTTAAAACACACATACACTAGTAGCTGGGGGGGGTGGGATTCAAGGCCTTCATCATCACACCACCTCATGATGTACGACAACGACTGGCTTCACTGTAGCTCAATTGTTACTGGTAGAGCATGACGCTTGCAATGCCAGGATAGTGGGTTCAATTTCCGGGACCACCCGTATGTGAAATGTATGCACGCGTGACTGTAAGTCACTTTGGTTAAAAGTGTCTGCTAAATGGAATATACTGTATTATTACATTATTCACTGTTAAAGTCCTCTGGAATTCAAACATTTGATTGAATCTTTATTTTTACTGGTTTTGACCCCACTCTGTATTTTTTCACCAGCGATTAATCCAGTACCTGGCGTCCAGAAACACACTTTTTAACCTGAACAACTTCTTGGATAAGGGGGCATTACAAGGTACTGTTGGGAATTTGTCAATGCAAGTCATTTCACACCAGAGACATACTGTACAGAAGTCACAGGCACAAAATACATTATAATCGTGCAATGCATTAACAACAGTGTGCAGTACAAGAGTTCAAACTGTCGCTCTGAATGCACTGCAGAGGTGTGGCTCTGTAAGCTGCCAGGTCAGCACTCTAAATATTAATGTAAGTGCTCCCTCTCTGCCAGGTTATGACATGTCAACGTTCATCAGACGCTACAGCCGCTATCTGAATGAGAAGGCCATGTCCTACAGACTGGTGGCAGTGGACTTCACCAAGATGAAGAGGGGGTAAGATGGCCTGTAGTGGCCAGTGGGAAAACCTCCACAGTTTCACCCTGGGATACATCATTTACCTCAGTGGCCAGGCCCTCCTCAAGAGGGAGAAACAGTGGCAATAATGGGGACGAGCCTTAAATAGATTCAAGGTAACCTAGCTAAACCAGTCACTTATTTCAGCAGCCACTTTGGATAATGTGGGGATTATATGATTGACATGGAGATACTTCTGTCTGTTTGAGCAGTTGTGTGATTCATGCTGTATGAACATGTTAGTCAGTCACCACTTGTCCTGTTAAAGTGGTGCTGCGTGTCTCTTGCTGACAGGGTTGATGGTATGATGCGAACCATGACCGTTGACAAGCTGATCAAGACTCTACCTATCATTCAGAATCAGCTGGATGCACTCCTGGACTTTCAGGTAGGCTGCATGGTTGTGGTGTTGAGCAGTCCTTAATATGGGCTACATGACGACAGTGAGCTAGCGGTCAGTATGAACTCTCAATGTCTCTTCATCTGTTCTCTTCCCAGGCTAACGCTAATGAACTGACCAATGGCGTCATCAACAGCGCCTTCATGCTGCTCTTTAAAGACTCCATCCGCCTCTTTGCTGCCTACAATGAAGGAGTTATCAACATGCTGGGTAAGTACACTATCTGTTAGTTAGAGGAGAACTATGATGTCACTAGGATGTTTCTATGATGTCACTAGGATGTCACTAGGATGTTTCTATGATGTCACTAGGATGTTTCTAGGATGTCACTAGGATGTTTCTATGATGTCACTAGGATGTTTCTATGATGTCACTAGGATGTTTGTAAAATTATCTAGAAAAGAACTAGCTAAAATCCTTTGTCCCTTTTTGTTTTATTCTTCGCTTAGTTAACGTATCCTCTTTTTGTATCCTAAAGAGAAATATTTTGACATGAAGAAGAACCAATGCAAAGACGCCCTGGAGATCTATCAGACGTTTCTCAACAGAATGACCAAGCTGTCAGAGTTTCTCAAAGTTGCAGAGGTAATGTTTTCCCTGTTTCGTTTGTGTTGAGGAAAGGAAGGTTTCCGGTAGATCCAGCAGGAAGGTGGGGCTCTTCTCCCGGACCTCTGCTCCTCTCTCTCTTGCTCTCAGTGTGGTGGAGGCTTATGCTGAGGTCATGAATGCAGAGGTTTGCCTATTAGTAGGCATAAAAACCTCAGTGAAGGCCCCTCCATGTGCTGCCTGTTCTGATGCCTGTTCTGATGCCTGTACTGATGCCTGTTCTGATGCCTGTGTTGCATGTCTTATCAAGAGGTGTTTTCTTACGCTTCCCTTTCTCTCTTTTGCAATGATGAATGTCTGCCGTTATCCAAGTAAAGTACTACTTGATGAATGTCTGCTGTTATCCAAGTAAAGTACTACTTGATGAATGTCTGCTGTTATCCAAGTAAAGTACTACTTGCAATTCAGAAGGCCATATTGCGAAGATAATTAGTATCTCTTTTTATAATTTCTCGTGCATTCTTTTATTAAAAGGCTTTCTTGCTGTCTTTACTGATTTGGTTACTATTTGAGAAAGGTTTGGGGTGATGGGGGTGGGGTTCTATCCAAAAACTGGCTAACGTTGACTTTAAGGGCCCATTCATTTACTTGTCTAACAACGTGTTTGTCATTTGTACCCATTCTTTTTTCGTACAAAGTCAACATTAGTTGTGTGTTTTCTTTTTGGATGTTTCTCACCTTGCAGTCACATGAGTATTACAGCCCAATGTACCCGGCCCACCTGTCAATGGCATTTCAGTGTGTTAACATTCATTTCAAACCAGTCTTCAGATCCTTTGTGTGTGGGCATGTCAATTCCCCTGTTGTCTTTTTGTTGTTTTGTTTGTAGTCACTGCATGGAGTAATGGATCATTTGGTTTGATTCTTCTTTCTCCCTCCTCCACACACCTACCCCTTTATTCTGTGGTTGTTGGTTTTATTTGTTTGTTTATTATGTTTGGTTTTTGCCCCCCCTCCCCTCCCCTCCCCTCCTTTTTTGTGACACAGCAAGTTGGAATTGATCAGGGTGACATCCCAGATCTCACACAGGTCAGTGGTACATTTCATCTCAATATCTCCCATGTGGCTCCATTCTAAACGCTTTCATTCCCTACTCACCCTACAGGCTTCCACAATCCCCTCTCATTCTGATGAACCTCCCTCTCTCTGGGGTAGAGAGGGGGCTACTTCCAAAATGGGTTCCAAATATGTTACCCTTCCTAATTTTGGCGATTGTGCAAAACATAAGACTTCCCTGGTCTTGCAGATTTTAGGTAGACTGATCATTTATTTTACTTAACTTTTATACATTTTAGTCATATAGCAGACGCTCTTATCCAGAGCGACTTACAGTTAGTGCATTCATCTTAACATAGCTAGGTGGGACAACCACATATCACAGGCATAGAAAGTACATTTCCCCTCAATAACAGGGGGGCGGTGCAAGTGCTGGTGAATATATTTTTTTGCTTTACCTTGATTTTAGTATTTTTTTCTAGTTAAATCACAGTTTTATCAAGTTAACCCACAAAATACATTGTTTGATTTTGAAATGACACTGAAAAGTCAGGCAAATTCAGCCTCTGTCCTAGCAGATATGGGTGTATGGGGCTTGCCCATATAAGCCTTTTGTACATCAAGGTTTGACATCCCTTAATAGAATAGCTTAACAGAGGAATCAAGCTCTTGATTTCTCATACAGTTTAACTTTGTGTTGCCTCAAAATGAACACTATTGTATGTATTTTTCCTGAAAAGATATCCCATCAAAATAGCTGTGGGGAGAGCAGCGAATGGTTTCTACCAAATTGGTTTCTGCAAATATTACTTGCAAAGTGTACATAATGCCATCCTAAGCACTGCATAACATCAGATGTGATGCTACAAACACTAGTTGAAGCTTTCTTCAATGACATTCATGGTGTTTCCCTCCACATAGGGAAAAATAAACATGAACAAATGTTTCTGTCAACTGTTATGTCATGTTTGCAGTGCTTATGAAGACCTTATGTATCCCTGTTCAACTAAATAGTAGCCCATGTCTTTACTGAGCTGTAGATGGTTTTCTCTTTACTTTAAACGTTTAGTATATTCTAGAATTCTCTAAAGAAGGATATCCAGAATTATAATTATTCACTTTTCCCCAAAATAAGTATAGAAGTATGCAAGTTGCTGCATGTGTTAAGATTGTATTCTGTAATGAAAAGCAAGCCTCGGGTTGAAACGTGGGTATGACATGTGCAAAATGAATTTGCTCATCCTTGATATCTTTATAAAAGATGCTATTCATTTGCCAAATGTGTTTACCTAATTTCCATCAGATGTTTTGCCTTTCTGTCACTTAATTCGTTTGGCTTCCAAACCTTTTTGAATTGGACACTAAGCTAATGACAAAATTATAGCATCCACTAATATTATGTCTCCTCTAACCTGTAAAATACAATTTATTAAATGTATATATTCATGAATGAATAGTGACTCAAATTAGTATATAAAATGGAATCCATTGGTTAATTGGCCGTTATTGGACTGTGATTTCTGTGTGTAGGGGCATATATGCATGGGCTGAGCTCCTTTCTGTATGCCAACAGTCAGTGTGATGTATTCTGAACCCCTCAGGCCCATACACTCTAATGACTTCCCAGGCCTGTCAACTTGATTGCATGAGAGAGACTACTGATCTGTGCATGTCTGGCGTGAAGCCAAACCTAATTATACCAGATATATTGATATGTAAAAATACCTGCAAATATGGAGACTGTACTGAACATGTATAAGCTTAGGATAATGTGGCATTTGGCTCTCTCTGTGTGTGTGTGTGTGTGGCTGTGCGTGCAAAAATGTGTGCGCACTGCGCCTGTGTGTGTGTGTGTGTTTTCCCAATTTTACTACACACTGCAGTCCTCCCTTAGTAAAGTATTGTTGCTCCATTCCTCCCACCCCCTTTCTCCATCAGGCCCCAAGCAGCCTCCTGGAAGCCCTGGAGCAGCATCTGTCCTCTCTGGAGGGGAGGAAAATCAAGGAGCTCTCCACAGCCACCAGGTATCACACACTGACACTATGTTTCAGGCTTCGAGTCTCAAGGAGGCATTTACACTGAAGCTGGCATGTCAACACATTTATCACTCACTGAAGCAGGCATGTCAACACATGTATCGCTCACTGAAGCTTTGGTAGAATATGAGGATGAATATACACATGCTCCACCATTAGCTAGTATGTGATGTCTTGACATCAACAGAAATGTCACACTACTGCTGTGGTATGCTTTAGAGTACCTGTCTTTTGCAATACAATTACGGCACATGGTCAGGCACGTTATTAGTGTTTTTCTGATCCCAGTGGTTAGTCCCAGAGTGCTATGTGTGACAGTTAGTGTGCATGGTGGTCCCTGACAAGCGCTGTGTGGTGTCTCCAGAGCCAGCACCTTATCCAGTGCTGTATCATCACTGTCCAGCACTGGCATCTCCCTCAGCCTCATGGAGCAGAAGGAGGACCAGAACAGCTTCCAGGTCAGACAGGGTCACTGCTACCACTCTAGAATAACTTTCTTGAATAGACCATTACAATGTAAATGCATTACTGTATGAATACTTATATAAATTAGTATAAGTTATTATAACGCTTATACATTTACATATTATAAACACTTAAGTTATAAATTGTTCTAACTTTCACATAATGTACTCCTATGTAGGCTAATAAGGAAACAAATGTAAAAACCCAGATCCTGTTGTACTCTCTTTTCTCACATGTAGATTTCACTTCTGTGTGTCTGTCCCACAGGATGAGGGAGCCAAGGTGATTGACATGCAGACGCCCACTGTCTCTCCCAGCGCCCAGTCAGTGGGCAGTGCCAACAGCAGCAGTGGGGCCACAGAACTCTTCTCCAACTCATCTGTTGGATCCGTTACAAATAAGTAAGCAGACTTACTGTCTGATAATCGTTGTGTTTAAGACCTATGGGTATGTTTCACAGAGTTTGTTTTCTCTGTATAACTACACTATGTATCTTATTAAAAATGGCAGCTAGCTAAATCACTTCATAGTGTATTAGTTGGGTTATTAGTGGATAGGACATGTGAGCCAAGTTCAAATGGAGTCGATACCTGAATGGCAGTGTTCCAAGCGTTTGGACCTCTCTGCTCTAACTCGTGCTCTCTGTCTGTCTGTGTGTGTGGCCTGAAGGGGTCTGCTCTGCTGACCGTCTTTCTCCTCTGTCTCCCCAGCGTGCCAAACCTCACCAGCGACCTATTCAACGTCCAGCCCGCCTTCAACCCTACCATCCAGACCACACACACTGTACCGTCTAACAACAACGCCTGGGGAGGTGAGGCTCACAGATTACACGTCCATACAGTACAAACACACATTGTATACTCCTGAAGTCTTCCACAAATTATTTCAAGCTAACCAAGTCAGGCACATTCTAACAGGTTGTGATTGACAGAATTCTGTCAATTTAGGACCTGAATTTATGTTAATTGAGTTTAAGTGGAATTGACCCCAACCTTTGTTAGAAGAAGTGAAATGTCCAGTTGTGTCCCTAATGCAGTTTCCTCCTCTTTTGTCCTATGATGCCTATCCCTGCTGGGTCCCTCTCTCTCTGATCGGTGAGTTAACATGGCTTGTAGCTTTCTACTGGACACCTGACAGGACTGAAATAGCCTTACAATATGCCTGGGGCTAGGGCTATTGACCTGTAGCCAGTCTCTCGCCTCTCGCCTCGCGCCTTCCTCCCTCTCCCTCTCTCCTCTCTCTCTCCGTCCTCTCTCTCCTCTCGGCCTCTCTCTCTCTCTCTCCTCTTCTCTCTCTCTCGCCTCTTTTTTTCTCGCCGTCTTCCCCTTCCCCCTCCTCTCTCTCTCGCCAAAATCTCTCTCCTCGGGCCCCTTCTTCCGAAAGTCTTCTCTCTCGCCCAAAATATACTCTCTAGACTCTCCCCTCTCTCGCCAAGTAATCTCTCCCCGCCTCTTCTCTCGCCCGTCTCTCTCTCTTTTTCTCCCCTTTTTCCCCTTTTCTCTTCTCTCTCGCCAGTCTCTCCTCTCTCTCTCTCGCCCCGTCTCCTTTTCTCTCCTCTCTCTCTTCCCCCAAATCTCTCTCTCTTTTTCTTTCTTGCCAGTTCTCTTTCTCTCTCTCGCCCCTTTTCTCTCTCTCGCCAAAATTTTCTCTTCTCTGCCAGTCTCTGCTTATCTCTTTTCTTCTCTCTCTTCTTCTCTCTCTCTCTCCTTTTCGCCCGTCTCTCTTCCCCTTCTCTCTGCCAGTGCTCTCTCTTCTCTTCCCCCAAATTTTATCTCTATTTCTCTCCGCCAAATTATCTTTCTCTATTTTCGCCAAAATTTCTCTCTCTTTCTTCGCCCAAAATTTCTCTCTCCCCTTCGCCAGTCTTCTCTTTCTTCCCCGCCAAAATTTTCCCCTCTCTCCCCTCTCTTTTCGCCAGTCTCTCTCTCTCTCTCTCTTTTTCTTCGCCAGTTCTCTCTCTCTCTCTCTCGCCAGTCTTTTCTCTTTCTCTTGCCGCCCTTCCTTTTCTCTTTTTCGCCCAAGGGGCTCTCTCTCTCTTCGCCAGTCTCTTTCCTCTCCTCGCCAAATCTTTTCCTCTTTGCCAAACCCCTCTCTATCTCTCTTGCCCAAATCTTTCTCTCTCTCTCTCTCTCTCCCAAGGGTTTTCCCCTTTTCTTCGGCCAGTCTCTCCCCCTCCTCTCGCCCGTTTCCTCGCCATTCTCTTCCTCTCTCGAAAGTCTCTTTCTCTTTTCTCTTTTCTCGCCCCAAAAATCCTCTTCTCTCTCGGGCCCGTCATCTTTGCCCCCCGTCCCTATTCTCTTCTCTCCCTCCTTTTCTCTCTCGCCCCCAAATTCTTCTTTTCGCCCCAGTTCTCTCTTTTCCCCTTTTCTCTCTCTCTCTTCCCCAAAAAGTCTTATCTCTCTCTCTCCTTTGCAGTTTTTTTTCCCCTCTCTCTCGCCAGTCTCTCTCTCCCTTTTCCCCCCAGTCTTTTCTCGAAAAAGTTCTCTCCCCTCTCTTCGCCAGGCTCCCCCTCTTTCCCCCTCTCTGCCAGTTTCTCTCTCTCGCTCTCTCTCGCCCCGTTCTCTTTTCTGATCTCTCCCCCAGTATTCCCCTCTCGCTCTCCTTTGGGCCAAATTTTCCTCTCCGCTCTCTCCGCCAGTCGCTCTCTTCTTCGCCCGCCCGTCGCCCCTCCCCCCTTTCCCCTCTCTCTCACCAGTTCCCCTCTTTCGCCCGGTTTTTAAAACTCTCTCGCCAGTTTTCTCTCTCTCTCTCCCAATAGTCTCTCTCTCCGTCTCTCTTTCTCTCTTTCGGGCCCGTCTCTCCCCTCGCCAAGGGCTCTCCTCTTTTTCTTTTCTTTTTCTCTCTCTTCTCTCTCTCTCTTTTTCGCCATCTTCTCTCTCTCTCGCCCAAGTCTCTCTCTCTTCTATCGCCAAATCTCTCTCTCTCTCTTCCCCCAAAGTCTCTCTCTCTCTCTTCGCCAGCTCTTTTTCGTATCGCCAGTCTTCTTTCTCCTCCGCTCTGCCAAAATCTCTCTCTTTTCGCAAGTCTCTCCCCCTTCTCTCTCTCTCGGGCCCAAAATTCTCTCTCTTCTTCTGAAAAGGCTTTTTCTCTTTTCTCCCCCCGCCGGGCTCTCTCCTCTCTCTTCTGCCAGTTCCTCTCTCTCTTGCTCTCTTCTCGCCCGTTTTTCTCTCTCTTTTCCCAGTCTCTCCTCTCTCTGCCCGTCTCTCTTTCTTCTGCCCCGTTCTCTCTCTCTTTTCTCGCAAAATCTCCTCTCGCCAGCTTTCCTCTCTTTTCGCCCCGTCCCCCTTCGCCAGCTCTTTCTTCTCTCTCCTCTCCCCTCTCTCTCTCGCCAGTCCCTCTCTCTCTCTCTCGCCCCGTCTCTCTCTCTCCCAGGAGTCTTTTTCCTCTTCCCCCAGTCTCCTTCTCGCCACCCCAAATCTCTTTTCTCCCTCTCTCCTCTCTCGCCCCGTCTCTCCTCCTCTCTCGGGCCAAATCTCTCCTCTCGCCCGTCTCTCGCTCTCTTCTCCGCCAGTCTCTCTCTCGGCCAGTCTCTCTCCCCTCTCTCCGGCCCCGTTTTCCTCTCCCCCCTCTCTCGCCAAATCTTCTCTCCCTTCTTGGAGTCTCTCTCTCGCTCTCTCTCGCCAGTCCTTTTTCTCGCTCTCTCTGCCAAATCTTCTCTCTCGGGTCTCTCTCGAGTCCTTTTCTTCGCTCTCTCTTTGCCAGTCTCTCCTTTTCGCTCTCTCCCAGTTCTTCTTGGGTCTTATCGGCCAGCTTCTCTCTCGGGTTTCTTCGCCAAGGTTCTCTCTCGCCGTCTCTCTCTCTCGCCAGTCGCTCCCCTTTTCTCTCGCCAGTCGCTTCGGGCCCTCTCTCTTTTTCCTCTTCTCTCATCGCCCAATCTCTTCTCTCTCGCCAAATTTCTCTTCCCCAGTCTTCTCTCTCTGGGCCCCAGTCCCTCTTCTCTCTCGCCCGTCTCTCTTCTCCTTTTGCCAAGTCTTTCTCTCTCTCGCCAGGTTTCTTCTCTCGCCAGTCTTCTCTCTCTCTCGCCAGTCTCTCTTTTTTTTCGCCATCTCTCCTCTTCGCCCTTTGCCAAATCTTTCGCTCCACAGTCCTCTCTCTCTTTCCCCTCGCCCCCGTTTCTCTTTTCTCTCCGGCCGTTCTGCTCTCGCCAGTCTCTCTCTCTCGCCGGCTCTCCTTTGCAAGTTTCCCCTTTTTCCCCTCCGTCTCTCTTCTCTCCAGTCTCTCTTTTCTCTATTTGCCAGTTCTCCCCTTTTCTCTTCGCCAGTCTTTCTTTGCCCAAATCTCTCTCTCTCTCTCCCCCAGTTAATCTTTTCTCGCCCCCGTCTCTCTCTTTTCTCTCTCGCCCAGTCTTTTCTTCCCAGTCTTCTCTTCTCTCTTTTGGGCCAAATCTCTCTCGGGCCCGTCTCTTTTCTCTGCCAGTTTTCTCTCTCTCCGCCAAATTCTCTCTCTCGCCCCGTCTCTCTCTCCCTCTCTTTGGGCCGTTTCTCTTCTCTCTCTCGAAAATTTTTCTCTTCCTCTTTTCCCCCAGGCTCTTCCTCATTTCCCCGCCGGGCTCTTTTTTCTCTTCGAAAAGGTTCTCTCTTCTTCTCTCGCCGGTTCTTCTCTTCCCCCTTCGCCCGGCCTCTCTCCCCCCAGTCTCTCTCTCCTCGCCAGTCTCTCTCTCTTCGCCCAAATCCTCTCTCTCTTCGCCGTCTCTCTCTCTCTTCGCCAGTCTCTTCTTCTTTCCCCAAATCCCCTCTCCTCCTTTTCCCCCAGTTTTAGCTTCTCTCTTTGCCAGTCTCGCTATCTCTCTCGACCGTCCTTCTCTCGTTCTCTCTGTTCTCTCTCTCTTGGGCCCGTCCTCTCCTCTCTCCCCAGTTCGCTCCCCCTCTCGCCAGGTTTTCGCTCTCCCCCTCGACAGTCTTTTCTCTGGGGTTTTCTCTCTCTCGCCAAATTCTTTTTTCCCCGCAGTTTTATCTCTTCGGCCCGTTCTCTCCCCTCTTAGCCCGGGCTCTCTTTCTCTCGGGCCCGTCTTCTCTCTTTGCCAGTCTCTTCTTTCTCTCCGGGCCCCGGGCTCGCTCTTCTCTCGCCAGGGTCTCCTTTTCCTGCCCCGTCTTCTCTCTCTTTTCGAAAGGGCTCCCCTCTCTTTGCCAAGGGGGCTTCTTTCTCTTCGCCAGTTTTTCGCTCTCTCTCCCCGCCAGTCTCTCGCTTTTCTCTCTCCCTTTCTCCCCGTCTCTCTCTTCTCGCCAAAATCTCTCTCGCCCCCGTTTTTTCTCTCTCGGGGAGTCTCTTTTCCCCCTCGAAGGGGGTCTATTTTTTTCTCGCCCGGGCTCTATTTTCTCTTGCAAACTCTCTCTCTCTCGCCCCGTCTTCTTTCTCGCCCAGGTTTTCTCTCTCTAGAAAACGTATTTCTTTTCTCTCTTCTTCTTCTCTCGCCAGTTTTCTCTCTTCTTTCGCCAAGTTTTATTCCCCTCTTCCCCTTTTCTCTCTCTTTTAAACCAAAACCAAAACAAAATCTCTCTCTCTCTCTTCTTGCCAAACTCCTCTCGAAAGTTCTCTCTGCCAGTTCTCTCTCTGGGCCCGTCTCTCCCCTCGCCAGTTCCCCCCCTCTTTTCCTCACCCCCCCAGTTTTCCCCTCTCTATTTTCCCCGCCCGTCTTCCCCCTCTCCCTCTCTCGGGCCCGTCTTCTCTTCTTCTCCCTTTGCCCGTCTCTCTCCTCTTCTTAGCCAAAATCTCTTCTCTTCTCTCTCTTGCCCAGTCTCTCTCCTTCTCGCCCAAATCTTTTCTTCTCTCCTCTCTTTTCGCCCAAATCTCTCTCTCTGCCCCGTCTCTCTCTCTTCCTCTCGCCAGTTCTCTCTCCGCCCCAAAATTCTCTCCTTTTTCTCTCTCTCTGCCAGTCCTCTCTCTCTCTCTCGCCGGTCCCCTTCTCGCCAAAGTCTTTCTCTTCTTTGCCAGTCCCTCTCGCCCCCTCTATCTATTATCCTCTCTTCCCTCTCCCCTTTTTCTCGCCCCGTCTCCTCTCTCTTCTCGCCAAATTTTCTCTCTCTTCTGCCCCGTCTCTTCCCCTCTCTCGCCCGTCTATCTCTCTTTTCGCCCCGTCTCTTTTCTCTCTCTCGGGAAAAATCTCTCTTTCTCTTCGCCAGTTCCTATCTCTTCTCTCGCCCCGTTTTCTCCCCCCTTTTCTCGCCGTCTCTCTCTCCCTCCCTTTGCCGTCCCCTTCTCCTCTCTTTTTTTCGCCAGTCCTCGTCTCTCCGCCAGTCACTTCTCTCTCGCTCCTTTTCGGGGAGTTTTCTCCTTTGCCCCTCTCGCACAGTTTTTCTCTCTCTCGCTCTCTCTCGCCCCCTCTCTCTCCGGGTTTTTCTCTCACCAGTCGCTTCTCTCTCTTCGCCTTTTCTATCTCTTTCTCGCCAAGGGTTTTTCTCTCACCCCGTCTCTCTTCAAAAGTCTTATCTTCTCTCGCCAGTTTTATTTTCTTCCCCCAAATCTCTTTTCTCTCCTCGCCAGTCCTTTCTCGCCCGTCTCTCCTTTCGCCAGCTCTTCTCTCTCTCGCCAGGCTTCTTCTCTCTGCCCCGTTCCTTTTCTCTCTCTCGGGAAGTCTCCCCTTTTTCCCCTTCCCCCCGTTTTTTCTCCCCGCCCGTCTCTCTCTTCTCTCGCCCGTCTCTTTTTCTTCGCAAATATCTTCCCCTCTCTCTCAACCCGTCTTTCTCCTCTCGCCAGTTTCTCTCTGCCAGGGCTCTCTCTCTCGCCCGGTTTTTCTCTCTCTCGCCCCCTCTCCTCTCTCTCGCCCCAAATCTCTCTCTCTCGCCCGTTTCTTTCTCTCGCCAAATCTCCCTTCTCTCCCCCGTCTTGTCATTCTCTTCTTCGCCCCGTTTCTCTCTCTCTCCGGGCCCCCCGTCTCTCTATCTCTTCGCCCCGGGCTTCTTCTGCCGTTTTCCCTATCTCTACGCCAGTCTTTTCTTCTCTCTTCCCCCAGGCTCTTCTCTCTCCCCTTTGCCAGTCTCTCCCCTTCTTTCGCCAGGTTTTTCCCCTCTCGCCAAACAGTCTCTCTCTTTTGCCAGTCTCTCTCCTCCTCGCCAGGGCTCTTCTTCGCTTTCGCCAGTTTTATCTTTTCTTCTTTTATTCCCCCCAGTCTTTTCGCTTTTCGGCCCGCTCTTTTCTTCGCCCGGGGCTCTCTCTCTCCTCTCTCTCTCTCTCGCCGTCTCTCGCTCCGCCAAGGGTCTTCTCTCTTCGCCAGTCTCTCTCTCTCTTCTCTCTCGCCCTTTTCCTTTTCGGGAAAAAACTCTCTCTCTCCCGCCAAGGGCTTTTCTCTCTCTCTCTCGCCCGTTCCCCTCTTTGCCAGCTTTTTCGCCAGGGCTCTTTTCTTCTCCCCCAGTCTTTCTCTCTCTTTTCCGCCAGGGCCTTTTTTTCCTCTCGCCCGTCCTCTCTCCCCCGCCAGTCTTCCTTTTCTCGCCAAATCTCTCTCTCTCTCTCGCCCAAAAATTTCTCTTTGACAGTCTTCGCCAGTTCTGCTATCCTCTCTCTCTCGCCAGTCTCTCTTCTCTCTCGCCAGTCTCTCTCTCTCTCTCTTCGCCAGTCTCTCTCTCTCTCTCTCTCGCCAGTCTCTCTCTCTCTCTCGCCAGTCTCTCTCTCTCTCTCTTCGCCAGTCTCTTCTCTCTCGCCAGTCTCTCTCTCGTCTCTCTCGCCAGTTCTCTCTCTCTCTCTCGCAGTCTCTCTCTCTCGCTCGCCAGTCTCTCTCTCTCTCTCGCCAGTCTCTCTCTCTCGCTCGCCAGTCTCTCTCTCTCGCTCGCCAGTCTCTCTCTCTCGCTCGCCAGTCTCTCTCTCGCTCGCCAGTCTCTCTCTTCGCTCGCCAGTCTCTCTCTCGTCGCCAGTTCTCTCTCCTCGCCAGTTCTCTCTCTCTCTCGCCAGTCTCTCTCTCCGTCTCGCCAGTCTCTCTCTCTGCTCGCCAGTCTCTCTCTCTCGCTCGCCAGTCTCTCTCTCCGCTCGCCAGTCTCTCTCTCTCGCTCGCCAGTCTCTCCTCTCGCTCTCTCTCTCTTGCCAGTCTCTCTCTCTCTCTCTCGCCAGTCTCTCTCTCTCTCTCTCGCCAGTCTCTCTCTCTCTCTCTCGCCAGTCTCTCTCTCTCTCTCTCGCCAGTCTCTCTCTCTCTCTCGCCAGTCTCTCTCTCTCTCTCTGCCAGTCTCTCTCTCTCGCCAGTCTCTCTCCTCTCTCGCCAGTCTCTTCTCTCTTCTCGCCAGTCTCTCTCTCTCTCGCCAGTATCTCTCTCTCTCTCCGCCAGTCTCTCTCTCTCTCTTGCCAGTCTCTCTCTCTCTCTCTCGCCAGTCTCGCTCTCTCTCTCGCCAGTCTCGCTCTCTCTCTCGCCAGTCTCGCTCTCTCTCGCCAGTCTCGCTCTCTCTCTCGCCAGTCTCTCGCTCTCTCTCTCGACAGTCTCTCTCTCGTCTCTCTCTCTCTCGCCAGTCTCTCTCGCCAGTCTCTCTCTCGCTCGCCAGTCTCTCTCTCTCTCTCGCCAGTCTCTCTCTCTCTCTCTCACTCTCGCCAGTCTCTCTCTCTCTCGCCAGTCTCTCTCTCGCCAGTCTCTCTCTCTCTCTCTCTCTCTCTCGCCAGTCTCTCTCTCTCGCCAGTCTCTCTCTCTCTCGCCAGTCTCTCTCTCTCTCGCCAGTCTCTCTCTCTCTCTCGCCAGTCTCTTTCTCTCTCGCCAGTCTCTCTCTCTCTCTCGCCAGTCTCTCTCTCTCTCTGTAGCCACACTCTCTCTTGCCAGTCTCTCTTTCACTGTAGCCAGACTCGCTCTCTCTCTCCCTCCTTGTGAGAACGGACTTTCTGACCCTCTTTCTGTGACCTGACTCTCTCCCTGTATGTCTCTGTCCTCAGGTTTGGGGCTCCCAGGGGATCTTCTGAAGCCAGCTCAGCCCACACACATCCACTCCCACAGCCCTGGGATACCGCTGCACTCTGGGGGGAAGATGATACCCACTGACCTGGACTCCTCCTCCTTAGCCAACCTCGTTGGTAGTGAGTCTCTCTCTCTTTTACTTGTAGCTTTGCATATTCCTTTTTCAGTAGTAATAAAATGATCATATGTAAAAATGTAAAAAAATATATGGTCTGCAATAGCATCTGAACATGTAACATATCTTAATCGCTCATTTTCCAGACTTGCAGTTTGGAGAAACACCAGCCAAAAAGTGAGTATATACTATTTGAAAAGGAGCGATGAGCAAAGTATCTACAGTATATTATTGGATCTACAGTATAATATTGGATCCCTATTTAGTTATTCATCCACAAGCATTTATGAATCCCGATCTGATGAGTGTAGTGTACTTGCCCCCCCCCCCCCCTCTCACCCCCGTTTGTCCCTCAGGCCAGAGCTTCAGTGGACCCAACTGGTAGAGAAGAAGCCCACAGTGGGGACTCACTGGCAGGCCAAAACCATGTGCACCACCCCCAACTGGAACCACCACGCACTCATGGCTCCTCAAGCTATGCCCATACCACAGATGGTGAGAGATATTATATGCCATTTAGCAGACACTTTTATACAAAGAGACATTAGTCATGCTGTATGGGTGGCCCCAGTGGGAATCGAACACAGGATCCTGGCGATGCAAGAGTCTCCTGCTTACACTCACCAAATATAATATTAAGGACAAGCCAGCAATGCAAAAGGTGGCTTTGATATTAGATGTACTCTTTCCTTATGGAATCTAGCAGCACACAGACACTCTGGGATTCTGCTGCAAATCCCATCTTTCAAAATGGAAGGGGTTATTGCAGCTCTTCTCGGGCGCTGGCGATTATCGTTTGCCCTCTGCATATTTCAATACGTTTGCACTCTAATTATCTCTCTCCTCTTTTCATTTTGTGTTTCATCCATCTTCTCTTTTAATTTTCCACTCAATTATCCACCACACCATCCATTCGCATCTACATTTCCCCCTATTCCTGCTCCTTTCTTCAACCCTCATGCTGCAGAATGGAATGATATATACTGGCTATGTAAGTACATTAATATCTGTAGAGGGAGTCACAGCATTTACCTGAAGTGCATTCCTCAGTGTGCTCTTCTAGTCTTCCATTGTTCCATTTCATCCTTTCTCTCCATAGGCTCCAGCTCCAGTGGCTTTTCCCATGACGACACCTCAACTGCCTGTTTATGGAATGGTAAGGAATGATCGGGGGGACGACGGGGGGGATCTGCACACCAAGACCATTGATCCTCAGGTGACATTTCATCTTTCTCCCCCGTCGTAGATGCCTCATCAGATGGGGCAGATGGGTGGAGTCCCTATGATGGCACCACAGTCTATGATGTACAACCAGCCTGTCCTTCGGCACACCAATCCATTCGCCCCCATGCCAGGAGCCCAGGTAATCCCCACTGTCCACTCATCACTGTCCACTCATCACTGTCCACTCCTCTCCTCACTGTCCTGTCCTCTCTCCACTCTCACTGTCCTCTCCTCTCTCCACTCTCACTGTCCTCTCCTCTGTCCACTCCTCACTGTCCTCTCCCTAACTACATCTGGCATGTGAATCATGATTCAAGGCATCAGTTAAGAGGCCTAAGTAGGCTAATCATAATTCTAATCCTGTCTCTGCTCCTTTATAATGTATCAGTTACTGTTTAATACTTAATTTGTCAATGCCAATTACTGTTGGTTTGCCAGTAGGTTCTGGAATCATTTAAGACCTTGTTACTGTATACCTTTTTCTAGTATTACCGTATTTTTTTTTTTTTTCTTACACTGAATGTTCTGTTATTAAACCGTAACAGGCTTATTTTCCTATGCAGATGCACTTCATGTAAGACGGGGAGTATTTTACCATGACAGCAAAGCAGAGAGAAAAAACGAACCAATCCAGAACCAAATACAATGCGAGTTAGAGGAGCAGAAGATCTGGGTGGAGACAGACTGGAGATGTGTCAGTGCTCTTTCAGTGGCCTCTGTGGAATATAACCTCTGTTACATTGTGTATCATGGCTGATCGTCCCATCCGAGTCTTTTGACAAGTCACTGCTCACATTCATTCTGTATTTGATCATTTGAATGGGTATTGTTCTGTCTGTTGAACCCATGGTATGATGACTGCTGTGTTCCAGTTTGGAGCTTGGCCCTTTGTAGTGAATTCCAGAAAACTGCCACCACCCATCCACCAGTGTCTATGGGCATCTCTTTCGCTGATAGTTTGCACGCACTTTAATCAATGTGTACATGCGCATTGTCCAATTAGCATCTCATACAAACCACCACGTCTTTTCCCTCCAATGTTAATGTCAGAGTTGCTGTTGCCATGATTTTAACATGGATAGGTGTCCTTTTTTGTGTATTCAATGTAAAACACCATGTTGGAGTTGACTCGGTATTCATTTCATTTTATTGTAACTGCAAATTCCACAGCCAGTTATAGTAAGACATTGGATAAATGGCTTGGAGACACATGGTTTGTTTGTGTGTGTACAGTATATCTGTCTGGGTGTTAGGTTGCACTCTGAGACCTAAATGTACAAAAGCTATTGTGTAATGTTTTCATAGGTTCCTGTGAAAGCTATGGTCTGCGTGGCATTGACTGGCCACTGTGCTAGTTTGAAATGGAGCACTCCATGTCTACATACACCCACAAACGTACAGTATACTCCTATGAAAGCAATGAAGAAGGCCCACTCGTAATTTCATATGAAACCGTGATAACACATTCTGCCTCTGCTGTGCCGTCCATTGTTTGCTCTGCTTGATGCTATTTGAGGTTGTTTTATATGATCCATGTTTCTTGAGCTGCTACAACAGTGCATGAAACCTCCATGCCATCTCATCAGATTCTGCTCTTTGAAACTGGTTGAGTTTTATAGATAGATATGCTGTTCTTGTAATGGTCCTACCAGTCTTGCCCCGTCTGTGAGTAAACGTTGGGAGAGTGCGTTCTTCGTGTTTCTTCTCTAGCTAGCCGTACTGCTCCAGGTTGAGGCCTGCTGAGTTGTTGCGTGTGTCGTTGTTGTGTTTCTGAGCGGCAGTTATTGTAGTGCAGCTCTTCACCAACCACTGGGGAATGTTGTTGAGGAGCTGTTTCTGAGTCTGCGTCCTGAGACAGTGAAACTGACACTTGCTCTAGTAAATCAGCAACTATCTGACGTACTGTTGCTAACTCCAGCCCCAGAGAGAGCCTAGCTGTCCGGAACTTTAGCAGAAGGCAGGGGACAAGTGAGGAGGAAGTAGAGGGATCTGTAAATGTGATCGAGGGTCATGTCTGTCAAACTCCCAAAAGTACTAATGGTGACAGACAGACTGCATATATAGCACAAACCCTGGAGGGGCGAGTGTTCTACTGCACAAAACTAAAACCATTGCTGGGATGTACAGTCAAAGGGGCTGGGGAAAGCCTTGTTTTCTATTGATTGTGTTTCTATATGTACATGCCTTCCCCGTGAGATAAACAGGGTAGTGATCATCCACGAGGCCTCCCAGCTTCTGGGTCCTCCGAGGTCAGTGGGGTCACTGAAGTCATCCAGGCCATCCGGTAGTGTGTATTTAGCAATGAGTAGTCAAGTGTCGTAACGTGTCTCAATACATGTCTGTCTGTTAGATTGCTATAGAACCTCTCATTCTGCTAATCATTGGCTCTGTCGGACTACTGCATTCTGATCTGTGACCAGCCCACATTGTGTAGATGTTATTTGAAACGTTGTAGTTCAGTCTCAATGTCCTCTGTGTCAGTTAAATGCTTTCATGCAAGTTCGTGCAGTCCCATAGACCAATTCTGACTGTTATCCTGTCCTCTGTATATAACCTCATGTGTTTTTGATGTGTCCTCTGTAAGTGATAGCCCATGGAGAGACATGGGTTGTTACAGCTGTGTCTGTGGTGGGGTTATTGTGTTTTGGAGAGGTCATGGGGTCTACGTCTAATGTTTGTGTACATCTTGATGAGGGATGGGGGTTGGGTTCAACAGTATCACAACTGGTCTACCAAGAGTGTCTTCATTGTGGCAGTGGACACTGTCCTCTCCGTCCGTACAGGAACATTTTGCACCAAAGTCATCAAGCACAGCTTATCTCAAGGTCACATTGCTGATATCCAATTTGGAGGAATTTGATTTCAGAGACAAGTCTTTATGCATGATTAGTGTTGTCTTTATTGACTTGTGTGCCCGGTAAAAAGCATGATCATATGTGAAATTTCACTTACCGTGTGTTTGCAAAACAATATTTTACTTCCCTCTTTAGAAGCATTAATTGGAACTCATAAATGTGTGTCCCACCAGATAACTGTAAGACGTCTGTTTTGCATTCTAAATGCAATTCGGAAGCTATCAAATATCAATTCAGTTATGAGACCACACGTTTGTGAAACAACATGAATGTGAATGACATGCATCACGTAGCTAGCTCGACATCATTCTGCGAAACCCCTCTTTATTAAAGCGTTGCTATTTTCAAGACATTTGTTGAATGCTTGCTCTTTTTTGAGTACTCTGACAACATTTTTGGACATCTCTAAGGATGTTCAGTCTTGTCCCGTTTTCATTGGACCACATCATTCTTTGCCAATAAGCTTCCTTTGTGTTTGCAGTGGAAAATCTCACTCCCATATCTTTTGGCCACTGAAAGATGTCAACATGCATTTTCACTTTTTGCCTGACGTTCTCTGGTTATATATAATATATGCATATTTCACAATGTGAGAACAGTATTACCTACTGTCTATCTGGAAACTGTCATTTTTCCTGTGATGAAAGCATTGTCCAGGATGTCCTGTTTTGAGGAGTGAGGGCCCATACCTTTTTGATTTTCATGTGTTTTGTACATCAAATGGATTGATAATACATAATACACTGTATTGTCAATGATAAATTACATTGTTATAAACTATTGGTTCTTATTTTAAATGCAGAGGTTGTTGTTTTTGGAATAAAATGTCATATTTTGCTCAGGTTTTATGTGGTTCTTTGGCAGCAGTCTTGCTGCCCATTGTAGCCTCTTCACCTTTCACCAGTGGAAGAGGAGAGATTGGTAGATGTGCAATGAATTTTTCTATAGGATATGCAGTATCAGTGAATCACCTTGACAGGTAATATCGTCAGGTTAAAGCATTATGCATACTCATGAATAGTTGTTGGATCGGCTCTTATGAGTTGGATATGAGAGAGCCTTGAAGCACTCAGTATGTAACTCAACAACCGTGTACAAGATGATTGTCACTATTCTCTGTCCATTTTCAAATATCCATACAGTACACCTGTCCCAAAAACACAATAGGATAATTATTTTCAAAAGCAGCAAAGACAACTAAATTCACTACTGCTAGTATTGCAACAATCGCTCACTATGACATAGAATCACAGTGTACCATCTTTTTAGTAACAAACATCTATCTGCTGTGAACAACAACAAGCCTGGAAACCTAGATATATGCATTAGAGCAGTGTTTCTCAACCCCAGTCCTCCAGTACCCTCAACAGAACACGTTGTTGTTGTTACCTAGGACAAACATACCTCGTTCAACTCATTTAGGGCTTGTTGAATCAGGTGTGCATGTCCAGGGTTACAATACAAATGAGTACTGTTGGGGTGCGTGAGGACTGCATTACATAACAATCTACCATATCAGAGGAAGTTGGTATTCAAAATACTGCTATCTTGTGATGTGTTCTCCCTCATAGGGAGTGTCTACTTGTCTGTCAGTCACAGTCTTGCTGGGATATGTAATATACCAAAACAAATTAACCTCCACGAGGAACAGGTCGGCTGACTACAAAAATCACCCTTTCTCAGGTTCTGATCCCTACTACAGTATGTGTCACTGAAAGCTCATTGGAGGGCACAGCCGCATAGAAGCTCATTGGAGGACACAGCCACATAGAAGCTGATTGAATGGCACAGGCACCGCTGGGATGGAAGTCCTGGATGTAGGTGCACACCAGAGGAGGCTGGTGGGAGGGCTATAGGAGGACAGGCTCATTGTAATGGCTGGAATGGAGTTAATGGAACATAGTCAAACGTGATTTCCATATGTATGATACCGTTCCATTTATTCCATTCCAGCCATTACAATGAGCCCGTCCTCCTTTAACCTGTATCCCCCCCTTCATCTCACTGATTGAAATTAATTTAACAAGTGAAATCAATAGCTTTCACCTGGTCAGTCTGTCATGGAAAGAGCAGGTGCTCCTAATGTTTTGTATACTCAGTGTATACTATATATAAATAGTATATACAATAGAAACAATTATTAATTTAAATAAAGTACACCACAGCCAATAACGGCTACTAACAACACACGGGCCTCACTACACCCGTGCCAAGATATCCTCCAAACACCGGCTTCGAGGGCATTATCAGTTAAATAACATAAGTAAAACAATGAAATAAACCA